TGTCAGAATCACTTCTTCTCAAAGAGACTTTGTTGAACCGAACGAAAGGGCTAGCAAGTTTGAAAGAAGACTTTACCAAGGAAAAAATTATATTCTATAGAAAGAGTAAAGATAGAAAACTTGCTCTGGATTCCCTTCTGTGAAGAGGGAACCATGTTTTTACTGGGGAAAAGAAAACACACAACTTGCACTTTCATCCTCAAAAGTTTTTACGCTTACATTTGATCAGAGTGTGAGAAGCAGAAACCGTTTTTGCTTCGGGGCTCTGACGTCGGGACAAAACTCCTCCGTTTCGGTGAAACGGGGACAGAGATATATTTTCTGCATTTGTTTTTTGGTCCCTGCTTCAATAGAACCACCGCCAACAACGGGAGGAGGTAGAGCTCTCCGAACGGCACGGTGCCTGTCCTACGGGAGGACTGAGGAGAACCCTCCCTCGTTGACCCCAGGGCTCCTGGTGGGCCAGGAGAACTAGACCGTGTCAAGTCAACGCGAGAGATGTCGCATTATGTGGATCTTCACTGTTGACGGGATTCACCGGGATGGACGGACCAGGAAGCTGGAACCGGTCGCTGATGGTTTTGGGGCTATAAGACCAGGAACCCAGAGAACGTTCTCGCTGCAGCAGACTGGCCTAGCTTAAACAACGGTGCAACAGAGCCTGCAGAAGGTTGGAACACAGAAGAGGGCTGGCAATTGTGTCTGTGTGTGCGCGTGCGTGTGTGTGTGTGTGTATGTGTGTGCGTGTGTGTGTGTGCACGTCAGGTGCCGGTGTCCGAGAGGAAGACTCTGACCCTGCAGCCTCTCGGCCGGCTCTCTGAGGACAGACCGGAGTGTTCCTCAGCCGCCCTGCTTGCTCCAAACACAAACACATCAGACCGCCATGGACTGCAAAAACACCACAGGACGACCTGAAGAAACAAACACAACGAATGTCGAGATACAAAGACTATTGAGAAAGTTTGATTTTGGCAGGAGGAGAGAAATATTGTTTTTGTCTATTTCTTTACTTGGGCATTTCATTGTTTCTGAGAAAGTGACTTGAAACACTACAGAGCCAATATTAGTTTAATGGAAAAAAAACGAAAACGAAAATTAAAAAAAGTTGTATTCCGTAAATTATGTACAGTTTTTATATTCGTTAACCAATGTATTCTTGCTGCCTTCTAGATAATTTATTTTGCCACACATTACTGCACAGTTGTAAATAACCTATGTACTGTAATATCACTCAGTTAAGTGTAAAGAAAAAAACAGAAAAGAAATAAAAATTATCTTTTTATGTACAGTTCACTTTTGGGCAGCACTTCCCCCCCCCCCTCCCAACCCCCCCCCGTCTCATATCCACGGGCCAAAATGTGTACACGAATCTGTCAGTATTTGTAAAGACTTCAGTGCACAGTGGTATGATCCCATATCTAGATTCAGTCCGCGCCTCGCTAACTCACCCGGGCTCGGATCACCACGACCCACTAATAGCTGACAGAGAACACGTCTGGATTTAAACTGGCCAACCACTGGCCAACCACCGTATAGTCCCTCAGATGTAGCAGAATAGTTGTTGAGGATTTATTTAAAGAATAGAGAGAGGATTATTATTCATTGCTTTACTACACAATTATATCTGAGAAAATTCGAACCAAGAAAATGCCTTGTTCAGTGAAAAAAAAAAAGTAGTCATTGTTGGGCAGTCACACAGATGTAAAGGGTGGGATGAAAGTGAGAGATGTCATTCACGAGGAAAACCATGTTAAGGTAGAATGTTTTCAAATTCATTTCCCATCTTTTTCATTAACAAAAATTGAACTGAAATAATTTCTAATCATCACAAAACGACATTGTCTCCAAAACCAACGGGACTTTACTGACTTATAATAACTTTAGTAGTCCGTCTTGCCAGACAGCTCAGTTTTCCCTTTTCAAATTGCAGTTCCAGCTTTACTCACTAGATGGCACCGGCGTGTCTGAAAGCCGGCTCCTATTGGCTTTGCATTGGACCTGTAACTTTTTACCTGAATGTTTTTAAATATCCCCTTATAAGTTTCTTATACAACACAAGCTGCAGTTTGGTGCTCAATTAGATCATAACAGGTCCAACCTTTCCGCTCCAGTCACATCGGACTTCTAATTTTTAGCAGTGTCTAATTTGCAAGCGGTTTGATTAGTGCTGTTGTGGATTTTACATTTTAGGTTTCTTCATCATATTACTCCTTGCAAGACAGCGAAACTTAAATCTTCTAAATGAACCAAAAGTTGGACGTAGAGTAACACAAAAAAATTAAGATAATAGATCTGATTTCTTTTGGTCGATTTAAAAAAAAAAATAATCCTAATTTTAAATGTAGATTTGTGATGACCTGTATTGATTCTCTATTTTTTTTTGTGGGTCTAGGCTTTGGAAAGCTTTCCCAACCCAACACATAGGCTTCCTGTGTGTGTGAGAGCTGCTCCCGTATCCTGATGGCAATATTATCTGAAACTGTTATTTACACACTGTCAGTCAGCATAGCTGTGTATGGTGTGTCTAGTCAAGTGCAATGGTTGTGAAGGCTGTGCAGACAAGGTGGCTAGATGTATAGTCCTGGGTATTTTTTGAGCGATACACACATCCTGGTTGGTATAAACTTACATATTTGGATAAGAATAGCCAGAAATTTGTTTTTTAAACACTTGTTTGTCACATTTCTTTTCTTCTTCTTTGTTTTGGTTTGTTGTTGGTTACCTGCACACTTTTAGGGAAAGAAGTTTAAGGGTGTCTTTAGTCCACAGAATGCTTTTTTTTTTTTTTTTTAGCTCGGCGTATGTAGGTTTGAACGTTGTTGTGATTATCTTTGGGGTTTTCGTTCCTGTACAAAGCATAAACACCAGTGGCATGTCAATCACGTTGCTTATGGAGCAGAATGTATACCGTTATTATGCCCTGGCCGACCACGCCCTCTCACTATTGTTTACAAGACATCGAGTGTTTTCCGTTTCACGTGTCACCCTTTTTTAACGGTTTAAGCCCTGCCTGTGATTTCATTCTGCAATCAAGTCTTTTATTTGAACCACAAAAGGCTTGAAATGGTGATGGTTGACAAAACTGACAAGCAATTTCTCCCCCCCGAGCGCTAGACTCTTCACATCCACCCATCTTTGATTCTCCACTGATAATATTCCACTCACAAAAAGCGATTTCTGGATAGATTAAATACAGACACAAAATAAATATTTCCTGGGAAGCATGTAGAGCACTTGGCCGTAGTGATACAGACGATAGCCTGACACCACCTCAGTCAGCAACATATTACCTCTACTCTCCTCACATTCACTCATAATGTTTATCTTGAATTCGTTGTTTGTTGTTTTTCTTACTGGACTGGATTATACATAATTGTTGTTTTTTTTCATTCTATAGAATCACGATTTCAAGCCTTTTTTTCTCTCTCCTAGTTTGTTTTTCTTTTTTTTTAATTAAAACCCAGACTGTAGCTATTTCTTTCTTTCGTTGTGGAAAATGACTAATAAAAAGCATGGAGAACTACTCTTTAAATGGTGAGAAACAACCTATTTATTACTTTTTGTTTTGTTTTTTCTGACACCTGTGGTATGTTTAGAGTTGAAGTTGGTCTCCGCTGTGTAAATTTTCCTCCCTGTAATGCGTGAAAGAGACATACTGTACATAGCTCTGTAAATAAAATCTCCCAGGACGTTTTGCACCCTCCTCTTTGTACTAGTCTGAAGAATTGCGTAGAATGTGGGGTTCTAACGGCAACGAGCTGCGTGCGCTTGCTGCAGGTGATTATGATGTAACAATGTAACATTTTTTTATTTGTACAATGTAGTTTACTTGTGTACATATTGTTGGAGCAGCTAAGAGGGGGGTATTTGAGGGGGGGTTGTTGATGCTATTGTCAGTGCTGTAACAGAAATCCAGTACTTTCACCTCTAGCTGTTGTTGATTTCCTGCAAAAAAAATAAAGAGAAAAAAAAGACATAAAAAAAATAAAATACATGAGAAACCGAAAATGAGGATGGATGGCGGAAAAAAAAAAGACTAAAACGGAAAAGTAAAAATTCTAAATTGTTATTTTCTACAGTTGCATGTACAGAGAGCGCGAGAACTGCTGTTGTTCCTCAGAGATTATGTTCGTTAATAAAACTTTGAAATATTACCAGCTGTCCTCTGGTCATTGATTTGGTGCTGATGGTGTGTGTGTGCCATGACATAAACGCTGCATTTCATGCAACTACGTCATAAAGTCTTTTTAGCCAAAATACATTCACTGACAAAAAAAAAATCTGGCTTCATCTGAAAATACCTTTTGAAATATATACAATACAAATAGAAAAATAACATATCTCAATATAATAAGCAGATTCTGGTGGTTTCCATTCATGGCCGCAGCACGTCATCTTGTCCTCCGTGTTTCACAATCTGAATGTTTGAAACGGCTGCCTTATCTGTATGTTGATGTTGCGGCCTGTGGGAGTAACACAACGCACAACGTGTCTCCCCAACATCAGGTTTCTGTATAAAGCCCCGTTTCATGGCCTACGATAAAGAGGATTTAATAAAACATCTCAATTTGTTTCCTTTTATCTTTGCCATTGTTGCACATGCTCAACCTTTCACCTAAACTTCAATATCTGTTAAACCTTTCCATGGTATTTCCCGTCGCAAGGCGGATGGACTGTGTGTTGTGAGTCATCACATGAATACGCTGTAACGCAGTGTAATTAAATGGGAATTCTAATGTTTTATACACAGCCAGAGGATACTAGTAGTAGTATTTTCCACATCCAAACACATTACTGCAAAGTAAGCAACACTTTACAGTATTCCCTGAATAAAGCTGAGTTTAACTCCGGTTGGGTTAAAACCTGCATGACTCTGACCTCCCTGAGGTCACTGTCCTCAACATACTAACACGTGTAAAAAAGTGTAAAAAACGAGGAGGGGGAATTCATCTAAAACACTGTGTTTTCAGTGCGCATATTTCGCGATGGTTTGATATGTTCACCGGCCTTTGGTGATGTTAAAGCAGGAGGTGTCAATTCCAAATCTTGCCCTCGAGGCAGCCGAGCAGGCATCTGATTGGTCGACCCCCCCGAAGCCCCCGCCCCCTCCTCGCGCCCTGCTCACCTGGTGCTGCTGCTGCTGCTGCTGCTTTCCAGCGTGCGCACCCACCGCGCCGCAGAACCCCCCCGTCCGACCCGCAAGCAGCCGCCTTCAGATGGATTATGAGACCAAGATCTTCCCTCGGACCGGCGGCTACGGCCGCTACAACCGAGCCGCGGTGGTTTTCAGCTGGTTCCCCGACTTCGCGGTCATGCTGAACCTATTCAGCGACGTGTTCTACACCTCGATCCCGGAGTTCTACCACTGCAAGCCCGACGCGCAGCTTCTTCCGTCGGCCTTCCTCCCCAGTAACCTGTCCAGGCAGGGCTACCTGAACCTCACCATCCCCTGGGTCAACGGCTCCGGGCTCAGCCACTGCGAGTTGTTCAAGTACCCGCCCAATGCCTCCGACTTCTCCGCCAAGTTCTCCCGGGAGCGGGTGTCGTGCACCGCGGGGTGGGAGTACGCGCACGTAGCGGGGCTCCGGAGCAACTTCGTCACCGAGGTAAGAGACCGCGCACTCTGGGGCTCTAAGTGGAGGATGACGTCAATTCAAGTTGATTAACGTGTTTTAGGTAGACTTGGTTTTTATCCTGGTGGATTTACCTCACAAATGTCACGGTATTTTTGCACAGCCCCAAACTTGGCTATGTTGGCCCTCTGCACCCCCCCCCCCCTGACTACTGGCTATGTTGGCCGCCCTCTTAGCACACTTCACTTCACATTTGTCTGCTGTCTGGAAACTCTTGTTTCCCAGGTTCACGCAGAAGAGATCAACCGGGCAATTGGACAAATCACAGCTTCTTACACCGTGTAAACGCACATCTGGGATCTAGCAGTTTAAACCGAAGCGTTGACCCCGAAGAAGGGTCACAACAACAAATAGTTGTGGGGTTTGATTTCAACATCTCTTTTAGTTGGGAGACATTCCAGAGCGGAATATGGATCCTGTTGGATCTTTAGATACAACCAGTGTCAGAACACAGATAGTGAGGTCATGCAAACACCACACATGTGCCTCGTGCCGTATTTTAACACAATAAACACAACAGAGTGTTTGCCGTAGTCTAGTAGTCTGAGTGGGGGCCGACATGCAGGACAGAGGCATTGTGGGTAATTCCCCCTCAACTTCCCTTAATGTGACAGGGTCCCAAGGAAATGGATCCTGGCAGTGAGGAGACTTTTTCCTCGTTTTCTCCCGGGACGTGCTCTGGCGCTGGGAAGTCTGAAGCCCCCCGTGTTCCTTCCTGAGACCCTGAACGGGCTCCAACAGCAGCTTCCTCTGCGCGCGACGTCATTCGCTTTGACAGAGGAAAACTTTTGGTTAAAGGGGAAAACACACAGTACGATAGTGCTCATGAACTGCAAACACAGGGTCCGGATGAAAAAACAACTTAGGATCCAGCCGGTGCTGACCCGGTAAAGCCCTCTTCATTGGCTTGGTATACATTTTCCAATTCCTTATTCGTGGTTTATCAAACCGTCAGCTGGTAGAACTGGTTTGATTCTACAAGAACGTTTGACAGACTCTAATCCACTCTAAGACCACTGGGATGGGGACACCAGGCTGCCCCACATGAGGTGTAGAATAACACCCATGCGTGTAATGCTTATATTGCATACACTCCTTAGTTAAACTGCTTTCATTCAAATAGCAGCACTTTTCACTGTGAATCCCTCACCTGTTTTCCCTTCTCCGTGCAGCTTGAAGTGGGCCGCGTTGTGGCAGGACGGCTGCTCGATTGGTCCAGCTGTCTGCATTCATTTAGACCTTTTCTGACGTTGACATTGAGGCCTATTGTTAACGGGTGTCCTCCGCAGTGACTCACTTGTGTTGCTGTAGTTTTACACGTATGATAAACTGCTTATAAGTCATAAGGCGGCCATAGCGATGTTGGCTGAATGCAGGGATCAAGCAGAATATTGACAGAATATTATCTGAATGAACTGAGTGAAATTAAATCTCATTCTGAAGTCAGGGTCCCTTTTCCATTACATTCTTGTGTTATTGTATTCTTAAAGCACACAGTTGGGTATTGCTTCAATGTACTAATGTGGTACTATTGTGCCAAATATGATACCTGAGTTTATGAACTTTTATTAATATGAAAACTGTATTTCTAACTGAGCAAATCTACCTTCTAATTATGATTACATTACAGTATACGTACATCTACTCTACAATTATTCAAGTACACCAAAATTGATGACATTCACATAACAAGCCATCTGTCCATAGAATATATATTTTTTTAATGATTATCTGAAAAAGCATCTAATACAACCTTTGCTACTCAAAGGTGATACTTGATACTTTGAGGTGCTCATTCCTGGAACACCAAAGATTTGCAGATGTGCATCATATTAAAAGGGAGTTAAAAGATTAGCATTCCGACTTGAGTTGAGGACATAGTGGAGCAGAGACACGGCGCTGGAGAAGAACTCCCTCACAGTCGGCGCCTGGTACCGAGAAGGGTCGGAGCTGCTCTCAGGCTTTGAGCACTGCTCAGCTGTAATGTAATAACACTGTCAGCAGACTTCCTGACTCAATTAGGAGCAACATGATCTACATTTCTGCCTCCCCACAGGAATCTGTTTGTTTATTCAAGTACCTTTTTTAGTCTCAATCCACAAATTATATTTGAGGATCGTCTAAAATGTTACTGAAGGCATCAATCATTTTATTGGAAAGTTTGCGTAATAATAGTTAAAGGATTACCCTTTTCATATTTTTTGCTTTGTTAACAAAAAACACAAAGACAACAATGAAGTCATCATAACAAGTTTGGCTCCGACGTATATTGTTTCTCGATTTCACCATTGTAGTTACAAAACAGCTGTTATTGACCCATTATTGAGTTATGCAAAGTGGCAATTTCAATCATGGCGACCCTTTGCAGTGGAACCTGGTTTGCGGTGACTACTGGAAAATCCCTTTGCAGCACATCTGCTTCATGACTGGGTGGATTTGGGGATATATCCTTCTTGGTACATTGTGCGACTGGTAAGTGATAATTATGTTTGTATGGAAACTCAATGTGTTCACTATGACTACTTATATGCCAGATTCTATGTTTAGACTTTTTTTTTCATGTCTTTCTTAACTGAATAGTAAACATACACTAAAGAAGCCAACCAGCTGATTAGCATCAACATTGATATTACAAAATAAAATAAAAAAATCATACACTGAAAAAATGTCTATGTTGGAATTTTAAGATGACATTAATATCAATAATATAATAAATATTTTTCTCAACCTATGCATACGTCTTTATCCGATCCCTCATGCTCAGATATGTGAAATTGAGCATTTTAGCTCCCCAACGTCCCTGTTTTGGGCCTGAGAAAAATAAATGAATGTGACGCTAGTGTGTGTTTTCAGGCTGGGCCGTCGGAGGTGTTTCCTGCTCTCCATCAGTCTGTCCTGCCTGTTGGGAGTGGCCGTATGCTTATCCAGCAGCGTGGTGGCGTTTCTGCTGCTGCGTCTCTTTCAGGGCGCCACGCTCGCCGGGGTGTTCGTGTCCTCGTATATTATCAGTGAGTATCCCGCACGCACGTTTAGCCGTCCAACTTATCTGGCAGCTGAGGCGCTTCTGAATGTAATAACATTAGCCATTTTTAGAAACCGTGGACATTCCTGCGTAGGACGTGGTAGAACTAGTTAGTGGCCTCATCTCAAGTACACACACACGTTTGAGTGTTTGACACACATTCCTGTGAGGTCAGGGCCATATTGTGTCCATGTTGTGACGTTGGGATGGGCGGGATGAGGGCCTGAGAGAAATGTTGCTCGGCTATGTCCTACCGGTGCTGCTCCTCCCCAGAGAGGAGAAAACAATAGCGAGGCAGAACGAATGGCGAGGAAGTGAGCAGGAAGCACCCGCCCCCCCACACACACTCACACGGACGAAATCTAGAAAGAGAATCAAAAGTTTTGCAGGTGGGGGTGAAGTTACAGTTCAACACGCTCACAGTTTGACATCCACAGGTCAAAGGTGACTTTATCTCCTTGCAGCGTTATCCAGCGTGTTGTTTTTTCTATAGTGGTGCTGCACTTCCTGATAGAACTGACAGCTTTGTAGGGGGTCCGTGTCCTGATAGGAAACGCGATGCTTTTTGCTCGGATGTATTTGTTCAGCCTCGGCTGTGTTTTGACCTCCGTCTTTCCTCTCCGTTCCTGCCGCTCTCTCAGGGCTGGAGCTCTGCGACCCTCCCCATCGTCTCATGGTTGCCATGATCAGCGGCTTCTTTGCCATGTTTGCAGAGCTGCTGTTGCCGGGTATTGCCGTCCTGTGCCGCTACTGGCCCGTTCTCCAGGCGGTGGCCACTTTGCCTCTGCTCCTGCTGCTCTCCTATTGGTGGTGAGTCGGGTTTCACACTTGCGTAGGAGGACACGCGTGTGTGTGTACCAAGGGAGCTTGTTTTGTTCCACAGTGGTGCTCAGTGTGTCATCCTCACAACTACATGTCTGCAGTTTGATGCATTCTCGTGTCAAACCCACCGCTTTTAATAACCATATATGCACAATAAACTACTTATTGAAATAAATATAATCCTACTGGGAACATTCTCTTCACCACTCAGTGAGTTTTACTATTTATTAGGGAAGTTGCATTAAGACTAAGATTGCTTTAACAGAGGAGACCCGAGAACAAACATCAACTTTCCAATGGTAAGTATGAAGGTCCAGACGCACAAAACATCTCAGCTACTTGGATAGCAGGCTATGCTGATGCCTTGTAGATGTTCCCATTCCAACGTTTCTTTGTTGCCAAAACCAGTACGCAGAAAAATAAATATGTTTCCGTCTATTTGTGCTGTCATGTTACTGAGAATATCTGAGCTCTGTGTGATAACAGAGGGAGGTTTTCCCCAGTTGTGCGTCGTTGTTTCCTGAGTCTCCGCGCTGGCTGCTCGCCACAGCTCAGATCCTCCAGCTGAAGAGGAGCCTCCAGGAATTCTCCACCAGGAATGGTGTTGGTCTGCATGACGATTTATACCCTGGTGAAACCCTGCTGTCAGGTGGACACACACACACACACACACACACGTTTAAATATTAAAGGGATCAGTATTTTGATACAACATTCCCTAGAGCATCCAGGGCCTGTGTGGGTACGTTGAATAGTTTTTTTTTTATCTTTTAGAGATCGATTCGGCGTACGGAGAAGACTGTCAGCCAGCTTACTTTTCGGTTCTGGAGCTTCGTCGCTCTCGCGTTATCTGGAAGAACTGCCTCATCCTGAGCTTCACGCTGTGAGTAGCGTGAAGTGTCCATGAGACGCCGCCTTCTACTCGATGATAACGGCCACGTGTGCGTGCGTGCGTGTGTGGGGAGTGTCGGGCGTCACAGCGGATGCATTTCTCTTATCTCGCCTTCAGGTTCATTGGAACAGGCATCCAGTACTGTTTCACCAGAAACCTTCACAGTTATTCCTCAAACTTCTACTTTGGCTATTTCCTCCGCGTGATAACCGGCGCCCTGGCGTGCGTCTTCATCTGCCTGTCTGTCAACCACTTTGGTCGGCGCGGTATGCTTCTGCTCTCTGCCATCATCACTGGACTGTCGTCGCTGCTGCTGCTGGCCCTCACGCAGTGTAAGCTGCTTGTTTACGGCAACTGCGTTTTACTTTAAATAAATGAATTCCGCCACCCTTTTTTCCGTTGTGGAAATACAATGAAGACTAAGGTGAAAATAAGGGCGTTATGGTGCAATATACTTTATAAATGATTGGATCAAGCTTGACCAATTAATAGATCGTATGATTGCATCACTGACATCATTGTGCTGCTTGACGTTGATGCAGTAAATCACCAGACTCACCATCCATGTGTCGTCCTTTTCGCGTGACAGATTTGCGTGGCGGGCTGGTGCTGGTGCTCTCTGTTGTGGGTCTGTTGTTCTCTCAAGCGCTCGCCATGCTCAGCGCGTTCTTTGCCTGTGAGGTGATGCCCACCGTGGTTCGGTAAGTGTCTGTCCGAAAAGAGCGATGAGGCTGTTTTGCTTGTTTTTCTTATTAACAAATTTAGAGAAAAGACCAAAAATCACAATAAATGAATCCAACTAACTACTCAGTATCCTTGATGGTTTATTTTGTGTATTAGTCCCCTGTGGAATTGTGTCCTCCTTTCCCTGCTCCTCTTCCCTCTCCCTGCCAGAGGCGGTTGCATTGGCCTGGTGCTGGCCGCCGGTTGTGTTGGCATGGCCGCCTCCTCCTTGATGGAGCTCCAGAATAACAGCGGCTACTTCCTCCACCACGTCGTCTTCGCCTCCTTCGCCGTCCTCTCGGTTCTCTGCATCATGCTCCTGCCCGAGAGCAAGCGCAAGCCGCTCCCCGACTCCCTGAGGGACGGCGAGAACCAGCGGCGGCCGGCTCTCTTCCTGTCCCGGCCTGACCGAGACAACCTGCCGTTGCTGTGCGCCCGGCCAGCTCGGTCAGAGTACAACCCCGACAACTATTCCTGTTTGGTCTCAGCCACCAGGAGGATGCTGACTAAAGACAAATTGCCTTATAGGATCGCCGTACCAACTGATTCCCCGCTGCTGTCAGACAGTGAAACGTTGGAGAACGACTCCGTGAGAGAGGTCGCGTCTTAACTACGGAGCCTCCTCACCCGACCTCACAGACTTGGATTATCCGTCCTCCTCCTCGTCCTGGACATACCGGCACCGACGGTTTACCATCGTGCTCCACTTCATTATTTCACTCAACTGTAGAACGGACCCCGGGCTTGGATGGATGGAGCGCCCTTCAGAGCGTCTGTCCATTGTCATTCTCCTCTTGTTGCATTTCACACTCGAAGGCCACTACTGTGCTGTGAAAAAAAAAAAAAAAGAGACTTTCTTCGGTTATCAGAAGTTGTTGTCTGCACCTCAGGGGGGGGGGCGCTCAGGAAGTCCCCCTTTGAACTGTAACTCTGTGGCCGAACACTGCTCGTCTGTGTAGGGGAATACGCCAGAGAAGCTCGCTCTGCCGTGCGGCTGCTGTAGATCATGTGAGCTGCAGTCCTTTGTCCATTTATTAGCTGCTCATGCACTTTCCATTAAGTCCGTCCGTCTGATTCACCAGCAGCGTTTCCAGAGGATCCCGAGCGCTCACAGCGTCTTTGTGGAGTCTTGTTGTACTCGTGGAGCACACAAGGGGGCGCTGAATGACTGTGCCACTCCCGACCCTTATTAATGAAACTATTTCACTTAAAGGAATTTCGATGGTCTATGTGGGAAAGTAACACCAGATTTCAGCCAGTAAATTCTGTCTGTGACTGAACACTTTTTTGAATTTTGCTATTTTCGCATTACGCTTCTCATGAAAGTATCCAATACATTTGCAAATGTACTGACCACTAACTGTCAGACAAAAGGTCTAAGGATTGAGGTGCTTTTTGTTAGTTAGTAAAAAGTAATGACAACTGTGTTTTAAATGCCTCAGAATTCAGCACTAAAAACCATACCTGATTGGCATTAGATATTTTCAAAGTAACTGCCCAATACAACCTGAGTTCTTTTTTAAAACACATTCTTCTGTATTTAATTTATTGTATTTAACAGTGACATTCTGCCTGTGAAGAGAAACTGGTTCTTGCTAGAGTAGAAAATGTTAAGGTAAAGGAGAAACGCATCAGTGGTTTGGCCTGTAGGAAAGCTAAATTGTGCAAAAGCTGACTAAATGTGCTAACAGATGATTTTGTATTGTCTAAAATTTGCACAGTTGGTCAGTGAAAATCATGTACCTTCTTTTTTTTTATGTTCAAATTTCACAGACTCCTACCTATACGACCGAAATGTCTTTACCAATTAAAAACCGCAGTGAAAAAGAAATCTTGCCTTGTTTGTATCTTAACCTTAAAGCTGCCAAACTAAATGTTCCCACTCACCATAATGTGTAAATAAGGGTTACAACCTAAATTGGAACTTTATTTTACAGCCACAGAGATGTTGTTACCCTCTCAGACCGCTAGATCGAGCTACGGTGCTACCGTGTGTGTGTGTGTGTGTGTGTGTGTGTGTGTGTGTGTGTGTGTGTGTGTGTGTGTGTGTGTGTGTGTGTGTGTGTGTGTGTGTGTGTGTGTGTGTGTGACGTAATCTGTACGTCATTGTCATCACACACGAACGCAGTTGTATCTGTCAGTGTTATGATGAGATAAAGCAGCCAGATGAGATCAATAAACTTAACTTGGTCCGACATAATAATCACTGTGCGGCTTTTGTTTTCCTGACAACTGATAAAAAACTCCTTTTTTGCAGTAAAGCTAACTTGCAAAAATGGTTTAAAGTCAAACCAAACCAGGCTGAAAAACATGCAGACTGTTAAATCAGACTTTATTAGCAGCCCCGTGTAAATGATTGGCGACCACGAGCTGTAGTGCTGAACAGCTCATGAAACACTTAATGGGATCAGAGCTTGGAGGGCGAGTGTGAGCAGGAGGGCCGCTGCGCCGAGGGAGTGGTGGGCGCCAGCGCTGCGGTAACCATAGCTCGTCCTACACACATTCTTCACCTCGTCGTATGGAATAGGAACGTCATCTGGCCTCGTCTCTTTGAGAGCGTCCCTGACCTGAGACATGCAAAGAAAAGACGGTCAGGCAGAAGACAGAGAGGCGGTATGACTTTGTCTACTCTGACTCACAGGGGCTACCGGCGTCCTTCATGATGGAAAGAGACACGTTGATATACTTCCATCTGTATTTAAGCTGCAGGCTTATGAACATTAATCCAAAAGATTTTATTTGCAGGTACCTACATATGTAATTTGACTTACACTAAGTGCAACTCATCATCAAATAAGCTTATTAGTCAAGGTAGTCTGTGCCGAGGTGTCAATACAATGAATTGGTAAAAGTGTGATTTGTACAGTTGTTTCCAGGCTAAGTTACATACATTGTATTTGTTCAACCTGTGTCTTACCTTCTCCGCTTGGCTTAAGACTCTGAGCAGGTTATTTCCCAAAGCAGCGTTGACCTCCTCATCAGTCCATCCCCTCCTCAGCAGTTCAGCCACCACTTTGGGCACCTTGGACACGTCCTCCAGACCCTCTGGTAGTCTGAGAGGATCACGTGCAGATGAATACAGACTCACAGGTGTTTGTTTACGGCTTCAACTCATCTTTCCCAGTGTTGCAAACAGAATCTGATGTTTACGTCAAAGCTTGAATGTTTTGATCTCACCTGGTTACGCCGTCGTAATCTCCACCAAAGCCAATGATGCCCGCGCCGGCCACTTTCTTTATATGGTCAAAGTGATCTTTCACAAAAGCAGTAAACATGAAGCTAAATTGCATGATCACACTGGTTCTTTTGATAGAAGCAATAATAAATGTTAATATTTAACCGGGTTTACAGCAGCTGTCCGGATCATAACAGTAGTTTACCGGCAACATTTGAGATCTTGGCGGTTTTGCTGCAGGTCACGTAATCGTTGTAGAAGTTCACCATAACGATTCCGCCTGTCTGGTTCTGGAGAGATAGACGGGATGTTACATGACAGTAACTCGCGTCCTGACTTATACAGCTCATCTATAGGATGGAGCTGTGCAACGTGCTGCGCTCCGTTAGCCTGCAAGACTCTAAAGTGACCAAACGTGAAGAAGTACAAGAACAGGGAGAGACGGATTCAAACTAAAAAGGGTAAAAGGGTAACAACCTCCCTTTTATCTCATCTATTGAAGTGCATGTCTCCCGTGATAACAGCTGCTTTTTATCTGATTTTGTTATATTGCTTATTGTTGCACAATAACCCTCTCCTCGCTTCATGGTTAACTGCCTTCAACCAATAATAATTATGCATCTCTGGAGACAACATGCCAATGTTTTTGATATCAGTGGTGGGAAGTAGATTCGTAACATTTAGTCACATGCTTTTTGTTGTTTTTTATTTCTCCCGCCTGACACGGAAGGAAACGTTGTATTTTTCTAATCCGCTAATGTTTTTTGACATCTGTAGTTTGAGATGATAGCTTTTCATGAACAAAAGTTTATGAAGTGTCGAGCTTGCTTGTACAACTCACCACTTTGAGGAGAACATCATCTGGGACGTTCCTCTTGTGCGGGCAGACGCTGTAGGCGGAGGAGTGGCTGAAGATGACCGGAGCTTGAGACATGTCGAGCACCTGGTTCATCACTGCTTCGGTCACGTGGGCCAAGTCGATCAGCATCCCCAGCCGGTTCATTTCCAATATCAGTTGCTGTTGTAAGCGAGCACAGTGGTCATTTCTGTTACAATTAACTCACAGTACCAAAAATATAAAATTGTATTCTGTGAGGAATCGCTTTTTTCTCACTGTTTTTTTCACACGGCTGTTAACCAGCATGAAAAATCAATATGAAATCTGATTTAGTTTAATATTTACAGGCGCTAATCAACTAGAAGGTTGAAAACGGTGTAAAATAGAAAATACAAATACATGTACATTGGAAGTATTTCCTCTTACAATTGTATTTTACGCAATATATTTAATGGCCAAAGGACAGTTATGCTGTAAAAATGCATAAATTCAATCATATGTGCTGTCAATACACATTTTTAGATGGATTATGTTTGAATTAAAGTTTGGTCATGCTTTCTGTAAAGACGCTTATGTGGTAGATAAGTTTTAAAGCAACGTTTTCCCATGACTGCTTTCACTGACCTTCCCAAAAGTAGACAGGCCGTTGTGTTGAGATGGCTCTGATCCAGTGTCAACAAGCCAGTTATCAGCCCTGATGAGAAACAGTCAACATACTTAACTACTCCCATGTCAAGTTGGTGATTCAAATGCCACGGCACTTTTTTTTTTTAATGTGTTCGAGTGTTATTCTGTTATTCTATGAGTATATATTAAATATATATTCTCACGCAGACCAAATAAGTAAGCAACAGTCAGGTGAAAAACTACACAGGTGCCGTAGTGTAGAAGGGAATTTCCAGTTCCTTGTGTATCATTTACAAGATGTTCCTCCACAGTTACGCTCCTTTAACCAACTAAAGTGCTGAGGAAATCGGATAATGCTGCTTGTAAGCTGAACCGAGCTGCAGGAATCCCCTGAACTCCCCACAGCACAATCTAAACTGACCCCGACTACATACACCAGACGCACAAGAAACTGCCAAATAGGGGCGGGGGGGCCAAACAGCAACTCGTTAAACTGAATAAAAGCATTACAGCAATTACTATAACAATACAACTACTATGGCAGGGCAGTGGTCATATGTAACTACGTACATTTATGAGGTACTAGGATTTTTTCGTTCCATGACAGTTTGTACCTTATACTTCACCACATTTATTTGGCAGTAATAGTAACTTTCATGTTTAGTATATTAAAATAAATTGCCAGATTCAGTTATACAGGCACATTTCCTGACTGCTGTCACTTACCACGGTGTGTTGCAGGAATGTGTGAGTGTGAGGTAACGGACCCCCAGGTGGTACATGGTGCGCAGCGTGGCCAGACTGCTGTCCAGGGAGTGACCCCCCTCCACCCCGATCAGACTGGCCGTCCTATTCGTGTTGAAAGCCTCCATGATGTCTGTGATGTGTGTATACATGAAGAGAAGAGATGAGATGAGATGGGTGAGACCACTTATGAACAGACGTCTCTAAAATGACTGAGACACCTCGTCTCACCTTGGCTACTGGTGGCAAACATGAAGGTTTCAGGGTATTTTTCACACATCCTGTGAACCACATCTATCTGCTCCAGTGTTTGTCTGACAGCATCTTTGTACTGAGACTCACAGGGAACGTAGGCCGACCAGAACTGAAAGAGGAACGAAACATTTATGAGCACCGCTGTGTGTCCAGGGAAGGTTTATGGAGCCACAATGTGCCTTGTTAGAACCTCATCCCTTTACCCTTGATTGATGAATGATTAGCTATGCGTTGTTTGTGTAACCTGAGACACAGTTTCTATGTTACAATGGCTGCATGAAAATAAGCCGAATGGAAATACACAGTTCATTCTCAACAATTTCACATAAATCATGGAAATAACGTCTGGGAGAAATGATAAACTATTACACTCATTTAAAAATGTGTTGCACATAAGTCAAGGTTCCAGATTCCATTAAAAAATGTTCACCTGAATGATACAGATTGGATGCAGTGAATCAAAAATATGAGTGGTTTAGATGTTAGAATAGTCAGAATAGTTTGAGCAACAAGCCTCACATCCCAGTGAAATCTCCAGATGTGTTACATAACTCAAGAAAATATGTGAAATGTGAAGCCAAATTGAAAATAACACACTGACAATCACTTGACTTTGAGAGGACAGCTACAGTACATTATGTTCTGTGCAGACCTGTGCTCCCAGCCGCCCTGCCTTGATTTTAGGGATGTTGGTGTGTGTCGTTTCCAAAGTGTTGAGATCAACTTTGTTCAGCTCGTTGTTGAACTGCAATCGGAGCTGCCATGGCAGGTCGTTATGGCTGGAAAAAACATAAAGTTAGAGTCACACACACACAGATGCTTTTTCATCATCAACAGGGAAGAAAAATCACTCGTACTTGCTCACAGAAGTTGTTGTCTTCTGCAGAACAATTACAATAGTTCTGTTGTTGTTGCTTTAAATGGCAAACGGCACATCTTTAGAACCAAAACAGCAAGCACAGCTGACTTTATAGAAGATGTGTTTCCACTTACCCATCGATGAGAGGCGTCTTGGACATCAGCTCCAGCGCTCTGGTCATGTAGGGATCCTGAGCTGAGGTGAAGACAGAAGAACTGATCCATAGAGTCAAATATGCAGCTGAGATGACCTTAGAAACCATTCCTGAAGCTCTGACAGCCTGGTCACTGCTCTTCTAAACCTTCTTCTCAGTCAGCCTTTTTGCAAGATCTCGACCTTCCTTTAAACTTTGAGTAATCCCGATGCTGCTAACAGCTCCTGCAGGTTCCTCCCTGGTTAACCAATGGACGTTTTTTTATGTTTTTGCTTGAATCACAGCAGATCCTTTCAGTTATCACTCCAGTTTACAGTCTGCGATATGATGATCCACTGAGAGCCTGAGCCTGTTGCTCATTACAGTGTCTGCAGTCGTAAATCAAACACGGGAGTGTACAAATTCTTGCTCAACACCAGCTCAGCATTCTGCAGCACATTATTTTACGGTCAAGACGACTGATTGACAGAATCACATGTGTGTGCGTCTTTGTACTTTGCTTATCCTCAACAGGTTGAAGTCTGTATCCAGAGCGCGCTGCAACATTTCCCTCTGTGTCATAGACCTGAATTGCTGTCAAAAACTGTACAACAAAAGGAAATAAATGAGTACACTTTTATACTGTCCACAAATATGAACATGGTTTGTTGTTTGTACTTGAATACATCTCACATCACACAATCCCGCACAACTATTAATATCAATGAGCTATAAGCTCAAACACTACTTGTTTTTTTCTGAATAATACAAATAATCGCTGTCTTTACCTCTCTGGAATGACATATCTATCACATTGAGGGCATCTGCCTTTAACAAGTTGCAAAGAAAATTTCTTCAAAGTCGCAGCATGACAAAATTAAGCTGAATCAATACAAACTTATGCATAGAAATACACATATTTGTGCACAAACATTCATAGAATACTTTGGACATCATTAGACATTATATATATATGTATACATCACACACACACACACACACACACACACACACACGCGCGTACGCGGCCCAAACTCACAACACGCTTTGTGTAATGACTGAAATGAGCACTAAAAGCTTAATCTACTTTGTAACAACAGATGTATTGTTCTATTGCCTCTAATGACTCCACTTTCTTATCTTCAAGGCTGCTTTTTCAAATTAGTCAATAAACATGAGGATCTCCGGTAAATGACGCTCACATGAGTGGCTCAAAGAGTGAAATAATGATTATTTTATTCATTTTAGGGAAGTATTTGTTTGCTTCCCACCTAATTTCAGCGAAATGATGGATGTTTATTGACTTGTCACACAATGTGCATCAGTAGGTATCTTTTAGTTTTAGTTACGCTGTCTCCATAGTCTAATTTTCAAGAGGAACTAAAAAAGAAATTGGTTCCATTCACTTTAAATTTATAATAAAGACTTTAAAAGCACAATGTCACCTTTGTTCATTTACACTCAAATGCTACTAATATTTAACAAAGAAAGTTATTATACATTTTCTCTTTGGGCAGCATCAACATTTCTTTCAACTACACAGGAGATATATAAACATCAAATATCAACCAAATTAAGCAGCAGAGAAGAGCATTTATGTCCGAGCATCACAGACATGAAGACATAAGATGTCTTTATCCATCAAACAGATTATTGTCATTAAATATCTTCAAAATGATGCTTGAATTAACGCAATGTTGTTCATGCATATTTGCATCATCATGGTGCTGCGTACAGAAAAACAGAATTACATTCAATCTACTAAACTATACACGTTTGTGTAGTACTGGGGGGACGAATAAGATCACGCTTAAGTGGTTTAGTTCCCTATTTTGCAGAGATGAGCGATAAGTAATACTCAGCAGTGAAGTAACAAAATAAACAAGTTAGACTCGTGAAGTAACAGCGCTCACAGGAAAAGTCACACACCGACTTAATGAGAGACACATTGTGAATAGTGTTTTCTTTGGCAAGTACTGTGAAATACACCATGGCAACAGCCACCCTTTGAGAAACGTCTTTGTGTTTCCTCTTTTTGGATCGTGTGAAGTCTGTGAGGTCCCTCAGTCCCTCCGACAGAGCGGAAGCACACGGACAGACGGTAGACAGAGGCCAGACCCGAGCGACCGAAACTTAACCTCAAAAGGAAAACTAGGGGCCGCTGAAACAGAAAGAAAGCGACCTGCATCGAGGTCGGAGATGGCCAGGTTGGACGTAGTAGAGACCTTTCATGGCTTATTCTTTCCTGGACACCTGCACACCAAGGATTCCTTACAACAGGCTCTCCAGTTTTCATTTCAGGACTCGGATGTCCTCATTGTCTCTTACCCCAAATCAGGTAAGAAGAGACGACCAACTGAACAGGATGCTTAACATAAGATAATCCTTTATTGGTCCCGCAGTGGGGAATTTTACAGGATTACAGCAGCAAAGGCGTAAAATCTACATCAAAAAAAAGATCAACAACAAGGATCCACAATAACTAAAATGAAATGATATAATACATATGTATAGAAATATGAAATAACACATACTTACACATATATATGACACACTTTCTCAATGAATTAGACCTTTGATTAGTACTGTATATATGTCATTATTATTATAATATAATTATTGCATAGATATGTCGAAATGAAACGAATCAAAGTATGAAATAGTCTGACTTGAATTTCCATGACGCATTGCTACACAGTAGGCTTTATACTTCATCAGTTCAAGATACTTTTGATTTCTCACAAGGGGTTAATCCACAAATTTCCACCACAGGCACCACATGGCTGCAGGAAATTGTGACGCTCATATCCAGCAAAGGGGACCCACACTTGTCCCAAACTGTCCCAAACTGGGCTCGGGCTCCTTGGCTGGAGCAACATTATTTCGCTGCGTTGATGGCGGCTTCGCCCTGCGCGGCTCGAATCATCACCACCCACCTGCCACACCACCTGCTGGGCCCCACCCTCAAGGACTCCAAAGCAAAGGTCAAATTTAAACAGTTTATTTGCGTGTTTGGACCAAAGAGTAGAGGGATAAACCGATGAATTGTCCTGGCTAGCATGTATTTATTGCAAACACATCGGCGTTAGTGTACATGCCGGCCCATAAGTAGGAAGACGTTGCAGCACAGGAATGCCAAAGGTTTGAGGTAATGCAGTTATATTGTCAGTAGTTTTGACACATATTGTAATTTAAACAATTTAAGAAAAACATCTGTATCAGAATTAAAGGTTAATGTTGGGGAATAATGTTTTCTATGCATACTGCGAGTTCCTCTGGTTCCTCTGTGACCTCTTCTATTTACAATGCCCCGGTGTCATCATAACAGGAAATACAGTTCCCCTGAATTATGGTCTGTGTATCTTTTATTTTTAGCATTTAACATATGCTGTCTCTCCTTTTGCCTTTTACGGTGTTGTTATTAATGTAGGTTTCCGATGGGTATTAAAGGCTTCTCTTCACACCAAGAAGCTTATCAGATCTTCCTGCTCCTCTAAGGGAGAAGGAACAATCTGTCCCCTTGAGTCTTCTGGACTTCCGTCTGTATTTACGGCTTGTGTAGATGATTTCTGTATTCTTTACGATTATTCTGTATTTTAGTTAGTAATAAATACTTATATTATATATAACACAAACAAGTTTAAGATACTTTTGATTTCCCACAAGGGCTTTATCCGCTAATTTCTTCCACAAATGTTTCATGTAAAGCGAAAGCAAATGTATCTGCATTAGACTTTTTTAGAAATGGCTCAAGCTGTACCGGACATGCAGAGGACACTGTGCTGTGTCATTTCACAGGTCATCTATGTGAGCAGAAACCCTAAAGATGTCGTAGTTTCCTTTTACCACTTCCACAAAATGGCCAACTTCCTACCCGAGGCAGGCTCATTTCCAGAGTTTCTAAACCGGTTCCTGGAGGGCACACGTGAGTAGATCTTAGGACAAAAAGACGACGTGATATTTTTTCAAATTCCATTTTGTTAAGCTGTCTCTGCACCCAAAAATGCAATAATTTATGCTTTTTCTTTGTCCCAGTGCACTATGGCTCCTGGTTTGACCACATTAAAGGCTGGACCAGTCAGATGAACAATGTGCTTCACATCACCTATGAAGAGATGTCGATGGTAAAGGACAATTGATTCATCATTTGTTCATACTATTTTTGGAGAAATACTTATATACCCAATAAAAAATATCTGGGTGAGCACAAACTGTGCCTTCAATACACACTCTTCCCCTCTCAAATCTGACTTCCGACGTTGTCATTATTTATCATGAATTAAGGCAGCTAATCAAAAAGTCCACCCGATGCTTATTTCTTTTGTTTCGGCTGTCAGGACATTCGAGGTGCCATTGAGAGGTTGAGTGCTCATCTGCAGAGTCCCTTGCTGGAGGACGAGCTCAACAACTGTGTGAAACACTGCAGCTTCAGCAGCATGAAAGGCAACAAGATGGCCAACTACACTCTGGTCAACAGGGAGATAATGGACCACAACAAGGGCTCCTTTATGAGAAAAGGTGGAGATAAATCAAACTTGGTTGATTCATTATGTCCTATGTGTGACCAAATTGAGAAAAATGACAATCAATCGCTGTCAAAATTGGAAGCTGCTATTAAACTGTGGTTTCCAACTTGAGGGTCAGCTAGTACAAAGGAGGCCCGAGATCAATCCCAAGGGTCATAAAGTAATTAAAGATGTTAATATTGGCATTATATCTGGATAACAATCAACGGGTCTGACAAAATAATAAAATAAATATTACGTATGTGAAGCTGTCGCAGGCTTGTATTAAATCTCTCCCTGTTTAATCCTGCTGGTTTCTCAGGATTAACAACCCCTTGTTTTAAATTAGATGAAAAAAAAGTGAATTGGCCCATTTTTCATGTTTTTAAAAGGTTGGTTTATATCTGTAATCTTTATAAACAGGTTTGAATTTTAGTTAAGGAGGAAATATAAAAATAAAATAAAAATATTGTGCTTCAATCGTGTACTGTATGTAAATGTACCTATAGTGAATAAGGTTGTTAAATTACATATTTGGCCACTAATTGAATCTTATCCCCCGCTATTCCCTCCATAAAATTCAGGTACGATTGGAGACTGGAAAAACATGTTCACAAAGGAGCTGGACACACATTTCAAAAGTGTCTTCGAGTCCAAGATGGAGGACTGCACTCTGGAGTTTGTGTGGGACGAGCCGCAATCAGACGAGACACACGCTGACGAATAAATCCCGCTGATGTTGCATCCCGTGACATACAGTAAATGTACCGTAGATTAAATGGATGAAGGGCCACTTGGGACACGTAGTGCTCCGTAGCTTTTAATGGCTGTTGTAAACCTGTTTTTTTTAATGCACTAGTGTTTGATGTAGCATTTGATCAACACAGTGAACATAGGGAAGAGGTCAAAGGTCTTAACATACAGCTCCTCATCCAGAGGGCTGAATTTTCCTTGTGTATCCTCTCAGAAAGAAAAGTGTTGCTTAACCTCCAGCTGCTATGCACCGCAGATCAAAATTGTATATGTGTGTGTATGAAGCGAGCTTTCGGTCCACATTGTAGAGAACACACGGCCAACATCAGTCTGGTGAAGGTTGATATGAGCATTAATCCCCAGACGCTCATAGATGACACCGGATCATATTACTCATGTTCTGCATCCAAGACTGAAATTGTAGATATTTCTCTTTTGTGGAGGGCAAAATAGTAATAATCCTTTTTTACTAAAATTACAGCAAAAAACTAAAATAGCACATTATAATATTCTGTAAATGTAATTCTAATATTCTAACAGCACATGTCTTTTGTTTGTCATCTACTGGAATTTCCTTACCGAACACCTTGTGTGTCTGTCTGCTTTGTAAGTACACGTGATGTGGGGAAGACTGGGTGAATGAATATCCTTCTGTCTGGTTGAAAAGGGCACTTTATTTATCAGCGTGAAAGAGCAAATGAAAGAGGAAATTACCCCAATTACAATTCCACCAAACATTTTATTCAGTTGAACTTTCATATCTTAACTAGGCTAAACAATAAAAAGGGAGTTTAAACAGCAGCATGGCTTTCTGTGGTGTTTTTACTTCCAATGCCCCATTAGTGAGCTGCTTATACACACCGGGCCGATTCTGATGGGAGGCTTGTGTTCAAGGACCTGTGTGACAGTTTAGTGCATTTGTTTAATGAGCGTGTGAATTGTATATGTACACACACACACACACACACACACACACACACACACACGTGTACATGTCCACGTATTTTTGATGTCAGATGTTGAAACTCAAGCTTTTGCAATCTTGTCGTTTCAAAATGTGTTGTGAAAGCCAGAGTTCCTTCTTTTAATAAAAGTGATGTGTCTTTTCCTTCACGGTCTCACTTGGGTCTTTTAAATTAGGCTGGTGCTGCTTAATTGAGTTGACAAAGGCTGTGCTGTGTCAATATGAGCTTCTAGTAAAGTCCATGCCTGCTCAGACACACGTTTTGGGGATTTGTGCATTTTCCTGTGTACAAACACTCACTCATTTTGTGTGAAAGGTTACTTCACACTTCTCTATATTTGCAGTCTGCTGAGGGGAAGGAGATTCACAGGACAAGCTGATGTCACTCTGATCCAGACTGTTCAAACCTTTGCTATGGCCTTCATTGATGTTTTACATTTTAAGCAGCTGAAATACGTTTGTTATTAAGCTTTTTCAATGTCTACAGAACAAATGATTAAATTATTACCTTTATCATTGAGGGGAAAGATGGCATATTTCTATTTCAGCTAGCTGAACCTCTGCTCAAGTTGAATTGGCCTGATGTCTTGTAACCAATAATATAAATATAAATAAGTGCTCCTCGTCCAATGGATGCCACATCACTAATAGGATACATACATTTTACCGAAATTATATTATTATTCCAATTGTTTCTACCATCTTCACTGAAGAACAGCGACGTTGACTTCATGACACTTGTACAACATGTCCTCCTAAATTATAGGTTTGACTGGCTCCGAACGTGGGAGAAACTACCAGCAATAAGATATTTACAACTTACAAATCAACTTTGATGTTTGGACCAGTCTCTGGCAGGTCATACAACTTTATGGAAGTGCAGTAATCAGCCACCGGAAAATGACGTGAGAAGATGAACTGATTAGTGAAAGCTACTAAGGTTTTACCCAGTCAAGGCAAGTACTTTAAAAATGTTTTGACCTAGAATACATTATTTTAGGGTGATTTTTGTTGTTGTTGCTAATTCATGAGGTAGCTTCTGGACAGTAAAGAGAGTCCACCTGTACAACACTGATATTGAACTCTGTAAAGTTGGATCAGTCATTCAGTCTTTGTGGTTTTAGGGAGAGAGACGCATATCAACTGAACCGCTGCTGAAGGTGCCTCTGTGATAAAAGTCAAAAATAAGACATTTCAGCACATAAGCAGCACCTCTATTTTGTTGCCCAATAAAAAAAGCTACGTCCACAATGAACAGATGGACCTCCTACTTTAAACTTGTTTGTTTATTTAATTGTTTTCTATCAGGCTGAAGTGACAGATCTGAGCCCTGAACAGAACAGGCTTGTGATGATAAAAAAACGGCTAAAAAGGGGGAATTGTTGTGAATAACCACTAGGAGGAGGGAGAGATCACCACTACGGTGGCTCAGATACTGCATTTATTTTGATCTGTTTCCTGGCGATATCAGGTCAGTATTTGAAGGGAAGTATCAGTCATAATTAAGCAGATAAGCCTAATCCTGGTCAGGCAACCAGTGGAAAAATGGTCCATCAGGTGATAGATTGTGACATATCTGTTGTATTATTGCCTTTTCAAAAGCTCGGTGTGTTTGTGTGTCTGCAGAACAGCCAGTACAAAGGCGGGAGATGAAGCTCAGAAAGCTTCTGTTTCCTAGTTACAAATGACAACAAAGTACCCAATGTGGCAGCTGAGTACACATGATGCTTCAGCAGCAGACTGGCTTATGAAATACCACTAATTTGTTATGTTTGATTACTCAATAACAGATGGTCGGATTCAGAAGAACATTTGCCTAGACGCTTTTCTGTTTCTGTTGTGTTTCTGTCTGTTCGGATGTTCACAAAGTGCCATAATCAGCTAATATTTACATAGTAAACCTGCTCCCTGTTTGCATATCTAATAATGGGTGCAATAATACTAAAACACGATAATTGTCATCATAAATCAGATTATGCAGCCTTGCAGGATCAGAAAAGAATCTTGCACCAAAGCCTTTAAATTGCAACATATGAACAGATGCCTAAACAAAACAGTGTGTTTTACAGATGTTAACCCTGGGTTACTTAACTGCATCTCAAATGCAGATTCTGCGTTCTCTCCCTAAAGATTTAGAACGTTTTTTTTCCACAACGCCAAATTAAGTGTCGGAGAAACTGTGCCGCATGGACAATGCATGTGAGATCAAAACTGTTTCTATTTCAGTTCAAGAGCACATTTGTTAAAGTCTTTAGATAGTTTTTGACTTGGATTTGATGATATTGTATCGGTATTAATCCCTTGACCTGTTCATAAATGCTATAAAAAAACACTTGTGAGCACTGACCAACAACGTTATAAGTTAATTGCGTTACCGCCTAAAGAGAAATACCATATCTGACCATATATTCCTTTTTCGGCTAATTGAGCAAAAGGAGAAAACTGCTTCAATAGAGGTTTTAGATGAAACAGATAAACAATCCTCCATGCTGATTCTGGAATTACACTGCAGTGTTCTGACCTCCGTCTGCAGGAGTGATGGAGCCAGAGAGAGTACATTCGGAGACTGGTTGAGAGTAATGGCCCTTGACAGGGATATTAATGTTTTAGAAGCCATGGAGGAGAACCTCATGCAACCTACTGCAGACCTGCTAAAAGTACTTCCTCCAGCAGCTCCCCTTTTCTTGTTTCAAACGACAAAAAAAAAATCTCTTTCTACTGTCGATGTGACATCACTGACTGTGAACCAAGACACGCTCACGTATACACTGCTGGACCACGACGGACCTTTGATGTGATGTGAGACGTGATGCGAGTCTGAGTGCGTCAACCGTCCCACCAGATCACTCCTATCCAAAGCTTTAATCTGAAGGTTCCCTGCAGGGTTGTAATTGAAAGCCGCTCTCGAAAGATTGTATGTGATACTCAAATCAGATTATGCCATACAAGTGTAATGGTCCACAAGTCAGGTTGTCAAGAGCTAAGATTATATATATAAAACATATTATATTTTAATACGTTACACACACTACAGTGTCACAACATATTTAGGCGTGAGTCTAGTTTAGTTTTTTGGAAACTCCAATACTTTCTCTTTATGTACCTGATAAGGAATACACAAAATAAATTACGAAAATGGAATAAAATGTATTAATATATACATAATAATTTAAAAAGGCAACAAAAGGGTGATTTTTCCTTTTGCGTCCTGTCTGTCAGGTGGGAGAGTTTGCCTTCAAGTATCTGGATAATGGGGTCGATCACAGGGCTCATGCATTCATCCCTGGGGAGTCGAGGTGATGCAGCATGTGCTGCACGGCGACGGCCTGTAGGCATTAAATCCTGTGATGGAGGATTTCTTGGGGACTTCACACAGCTCCAGTGATTGGTTGAAGATCAGTGGGAAGTTGGGGGGGGGCACAGCTGGTCAGTACAGACCTTCAGGCAGGAAGTCGACACCCCGTCTGGGCCCGCTGCCAATCTTTAGTGGGGGGTGAGAAGGAGGCGGGGGGTGTAGATGATCGCTTGATGATGGTGGGGCAGTGGAGGGTTGTTAAAGTGGGCTGATCAAACCTGCAGTAAAGGACATTTAGGTCGTCCACCTGTTTGTGATTCCCGTCTGTTCAACTTTTACAGGTATAATTAAAATATGAAATCGCGCAAAATATTTGAGAAGACGGTCATGTGTTATCCCTATCTCCTCAACCTGAGCTTATATATTCTCATCATGCACTGAAACGTCTCTCCTTCACTTTTGATGTGACTTCCCTCTTATTTTTGTCGACCATATTGTACGGCTGGAAAAGCAGCTCTTATCACCCTACTTATTCAGTGAAGAGAAGCATTTGTTGTTGAGGCAGTTCATGATCTGTGACAGACACATAAAATGTCAGATCAAAATATCTTTTCAGTTCCACCAGCAGTGGTGGGAAAACCCCCAGATGTGAGCAGCAGTGAGTTCATGTCTATTCTACTGTCAACGTTTGTCAAATTTCCATATAGACTCTGTACCTCTGGCATCTGTATCTCCTCGTCCTCGGTGGGTCCGGTGCAGAACATGTGGTCCTCTGCCGTCGCTGGGAGCTCGGTTCATATTCTGCCTCACAGGCGGGGCGATCGGCCTGGGGAAGTACGTGGTATTTGAGTGATGTGGAAGGGGTAAGCCCCAGCCGGTGATGACCCCTGACCCCTCAGAGCTGTCTGCCAGGTCCCGGCTTCTCTCGGGCAGCGGGATGGGGGTCACTTTATTGCTCATAACCACAGGCTCCTTCAGTTGGATCAGAACCAGGTCACTGGCCCACTCAGATGGCTTCTGGAAGACCGGATGGAGAACAAGCTGCCGGAGGGAAGTTAAAATACCAGGGATGTTGCATGTTTAGTCTTTGCTCTTTTCATTTTCATTCAGCTGAAATGCAGTAGCCTTTAAATGTCATCAAATATTAGCTTAATTAGGAAAAATAGATCTATTTTCCTGACTCTGTTATGAAATATTCAATATCTTGTCACTGTCCAGATTTATTATTTATCTCCCAAAACCTTTTTCTATATTTCTGTTCCAGTCACCAAACCCCACGAAAAGTCCATGATTAGGTTCACGTACTCGTACTCACGTACTCACACCGAATGTTCCAGCCGTGGCACTTAGTTGCACTCGAGAATGAATCATAGCTCAGTAACTGTCAACAGCTGTGCACCAAAGTTTTTAGAACCCGTAACTCAAACAGGGCTAGAGAGTTTTTCCCTGGGACTATTTTCTGCAAGGATTAATACACATTCCATACACTAATGAGTATTGCTGACATCAGCATAGTGTGAAGCAGCTAAGTCCAACCCCCATGGGACCTCAGAGCACCATCTAGTTGGTCACAGGGGTACTGCTAGAAAACCAAACCCTAACTAACCCTAACCCCAAAACGTCATATCAAAATGCACAATGAGGTTAATAAATGAGACATGTTTGAATATCAACATGGTAATCACAGATAACGTGTCATACCACTGTTATGCATTACAGATGAGGGCATAGCACGTTTCAACGCCCAGGTTACCTGATTATTTCTTGTTTTTAAAGCAGTCAGTATTGGGATTAATTCACTATTCTTTAGAATTTCTCGATCCTTAATGGCTGAGAAAATCCTCCAATACTAGTTTCATACATCCTAATGTTAAATCAAGACCGAGTCACACTTTCTTAATTTGTACATCATAAAAAATAGACTGAAAAATAAGTTGATTACTTACATCATGCAACAATTCATTATAGGCATCCATGAAACCCAGCACACACTCGTGGTGCATTTGAATTGCAGCCTCGGGCTCTTCAATGCTTGCATAGGTTTGTGTATCCAACCAAACGTCTCTCTTCCTCTGCTTCACTGCAGCAACTTCTCTGGAGTCACCAGCCTCTGCCAGCTCTGCACGCTCCACGAATGACAGCATATTGACCCTGATTGTCTGGTCCGCTCTCCCTGACAAACGGGTTCAATACCCAGTACTCGGAGATGAGAGCACCGCCCGCCCCGCCTCCGTCCAGCACACCAGCAGCAGTGGACCATGGCGTGCCCCTTCCCCCCTCTCCCCCCATTCTTCTGTTCCGAACCTGCAGGTGAGCAAATAAACAAGGGACATACTTCTCGTATAAATATCTATGTAGAGTCATAGTATAGTTTTATATATATTTTCCTATTTGTTGTTCCCTTCTGACCTACAATGCGGATCAGGTAAACACCTGATGGTTGATCAGACTGATCCTCAAGGACTAAAAGTATCAACACCTTGTGGGCCACTGACTCCACCACAAACCAAGTCAAGTGTTTTTTTTATTGTCGTTCAACCATATACAGTTATTACAGTACAGAGCAAAACGAGACAACGTTCCTCCAGGACCACGGTGCTACATGAAAACAACATGGTCTCTAGACTGGTCTACTTTTTGATTTATTATCAACTAAAAGCTCATTCTAAACTCTAGAAAAGAACTTGCATGCATTTCAAAAGAGCAATCCTTTTCCGTTGAAATCTCAATGATTCATTCTAAATAGTAAAGGTTTAGCTAACTAACTAATCACTGTGATACATTCCAAGATGGCTGACTTGAGCTCAGGTATTAAGAACGTCTCGCTATTTTAAGTAGTTCATCTTTGTGTGTTAAACACCAGTGACGGCACTTTTGTTCTAACTCGCTTTCCCTCCTGTAGAACTTATTTAATTAAACATGGTCTCTTTGACACTAAGATTATCATGTTGAAGCTCTAAGGGTTTCTGCCCGAAACAGTGGGCTCTGATTTATTTATCATGAAGCAAAGAAAAAGATCCACCCACTCGCTGAGCTTTGATCCAAAAGTCTTTTGTGTGACCAAGATAATAATGATGATCTTCAGCTGAGTGATGCTACATGCTTACTACACAGACGGTTTAATTAACTGTTCATGATTATTAACAGTGTTGCTGTTACATGCGGACAGGGCTTATTAACAAGGACCCTTTTTCTGGTGTCTCGTTTCAACCCACTAAACGGTGGCTTTCAAGAGCAATTAAATCAAACAAATGACTCACTGAGACATTATTTTGATATATTAGAGAGACTGCATAAATATGACAAGTTAAAAAATGGTAGATAGTGCTGTTATATTAATTAAAATCAGCTCACTTCTTGTATCAACATGCCTCCAGTCAGAATTACTCAAATTATCTTAGTGGCCTCTGAATGCTTGGTTGATTATATATATTTCTAAGGGCTGTTTGAAGATAGATAGTCAGATAGTCGAATGGAGGACACTATCTGAAATGAGCAGCAGCACTCCAGCTCTTAGACCCTGCAGGAAAGCCCCATCTCGTTTTATGAAAGATTTTCCATCTGAACAGCGGCTATCGAGGAGCGCTTAGTGTGAAAAACATCTTCAAAGAAATGGAGCCTTTGGTTGCTTCAACCCACTTGAATATGTTTTGACAAAAAATGCTGCTGTTTGGACAATAGACACGTTGAATGATATATTCAGAATATACGTATGATCCCAGACTTAATGTCTTATATTTACTATGTTTTGCTGGCTGTGTCGCACCCTAAGATCGGTTGACAAAAAATAAAATGTGTTATTATTATTATTTTTATATTCTACGGGATGTGTTTAAATCCATAATAAGATGTTTAATCTCACAGTATTTTGTTTTAAGTTTTTACATCGATATTCAATATTTATGAAAAATATCTTACACTATAAATAATGAATATTGATGTAAAAATAGAATGTGTTTTTTAATCAAGAGACCATGTATTGCATGTCTGTGTTTGTCTGACAGCGTTGTTTCATCCTGTCTTACAGTTGAACCAGAAAACCCCTCAAAAAAGATTCACATAATTATCAAACACTCAACATTTGCCCATTTCTAGGTATATAATGACAAATTGTAAACGAATCAGTTATTCAGGTAAAAGGTTAGATAACTAAATGTTTGATTTACAAGAGCTCACAAATAGTTTCTGGATCATTGTTGGAAAATTAATCAGAGATCAGATTTCTCACACTGGAATTATGATTACACTTACAGATCATAACCGTTTTTATGGCTCAGATAGATTTTCCTTAGTTTATAATATTTGGTCTTGAAGAAGTGAGATTTATAGTCGGGTGTTTTGAGAAAAAATATTAGATGATGTTCATTTCATGCGCTGACGGCTACATCTCTCCTTCTGGAGAGTGCTCTACATTTTTGAGTAGAGTATTTATATCTTTTGAGGTACTGACCATCTGCCAGGGAAATCTTTGCTTTGCAGAAAAAAAAAATGATTCCATAATTCTGAATTTTTTTTATCTCAACTATCGAGATAAAAAAAAAATCTCTGTAACCTTTTAGAGTAAACTCAAACATTCTGATCATATTTCAATTCATATGAGTCATGAATCTACCATAACTTGAATCTATCAAGTTATGGTAGATTCAGCCATTATTTACGCCCGGAGCTCTCCTGGGGTGGATCCTGGGTTTGGGGTATTTTACAAGTTCATAGAAGTTTATGAAGTCATTTCACAGTGTTCAGTGTAACTGAAGCTTTACAGTGGTCAGTGACCCAAGGCGAGCGAACCCTTAACTGGATCAGACGCAGAAGCCGAGTCACGAGTAGGCGTTGCCTGCTCTGAAAATCAGCCCTTTGACATCATGGTGTCATTTTAGATCCACTGAGCTGCAATGCAGGTACAGCGTGCACAGATTATCCAGATGTACTTTTTTAGAACATGCCAAGAACATTGCATTGAAGAATTATTTGAGACATTCATTAACCAGACAGGATGACATCTTGTAACTTTGGTGACTAACCTTTCCTCTAGCTTCACCAGAAGGTAAAGGTTTCCAAAATGTTGTAATTATGTATTTAATATTACACCATCGACATGTGCGTATGTGTCGCACTCCCACATAACAGCCATAGTCACCATCACCTCCGAGGAAATCCAAACAAACAAATGCTGCTTTCTTGTGTCTCATTTTAGCAGCACTTCTACCAGAGCTTTTCTCATTCTAGGTGACAGCAGGCTATAAATGTAGTTTTCTATTGCATATTGTCATATTACCAGGACCCCATATGCACTCACAAAGCAGCCAGGTTATATCTAGTTGGAAAGCAGAATGGCCTTTATATTGTAAGACCGTATAATATGTAATAGGCCAAATAGTCATTTATTTGGCAGGTTTACAAAACCCTTGAGGATCAAGTTACATAACGCTGCATGAAATGTATGTGGCTGTGTATTCCTTTGCTCTGGCCTCAACACATTTACTTCAGCATTTATGCTTGGAATCAGAGGTCCATTCTTACATTTCAGTTTTAAAGTTGTTGCTGTTGAATGACTTGTCTCAGAGGTATGCCATGTATGATCAAAGTCAAGGACACAGGGACAACGGCTTTGGCCTTTGTACTACGTAGTATCTCTCTGCGGCACTATTTCCATCTATGTCTCTCTCATCCATTCTGTGTCTTTTCTTTACACGAGCCGAGCCTTAGAAATTAAAAAATGAAGAAAATTGTAATTAGTTTGGGGACAATGAACATACAAAGAGTGAATATCGTCAGCAAACGAACAGATGCTTGAGGGCAAAGTAAAAAATGAAATAACCAAATCTAACATAATGGAGCGGTGCCTGAAAGCGAGAGTTAATCAGGGATGGAGGGTGCGAGCTGCAAGACATGAGAGAGGATTTAGGGACGAGGGGGAGAACATGAGAGGTTTGAAGAGGAGGGACGCCAGAGGGTGAACGTGGGAGGATGAGTGACAAAGGAGCCGCTGAGGACTTTACCTTGAAGCCAGGAAATAGCGTGTGAATGTGATAAGGCGCTCAGAGGGTTAGGGGAGGAGAGAGGGTGGAAGCAAGAGAGTGGGGACTGGAGGTTGAGCGCTCCACAAAACGAGAGATAGGCTGAATCACAGGGACAAAGAGCCGGAGCGCGTGAGAGGCTTCTTGGTGTGAATGAACGATAAACAGGACTACCCCTTCTTCTTCTCTGGATTTTACACCCACAACGCTCAAACGGGATTGTTCACCTTTCTTCTCTGCACAACTGCTCCAAGGTCCCTAATAGCAGAAATGCCGGTAAGATTTCTTTTTAAATGTTCATTTTATTTATTTATTTATTATAGTTCTTTTCCATGATAAATCAAATCAAGACATAAAATGATTATTTCGAAATATGTTTGTTTTTCAAATATATTTTTTTCTTGCATATTAGAAAATGGATCAGGCTGCACTCACATATACATTTCTGTTTGAATAACTACTTTGCTTAGAATACTTAACTGTTGATGAATTGCAATGCCTTACATTTAAAAAACTGACTGTACTGTACATTGCCGGTGTGAAAATGTTTCTGTATTATGGCTTTAAGTTGATCCACCGGGGTCCAGGTGTGATACATTTCATTATTACTAAGTAGCCTATAGGGTTAGTGACTTATTGTTAGCAAGTGATTTGAGAAAATAGTTGAGCAGTTTTTCTAACCAAGCAACAAAATAGTTCTAAATAATGTTAGTTAGTTTATGTTATATTTTCATCCTTGTCCATATATTCTGACCCAAACTTTACATTTTCAGTTAGGAGAAATCTTTTCGTTAAATTTTGATTGTATGAAATTGCTTCCAATAAAATAAATATTGCACAGGCATGCAGTAGTTTAAGTCAAAATAGGTGGGAATATGTGTAACAGACTCATTGAAAGGATGGAAAGAAAAGTTTCAGGAGTTCAACTGTAATTTATTAAACTCTTGCAGGCTGTAAATTACAGCCTGCAAGTTGCTGTCTAATTATTTAATGAATACATGTCATTGATCAAGATTAGAACATTAGGGTTAACAGTTTAGTGTTTAAGAGGGATTTCTTGTTTTTAATTACTGAGCAACTATGTAATACAGCATGGATGCAATAGCAAAGATATTGGGTAACAACCAATGAAAAATAGACCAACAGTCTTGATACTGAAAAGAAATTCTTAATATTATGGCTGTTCCAAGGATAGAAACATGATTATAATACAGACTCGTTGTATTCAGTGTTCAAATACAACTCAAAAAGAACCAATGAATTATTGCACAACTCATAAATCGGTTTGCGATATCCAACTGTAATTAATTCATAATAATGTATTAATTTATTTTATCATTGAATTTTAAATTAGGATGCATTTTTAAAAGAAAAGAGTATTTTCCATCATGAATGCAGTTTTATTGAAGTTTTATAAATATACAGAAAAAACTACTGTAGAAAAATAGCAACAATACATGTTGAAAATGTATTGTATTGTAAATGATACAAGAAAGTTAAAATAACAAGAAAGTAACACCAGTTACGTGTCTATGTGTGTCTGAATGTGTTGTTTTGGCACTTCTGTGACCAGCACAAGGGAAACAAACAAAAATAGAATGACCAAGATGTGAAGAGAAAGTTGTTTTTCTCCTCATGTGCTGTAGCAAACAGCCTTAGGTGCCTTTAAGCCAGCCTGTCCATCATTACTGCAAATGACCCTTCTGTGCATTGGGCGACCTGGCCTGAGAGCCACGACCGAGCCCCCAGAGTCCTGCTACATATGCCTGACCTGTCACTCAGAGACACAGCCCCGTCAAAGGAAATTCTCTGCATGCATGAACAAACTGCACCTGAACGCCGCTATTGCAGTACAAAGGTCCTCAGAGGATGACAACTGTGACGTCAATGGAGGGGCCCGGAGTGTTTGTGTACGTGTGATCAAATATGGTCAATGAACACCTGCTTCAGTGGAGTGAGTTATGTTTGAGCAAATGCATATAACCTATTTTGCCCACACACGGCTGTAGAGGGGTCAAAGATGGGACTAATCAGTCAGGTGGTCAGCGCCGCCACAAGATTTTTGCGGTTGGGACAGATATATAACGACAACTATTGGATGGATTGTCATGAAAACACATAAGCACAAACATTGAGTCGAGTCACTATGCCGTGGACAGACCATTTGTTTCTACAAAAAGATGCAAATCTGTATAAACCAGTCCCAAATTTAGATTTTCACTGAAATTAGAAGTAGTGAATTTGCTGCTTCCTATTCATATTCATATTGCAGCAGTTTAAACCTAATTTGCTGAGCATTTACAGCACCTGGGCAGTGCGTGCAGGATTGAGTTAGTACAGGTCTGTGATCACCCTCTCTGCAGAGCGGATGACACGCTGAAGCCTGCCCTCGTCCTTGGCGGTGGCTGCAGCGTACCGGGCGGTGATGGAGGAGCAGAGGATGGACTCACGATGAATTTACCTGCAGGATTTTTTTAGCGGGGGCTTGCAAGGCAGGTAGAAGAGACGCCTTGCAACTGTTTATCTGCTCTCCCCGTTCCACACACCTGAAGGGTGCGAGGGTTCATCCTTAGGCCAAGAGACCTGGACCTCTACAGGGGACGGGGGACAAAATAACGTGAGCTTTGTTGAGAAAAAGTTGGGGTATCCACAGAGACGAGCGGACAGATGTTTTTCCTTGAAGGCCCTGCTAACCGTGTCCTTTGTAGATCCGCGATCACGCCCGACGTTGATGCGTCATCCCTCAGTTTAAGAGGACACTTCTGAGGTCACCCTTAAATCCACCACTGAGTCGCCTCCTCCCTCATGAGCATAGGAGAAGGATGCCTGCCTGAATAATAAAACACAATAAAAGACCGCCAGATTAGAATACATTTATTAAAAAATAAAAGAAGATGAACACACAAACACACAATGATGGCCCATTTTATGTTGTGCTGGGTTTGTTCTTTATTTTTCCCTTAGACAAGCACAGTTAGGTCTAGATTTTTCAAATTCTACAGATTCCGAAGATGTTGGGGTTCTATCTCTGTTTTATCACAGTTATACTGTGTGTGTGTGTGTGTGTGTGTGTGTGTGTGTGTGTGTGTGTGTGTGTGTGTGTGTGTGTGTGTGTGTGTGTGTGTGCTGTCTTTGCTCTCAGCTGCTTGTCTCACCACGCCTGAGGTTTTGCCAAAGGGAAAACTTGCTTGTCATCTTCACTCAAGGTAAAGGCAAAAAAGTCCATTAATGAGGTTATCCCCTATTCTCCCAAAACAAGTTCAGTTCAGTAAACTTAAAGTAAAGCAAATGCTTTGCCGTGATATGTAAACAGACCTAAACTGTATAAAACATCTTCAATTTTACAAATGGTCACTTCCCGTTTTCGCTGCCTGTAAGTGATTTAATAATATATGTATTCGATTGACTCATGCTATAAAATAAAAAGGTGAAGCGGAGATAAGTTACTGATTCTTAACAACTTGTCTCCTCTTTCATTTCAAAGCACCTCAGTACTTCAGATGGAAAAACTTCCACTTCAGCTTTTCAAGCTTCGGAAAATCCTCAAAAGGTTAACCTCTTAAAAATGATGTCCTTGAAGTTCTGAAATGTTGCGGCTGTCGTCTTAATGTCAAACGTGTGAAGTGATTACTAAAGTCATGAAGGCAGATGGTTATTTTCCCAATCTGACTTTCACCAAACAGAACAAAAGAGGCAGATTCTGCTAAACACACAATTATATTCAGTTACAGCACATTTCTGAATATTATAATGTTAATGCAGTTTTCCTTCAGCAAGGTTGAAAACATTGTTTTGTCCGGTTGATACTTTGTATCTTTTCCTGGTTCTATAAACATAAGTGCCAAACTCATGATTCATTTTCAAGTCCGCTGCATATGTCTTTTTGAGAGACCCAAGCTGTGTCAGGTGAAAAATAAATAAAAGTCTTATTCATGACCGATCCTTATTGCGTCTATTAGGCTTAGAAAGGAGATACGCCTCCCCGACATCACATCACCTGCCCGAACACGCCCAGCTTGTAGCAAAGTGATATACTTGACTATATATTGACAATATAATATATTTTGTGCATCTCAAGGGTTAGGGTTAACCTCCCATCATTGTCAGACTAACGCACTGCTGAAAGCTGGCAAAGGGGGTTCGAGCTTCTCAGCTGTGATGTTCTGTGGCCTTTCTCTGCGCCCGAGGCCACAGGCACAGTTTGTTTGGTTTTCCGGTGGTCAGAACATGTGCATTGCTCTTTCTCTGCATCTTCTTGAATCGTCTACCTTCTTGTTCTCCAGCCCAGTGAACAGCATAAATGATTGAAGACCCGTGTATTTGGTTGTCAGCTGAGACGTTTGGTACTGAACTGCACTGAGTCTGTGGATAGACAGCATCACGGGGCAAACAACAGTGTTTGGCCACAACAACAGCATGCAACCACAACATCTTTTATTTCATTCCAACATGAATATGTTGACAAGTTTGTTTTGCAACAAAGAGTCCCAGATACTAAAAACTGTTTTACCTCAACGGTTAAGTGGGAGACGAGAGTTGTGCCAAAAAACCTAACATGCAGTTCTTTGTACTGCTCCTTCAATCCCCATTCATTATTTAGACGGAACATTTAACAGCCCTCATGTCTTTTTTTTAATTTCTCATCAGTATAGCGTGCCAGTCCAGGATATGGTTTCCTGAGCGCCCGCACCGCCTACAAACCACCAGGTGTAAATCCAGTCCATCCCGGGCGATGACTTCTCTGCTTCCCAACGTCAGTGTTCCTGGGAGCGCAGCGGCCCTGCTGCCGCCTACAGACTGTCCCATTAACATCAGTGCAGCTACACGGGAAGGACTCGGTCCAGGCCAGTCACTGGCGCCGCTCTGCACCATTTGTTGCTGTGGATTTATCAACCGGACTTTGGCAGTGGTGTTCATGCTGAGCCTGGTATTTGCCATCGTGATTGGAAATGTGATCACCCTGACTGTTTTTGTGCAAACGAGGCAGTCCCGAACACCACAGGGATACCTGAAAGGTACTTGTTTCGAATCATCGTAACATTCAAGTCTGTCATCGGACTAATCAAGTTGAGGTTATTATTGAAACGCTTTATAAAGAGAAGATTCTTTCTATCAGATGTGTACTATATTCATACTAAATAATATATATATATAGATCAATGGAATTTCTTGTTTAAGTCAAATAAATAGTGTTAACAAACAACCTGAAAGTGTTCCCCCTTTTCCCTGTTGTCTCTCTCTCTCTCTCTCTCTCTTTGACAGTGTCCCTGGCCATAGCAGACATGATGGTCGGTGTCCTTGTGGTCCCATTCTCTGTCTACACTGAGATCTCACTCATGGTGACCAGCGCACCTCCCATTTGGTACCAGGGCAGTTCTATTTCCCCGGCCACCTCTTCTTCTCCTGGGGGACTGGTGAGCCCGTGGCAGCCCTGCATGCTGATTGGACCTGTGTTTGCTGGATGCACCTTTGTCTCCATCAGCACCATCTTCCTCATGACACTTGAGCGGAGCGTGGCCATCCTGCGGCCCCTCCACAAGGACGCCCTGGTGACCCGTAGGAGAACCCTGCTCCTCATCCTGCTCTCCTGGGCTGCCAGCTTCCTCCTGGCCATTGCGCCCCTCATGTTCAGCAGAAACTTCACTCTGGAGTACAACGAGTGCAGCCGTATGTGTAACTACACACCGCTGTTGGTCGGGGGCCAGCTGCCACCTGATGCCAACATCTTGCTGTTATTCCCAGCCTTTGACTTCACATTGCTCGGTGTCACATTAGCAGTGAACATTGTGTCTTTCACGAGCATTCGGCGGTACTCCCGTAAACGCAAACTGCTGTCAGAGGGGAGTCTGAGTGATGGAGGCGGAGGAGGGGCTGCTGGAGGCGGAGGATGCTCTCACAGGCCCTCCTTTTCAGACATCAAAGCTGCTAAGACAATCGGCATACTGACGTTTGCCTTCACAGCGTCCTTCTCGCCCATCGCCGCTTTTGTGCTCGGGAACGTTGTGGGATACACCTGGTGTAACTTTTCCTTTTTTGCCTTCTGGGTCCTGACGGGAAACAGTTGCTGTAATGTCATTATCTACAGTGTCAGGGACCACCGCTTCAGGAAGGGTGTGACCCTGCTGTTTCAACGAGACCACTCAGCGCCACATGGCGAGAAGTCCTGAGGGTTACCTGCAGCTAAAAGCAACAACAAGGATATGTTGTGTTGCTGCTTTCCTTTAAGTTTGATATTTAAAGGAATGGTTTGACATTTTGGGGAATATGCCTTTTCACTTCCTCGCTGAGAAAAAACATGTGTACGGTCAAGGAGTAGCTGGAGCTAAGAGGCAAAGAACATCATCGACCTCCCAGCACATCTAAAACTCACTGCTTTTATTTTAAACATTGTTAATACAACGAGTCGTGAAGGTCATGTTGTGGAGTATTTGTTGTTGACTATACATTTTTACACATTTCTTTTTGTACGTATAGAAAAGAACAGGACGTACCATGCTTGTGAGTTTTTAAGGGTTTTGTTGTCTTCGGACAAAGGGCTCCTTTGGGTTCCTGTTTCCAGGCATCGTGCAAAGCTAGACTAGACCCGGCATCCAACATACTTACTAAAAAAAAAATGTCACAAAGTGTCAAACTATTCCTTTATTCAAGTGTAAACTTAATATGACGTTAACACATAAAAGCAAATTTAAATGTACGAATAATGCTTAGTTTTCTGCTTAAAATTGTCAATGGAAGCCAAATTAAAACATGTTGAGCTCCTTTGACATTAGGCTTCAAACAAACAACCTTCTTTTCTGAATCTACATCAGAGGGCTTTTACATAACTTCAGGAAACCAAACCCACTGTACTGTCTCTCCTGGTGCAGCACTGACAATCCACAATAAGCACACTGTTAATGTTTTGTTTTTATGGTATTGGTGGGTTTGTCACCTGTTAAATTACATAGGATGTTGTTTTTAGTTTTTGGTCTCTTTGGAATAAAGTGGTTTAATTATTAAGTTGGTGTAGGAAACAGTTTATAACATCTATGTTATCAGCTGTTATAGATATTTATTTTAGAGCATTTAACTTCAATCTGTTATCATAGTAATATGCCTCAATTATCAGAAATGCACTTCAAAGTCAAAGTCATAATGTTAGCAATTTGCACACAGCTACATAGTGTTACTTTTGTACAATTTTTCATCGTATTATAGTATTTGGTATTTTTGTCAAATCAAATGTGAGCAAGAAAATAAATATATATATAAATATGTGTGTATTCATGAAATCAGTATAGACTAAATGAATGCATGCCAACCACAGAGATTTAGTAAAAAGAGCCCTTTTACTAAGCTTTTCAGGGCCTTCAGTGACATATTAAATTATCTCACCTGTTTGTCAGCTCATAAGTCATGAGTAAAATAAAGATCAAGGTCATTTTGCAGCATAAAAGGGTTGTATTTCTATGAAAGAAATGGTTGCATTGATGCATTATTCTGTCACAACTAAAGACCTTTGATATGGTAAACATTCAGCTTTCGAATGAACAAAAAAGATTGCAATAGAGATTTTTGTCTATGGCTCTAAATTGCTCTTAGATCAATACAGCTAACAATTGGTTAACTTGCCTCCAAGCAGTACGATGCATCTCGTTCGATTTAAAAAACATTCAGTTGTGGAATGTAATTAACTTAAATATGTTAATATATCATTGTAGTTTAAAAATCTTTCCCACTCCAAAAAGGTTTAAATATAAGATTTTATTTTATTTGATTCAACTTTATTGTCATTGCACAGGGTACAAGTACTGAGGCAACGAAAAGCAGTTTAACATCCAACCAGTGTGTAAAATAGCAAAAAGTGCAGAGTATGTGCATATGTAAAGTGTAATAAGTGAATAAATAGATATGTACAGTAAGAAATAGTTATGCAATATGAACAGTAAGAAATGGATATACAATAACAGTGCAAATGTTCAGTGCCTGGAGGAAGGTGTGTGGCAGTCAAGCCAGGGTGGAGGGGGAAGTACAGTCACTGAGGGAGATGTGTGTGGGGGGCAGAGTTCAGGGGGGGCAGAGTTCAGTAGAGTGACGGCCGCAGGGATGAAGTTGTTCCTGAACCTGCTGGTCCGGGAACGGAGCACCCTGTAGCGCCTCCCAGAGGGGAGGAGGGCAAACAGTCTGTGGCTGGGCTGAGAGCTGCGCCCTCCGCAGACATCTCTTGCTCTGGACAGCCTCAGTGGTGGGGAGTGAGGAACCAGTGATTCACTCATTCAGTTTTCACCACCCTCTGCAGTGATTTACGGTCTGCGACAGAGCAGCTGCCATACCATACTGAGATGCATCCTAATCGATTATAATTATTATTGTGCTGATATTAAAAACCTCTTCAGAATTGTATCAGCAGCAGCGTGTAATTAATCGGTGGTGATTGCATCGGATCTGATCATAATAAATGTGTATTGGGTACATTCCATTTGTGAGTTTAATGGGGGTCAGTGTGACACAGCCTGCTGTGGAACAAACTTAGTATTTATTTATTTATCCTTGTCTGTCATACAATTTACAATGTTTTGTAATGAGAAAAAGGAGCTGCAGTAACACCACAGGACACCTGAAGTCGCAGCTAAGTGCCAATGTTGACAGTAATGTGATATCAGCGTGTTCAAGCTCAGTCCCAACGTTTTTATTAAGAGTGCAGATCATTATATCAGGACATTAACGGTGCAGTCAGTAGTCATATTCTTTCATCCTTGTGTTGTATCTTTGGAAGGTTGTAGGGCGAAGTCCTGTTGTAGTTGTAGTCTATATTGTTTATTCTGGTGCTCCCACTTCTCAATATAAATGGAATAATATCTTAAAAAGATATACATACAATAATGTATGTTTATTGAGTTCTCAGTGTTATTGCTCTGGTTTTACCTCATGTCACCAGGTCTGGTGTGCGATTAACGACTGACCTCTGTGGCTTTGGGTTCGTAGTTGAATTACTACATTCCTTATATGACAAGTAAGTCAATATAAGATCACTACGAACGGGGAATTAAGGATAGTATTGTTTGCTGATTTTCTGGTTCATACTTGTTTTTATTCTGTTTACCTCGATTGTTTTACAATGAAACTGTGTTCATCGTCTGTCTGAAACCGTTTGTGTAAGCCCCGTCTCTCTAAGCGCCCCGCCTAAAAAAGGCAAAGGATCTCAAGCTGTGTGAAAATACTCAGGTAGGTGGCAGTATATTATTATGAGTCTGCTTGTGACACACAAAGGGGAGTAAAATCTGAATAGCTAGTTTATTATGCACTGAAAAAAGGTTTTGCTCCTTAAGGGTCCGATTTTTTAATGGTTGAAGAGTGTCAGGATAACTTTTTCAGATATTTGTTTTATTTCATGGGCAGGGCCTAAACCATGCTGCTGAAACCCAGTTAATAACTTACAAAGTCACAAATGACTTGCAAGACAGAAAGCAACTAATTTGCAAGTAAACAAAAATACAAGATGCAGGTTATTTGTTAGTCAGAATCATTTGAATGCGGTCACATGTTTGAGGATGGTGTCCGTGAGCTTGAAGTGCAACATTTACCATAAATTAGTCGAAGGAGGAAGGGAATTCCAGGGATCCAAAGAACCAATTCCGTGAATAAATGTTGCTCCGTATTGTTATTTTTAGGCTTTGATTAAGGCAGCCTTGTTCTCTAAATTAGAAAGATGTATCTCTATAGTTAGACCACAACACAACCACAGAGACACACATGCACACTGGTGCCGCCAGGAAGACACATGGGGGACGATAGGTCAGAGCACTTTGGAACCCCAGCAAGGTTATGTATTGTTGTCTGTCCTATTTATCTTTTATCCTGCCTAGTTTCATCGTCCTAATGAATTTTGTATCATCCCTCTGAGCACTTAAGGCAAAAGATGTGTGTCAGAACCGATGAAGCACAGAGACCACCTGTGGCTGGTGTCTGTTTTTGGCCAGCAGAGGAAAGGGCAAAGGCAGAGATGGCCAGGAGGGGTGATGGGAAGGGTCAGCTTTGACAGCGATACTGTGTTTTCCTCCGCCGGGGAAACAACAAGCCGGATGACAATAACGCGTACGATGACACTGAAAAACTGGAAATATCTATCTTTAGCTTTTCAGTACTATCCCCGCACTACTTCTAGAAAATGTAGTTCACCTCTGATAATTAAAGCAAAATTAAGACAACATGATATTTATTTTAGTGTGCTTCGTATTTTACAACTATTTGCTGGGAAACTGTACTTAAAACAGTGGACACCGGACAAATATACTAAAATTGTTCCCTTTTTGAATGATAAAATATGGATATAGAAAGAAAAATTATGTTGCTTTAAGTGCCCACCGAATGTTTAAAAAGGATAGTAGATAAAAAGAAGAAAATGTCAGTGAAATAAAATTTCTTTTCTTAAATTTTTAGTGCGATGAAACAGAAAATTACGTTTAGAAATTCGGACAATCCCAGACGAATGATTTGGGCTTTCTTTGACATCTAAAGCATGGGCTTTGCATTTTGAGAAACAGGAGGATATCTTGCAGAGAACTGGATGAGGAGATGATACTTTAGATGATACCTTACCACTTGTGTGAGAACGGCACCGATCAAGCCTTGGCAGCGAGGGGAGAGAGCTCAACACACACAAACAGATGAGAAAGAAAAGCCCTCAAGGCTTTATAAGGTCATATTAAAATAAATAAAATATTTTTAAAAGATATGGTAAATACAGCTCATTATGTTTCTTCTACACTTCAGCTTTCATCTACAGAGGGACTATCACTCCCAGACCCAATGAATTGATTGCCTGATCCACTTAACTTTGATTGGCTTTAGGGTGACATTATTTCTCCCTCATAGTATTTGTACAAAGGTAATCAATCAACTGCTAGTGGTGTGCAGGTATACTCATACTTAAAGCATGTGACTTTCTCTCACTGGCCTCATATCAAGTTTCTATTTCTAGAAAAAAGGAGACACACCTTTGAGAGTCCAGAAACAACCGCTCCATTACGGGCCTTCCTCCCTGTTCAGGTCCCACACCTTAGTATGTATTAGTATTCCCAGTGTGGCCGAAGGGATGCCACCTTTCAAACCAAACCTCAGACGAGTCCAACCAAACCCCATCAGCGCCCACCTGCGCCGTTCATCTGGAGGCTCCTCAGTAAACTCACTATTGCACTTAACTTGAGTGGTCCTGTCACTGCAGCTCGTCCTCAGACAGAGAGGCTGCGCTGTAATATTTATCACGGGGGTTTCTCTGTGTTGGAAGAAGGCAGTATATGAACGCCACAGCTATTGCTCCTGAAATAGTCGGCTTTCCAACAAGAGGCAGAAAACAAACTTGGGTGAGCCGGATCAGTGTGTGACATCGATCCACACTGATAATGCATTCACTACTCTGAAACGCTGCAATAAAATATTACACATGCCTAATGTATGAGGCCCGATCCGACTTTAAAATATATATCTTATCTCTATATCAGATTTAGTGTGGCGTCTCAATACATTAATATGTAGTGACAATCAAACAAAACAGATCAAAAATGAATCCCTTTTTAAATGAGTCAGGCTTTATAGGTGTGTACTTACTGTGTGTGCAGGGCTGAGTTAACAGACTGAAGTGCTGTCGAGCAGCCACCTCGAGGGGTGAACGATGGTTATCCTCGATGCCCTTCAGTCAGCTTGTTTAAGGCTTGCTTGGGTTAACAAGAGCTGAAGGCCCATATGACTTTACGGCATAGCTGCGAGTGAGTTGTTTTTGCTGCTCTTTGCAAGAAGGAGTTGTGTAAAACATGAAACATTATAAGGGCGAAGCTGGAAATAGAATTGCTTATCTACTGTTTTTCCATCTTCACTTCACTCTTTACCTTCTTTTATTCTTCCTTTCCCCCATTCATGTATGATTCTCTTGCCGCCTGCGTGTTTTCAATGTAGACAGACTTCCATCAGTGGTAACCGGTTTGGGCAGCGTAGTGTTTCCTGCATGTCTTCTGTTTCCATCACACCTGTGACTCCCTTTAGCCGGAGGCTTCTAGGTTCTTTCATAGCAGCAAGACACATCTATTCATACACAAACGTTTGAGGGTAATGACACAAAATTGGACATGTTATTTTTTTATGATTTTATCTTCTTTGATGTACACAAAGAGAATAATTTGCTGTTCTGTTCATCGTCAAGACCTTTAGAATGAAGCTTACTGAAGTGGAGATCATAAAAAGACAACGTCTCCTGCATCAGAGGCACTCGTCACGTTGGCGCCTCTCAGCTCTTGTTTGCATGACGGTAAGTGATGTATGACAGGCAAAGGAGGGTGTGGTGGAGTTACAGTATGTGCACTGACGTAGTTTAGAAGAGGTTCAGCAAAGCACGTGGCAGCATGCAGTCAAGCCTTGTCTGAAAGCAGCACATATTCATTATGATTTAATATTCATATATTATTATTCATATGAAACGTGTGGACGCCACAGATTTAAATGTAAAAGCCAGCAAAATCCTCATACACATTGGCAACCATGAGGATGCTTCAACATTATTGGGAATACTATTGGTTATATTTCCTGTATCCCAATAAGCACAATGTCTGTTACTGTTTGAGGGTATTATTACTGAATAATACATGTTAATGAGACACAATTTTAAAATGTATATTTAGTTCCACCAATCTTACTATATTCCCTTCCAGCAAAAAAAGAAATATAAACAATTATATAACATTAAATTAGAATCAGGATTCAGCTAAAACATTTCTGCCTATTTAGTTGAGCTGTCAAGTTTCTTCCTTCTTATGGAAAACAACCTCTTCAGACGCCACCTGCAGCTCTCCAAGTCACTTAATTGCATCTCCTTGACATTCACATTTTTCAAATTAGACCTGTTTTCTGTCATTTAAAAAGCTTCGTCAAGGATCTGTCTAATTCAAAGGCATGACATTTCATGGTGTACCTATGCTGCGGAATATTAGATGTTACTAATGATGAGGAGTCTGATAATGCAAACGCTCATTCTTTGCTCTACATTGAGTGCAGTGCAGCTGTTTTCCTCCATGTGCAGGGTCACATCTCATGCTTAGTACACAGAAGCTCAACGTCTTTAAAGCAGCTGCATCTAACATTCTGCACATTAACACAGCAGCAAACGACTATTTTAAATATTAAGATATAGTATAGTAATATCTCTACCTGAGCAGAGTGGATTGGAGTGTGTGTTTTTCTTACCTCTTTGCTGGTTTGACATATCCGCCGCTGCATGTTAGTGTACGTGAGCGCACAGTCTGACACTACAAAGAAACACACTGCTACAGCAGATGAAAACAGACCAGATCAGCCTTGAAGAAATATTGAATCCCAACACTTTGCACACATGAAGCTCTTTTGGCATCACATTTTATTTAGAGTAAAAGTCCCCTGAGCACTCTCAGAAACAGCGGATTTCTCTTTCATCCCTGCAGATATGATTTGGCTTGTTAAAACTGGGAATCATCATCTGTGAACGTCTCTTTTCACGTCAATTCAATGGTTTTCTCTAAGATATGTCGGCGTGGGCTTTCTGCAGCACTTTCATGTGTTTGCTCTGAAGTTTTGCCAGTAGTCGAACATTATCGCTTGCTGTCATGGTCCTAGAAGAATGCTCTATTGATCTGAAGCCGTTGGCAGTTTTTCCTCAAGTAATTTCCTTCCATTTATCTAATTCACTGTTACAAGCCTCCTCCAATAGAAATGTGCTTTTATTGAAACAACTCAAATTGATGTTTAACTGGTGTCACGCTGAGCTTGGTTTTTTTAACAAACTACACAACATTTTTTTGCTCTTGGTCCATGAAAAGCCTTATTCCAGACTGGTGCATACGCCTTTTTCCAGGGTTGCTTCCTTACTTTAACGTACCAAGGTTTTGAATGTAAGTCTGCTCATGTCCCAACATTAAACAGATCTAAACCTACTGATACCACAAAAACCGTCTCGTTAGGCCGGGAAGCAGTGGGCAGACTTGAAAGGCTTTCTCTCTACAGCTTCCAGCAACACATTTCAAAGTAATTTGAGGTTTTTTTCAAGGCCAAACAGCTCTATTGTGTTTGCTGCTGCTACCGGTAATTAGGAAATATCAGACGCCTTCACTCATTCAGAACACATTTCAATGCAATTGTTAATAAATTATTTTATAGTGAGTAATAAACAAAGAAGTTCAAAATAGTTTTGATTTCTCACAAAGGCTTTATCCACTAACTTCTACCACAAAAACTACCACAGCTTTTGCAGAAAGTATTTTTATTACAGTTGTACGGTCGGTTCAATAGTCTTAAAATGTTTTTAAATTAAAGTGTGGCCAGAACCCTTCGCAAACACACTGGAAAGAAGCTGATGAAACATAAAGGACGGCACATGTTACAAGTACATTAAGATTTCAGTACATTATTTCAAAGAAATCTCCAACGGAACACGTTGCTGTCACCAGCTTAGAGGTCTTTCTGTGCAGAAAGAGAAAAGGATGGTTCACACTGCTTGACTTCCCCTGAGCAAATGCAAAATGTAGTGATAATCTACACATGACGACTCGTGGATTGGACAGGAAATTCATCATGATTCTCCCTCTGGGAAACGTTAAAGTGTAAATAAATATCATCCTCATCTGGCTGATATGTTTGAGAAGTGTAAATGCAGAGAGGAAATGTCAGTCTGAAGGGTGAAATATTGTGGTTCATCATCTGGAGTCCATCAATGGTCACCAGGTCACATGACTTATTTAATTTGTCAAAACACTTGAAGTAAATGTTATGAAAATAATACAAATTAAAAGACGGCAAGGCTCCAGTTAGAGATGTTAGCATTTTGTCAAGAGTTGATCACAGATTAGTTACAGTTTGATCCTAGCTGTGAATCTCGCACACTGGAACAAATGTGAACTAAATAAAGTTCTGTGTTTGGATGGGATCTTCCTATTTATGTGCAATCTCTCACTTTATTTGACTTCATGTATTTCTTTTCTTAGTTGCAACCTGTGTATTAGATTGTTGGACGTGACACTTTTTTCTGTTACACTGTAACAAAGGATGAACGTCTGACATAGAGACAAACACACCTGAGCTTCTTAATACAACGTCAAAGACTTTCCATTACCAACTTTACTACAAAGGAAGTAAAGGTGAGATGCCCTTCAACGTTTTCTCATCACAATTAGAGAAAATATAATAGCAGCTGAGACCATATGTCATACTGAAATCATGTCAGATGGCTGGACAATTATTCAGGATTCATTCCAGTTCAGGAAAGGTTGCCGCTCCCACGGTGGCTACAGGTGCTGTGTGTCTACAGCGACATCGAGCATCTCCTTCAGCGGGCCGGGTCTACTTGTCTGCTCCCCTGTGATCTGCTCCGACAGCCTCCGATACGCCACTGAAACCTTGTTCTCTGTAAAAAGCAGTACATTATTTTGTAGAGAATTATGACATTTTTCCACAGTTAAAAAACAGACACATTGATGTCAAAGAGCAAAATGCCACGATAGTCACACCACTGTTCCTCTTAAATACTAGTCAACTTTTTAGTAAATATGGTTTATATAAACTTAAACATATAAGCATACAAAGCCTGCACTTTCATTTCCATCAGTCATGATAACGTAAAGTACTTTTTCAGATCCAGGAACATGGTAAAAACAAGTCAATTTACGCAGCACCCAACAGCGTAAAAGATTATCTCAACCAGTTGATGCGGAGGTGAAACCAAAAGTGAGTGACTTGAAATGACCATAATATAAGAAATGAAAATAATCATGTGCACGTACAACTAAAGCATTTGTAACAGACAGTTTGGGAATAATGTTACACTTTGTTACCACTTTCTCAAATTAGTTGGACTGCTTCGGGTGTTGCTATGCCGACCTTTAGATGCCACATCCACAGATTTCAGCGGCTAACGGTGAGTGAAATGTGATTTCCTATAGTAGATAAAAGATGAAGCACCTCCTCTATGACAGGAACCACCTGCGTGTCCTGTTCACAGTGATACTCACTTAAGGAGCTGTTCCAATTCTCGCTTTATCTTCGTCACTACGGGTGGGCCCTGGTAGGTGAGAGCTGTGTAAAGCTGAACCAGTGAAGCACCGGCACGGATCTTATCCATAGCATCCTGCCCGCTGGCCACACCACCGATTCCAACAATCAGTACTTTACCTTAAAGAGAAAGTAACGTCAGAAGTCATACGCTCTTCAAAATGAAGGGATCGGAGAGTGACAGGAAACGTCAAGCGTGCAAAAGGATACCTTTAGTGAGGTTGTACATCTCCCGCACGGTGCTGGTAGAGAGGTCTTTGAGCGGCTGGCCACTCAGACCGCCGACCTCAGACTTGCTTGAATGCTGAAGTGTTTCTGGTCTGGACACCGTCGTGTTCGACACCATTAAACCGTCCACTCCCAGCTGCCAACAAAGTGGAACAAACACCAAGGGGAGGACAGGGAGTGAGTGGCACATGTGCGCCTGCAATATCCAAGAGCGGAACTGATGTACGTAGGCGACTCTGCAGGAAGAACTCTCATTTTAAATGTACTGTGACTACAAAAGGGGGACAGAGTGCTGTTAAAAATGGGCTTTTCCTTTCTTAATGACTATTCCACTGAGGTTTGTCTCCTCCTCGCTCCAATGAGCACAGAAACCCTCCGTATTTAAAAAAAAACCAAACACTCAAGTGGTGATGCAGTTACTGAGGCAGATATGTCACTTATATAAGCGAAACAAGAATCACGATTTTCTTCTGTGACCAAAGCAACTGAATATGGAATAAACCAGTCAGGTTAGACGTGACGCATGTGGCCTCCCGCAGCTGCTGTCTGCCACACAACATAGTTAACTATCGTTTTTTAACAAACGTAAGTCAGATAACACAAGAGCGAATAACAAATTTGCTCTAGCAGAACGTCACAAAATGTGCATTCATTTCAGCTACTTTTACTAATGAAATTGTTCATTGATTGACTTTAATAAACCCAAACTGGCCTTTATCCCCTCGGAGACCATGAGACAGATTAAGATTATTTCACTAAATGTGAACGTCTACGGTTAAACCGTAAAATAAAACTCAGCCGCCGTGTCACAGTGAATCCAAAGCCAAGAACCGCACTTTGTCTAGACACAATAAATAAATCCATCCATCCACCATAAATAAAGTTTATTTTATTCTACAGGTGAATGTTTTTTGTCGAGTCACATGTATCTGGGCCACCCTTGAATTGGGTGTGTGCGGTTTGCATAAGGAGCCGTGTTTCTTTCCACTGAACATTTCCGTGTTTCACAAAGGTACGTAGTGTTTTTCTCAATAACCACATTTAAATCTAAACTGTGTCGCTCCAAGTAAAAACTGGACTTCAAAGACACAAGGAACACACCCTATTTGACTCAAAGTAGCATAAGCCCATAAATGCAAAAAGCAGGTTAAACATGAGAATATAATTATACAAAATAATTATAAAAATATATTACAGTGAAAATGTCTAACGGGTGAAATAAAATGGCCTAACTTCAAACCTCAGTGACGACATCAGCAATGTCTCGTTTGTCCTGGGAAGTGAGGTCAGGAGCGATCTTCACCAGGACCGGGGGTTTGCGTTCTCCCTGCAGCGCATCACGCTCCTTCAACACCTGAGCAGGTAGTGTGAGAAGGTAAGTACACGAGGGCAGGAAACTAGACAGACACCGGCTGTGCTCTGCAGCAAGATCCAAAGACAAAGAATGAGAAGGTTTGAAATCTCAGCTTTTCAATTGACGGATGAGAAGTGCGGATGACTTACTTTTTTTAAAGAGCACGTTCAATAATTGCTTTTAAGGTCAACAACGTAGTTTGGTACTTTTAACGATACTGTAATCTGAAGAAACATAACTTTTTTTAAATCAAATAAACATCCTGTTCTGAATCCACTTAAGATTCAAATCCTTTCCCAGAGTCGGCGATTAAAATCGTTTCAAAAATGGTCTCGTTTTCCCCCCTCAGAGTTTACTGTTAATTAGAATGACCAGACACTTGATTTAATGTTAAGTTACTATCACTAAACTGATCAAATAATCCGAAAAAGAAAGAAACCTGAATTTATTACTTTTTTGTCTGTTTTATAGGTCGTGCTTTCTTGTTTTCGATCATGGGCAGTGGCTGGTAATGTCTATTAACGCCATTGTGATTCAAGTTGTCTGCTGTGTTTAATAATAACACTAAAGCTCATTTTTATGTATATATATATCTTTTGGGTGGGAAAGGGGTTGCACAAAGGCCCAAGAAAGTGTTTTTGTCCCTGTTGGTTCCCACAGTACTTCAGCCGACACTTGCACCGTCGTACCGTATGCAGGAGCTGCCGCAGCTCAGCCTTCCCCTGTAGATCCCGGAGTCCGGGCGTATTTGGGCTGCTGACGTTGACCACCAGGTAGTCAGCCAGCGGGCCGAGCACTCTCACCCCCTGCAAGTAATCTGCCCCTGCGTCCTGGGACAACTTGTTCTTCCCCAGGTTGATGCCGAGGGGAAGGCCAGCTATAAACACACACACATTCAAATTCGTTAGCGCACACACAGACACACACAAACGCAGGCTGCATCATCACACACAAGACTAAACTGGGTCAGAGGCTGCTGATGAGCTAAATGAGCTGGAAGCAGGTATGGATCAGACACAATGGAACAGGGGACAACGACAGGCCACGATTGTTCTATCAGAGCAGAAAAGGAGATTATGAACAAATACCCAAGATGGTTTGAGACAGTTACAAACGTACAGAATTAATGTAATACAATTGAAAGTAACTAAGAAACGGGCTGAAACCACCTCGCTGAAGTGAGAACGTGCGGCCTGCTGACCTTCTCTGTGCTCTTGCTGCAGGTCTCTCCTGCCCCCGAGCCTCTGCTCAGCTTCTGCCAAACCACAGCTGTTGAACCCATATCTGGTTGGGAGCACACACATTTTGTTACTCAAGTTTTTACACGTTTCTTTCTGTGGTAACATGTTGATGAACTTATTTAATCCTCCCTTGGGGCTCAAAATACATTTCAACGTTGAATGTAATGGAGAGTGGTAAAAAGCATCTCGCTAATGACTTGAGGATGTTTGATTAGCAGCATCGTGTTCTTTGACTGTGTGCATGAGGCCATGGATGAAGATAAAATCTGGTTATTATAATGAGACCTTCCTTGTTGGTTACAAACTTGATTTGTGTGGAACAGGCGGGTTCACTCATGTTTCAATGAAAGACTGATTTTCCTAATGTATTGAGAATACATGCAGATTTATTTCTGGAGAAAATTCTCTGATTTCCATGTGACAGACGGAAGTGATCTTGCTCAGCTCCAGCCAAGGTTCCCGCAGCGCTATGTAGCTCCTCACATTGTCATAACTATGGGCATGTTACTCGGATCCTCCGTCTTTTTGTGGATTTCAGTTGGATTTCTTTCTTTACCGAGAACGTCTGAGGCCTGCGGTGGCAACGACTTCCCCGAAGGATGCGAATTTGTTATCAGAAATGCCTGTTTTGAGTTTGTTGCAGGGTCTGAGACCTGGTCCCAAGCCAGGAGCTTCACTCATGTTTCAATAAAAGACTGCAATTTTGTCTGCAGGATGTTATCTTTGCTTCAGTGTTGCATACATATCAAATAAGCAAATTTACCACCATCTCATGAGTATATTGATCCCACTAGGTTAGCCTCGAGAAAGAACCTAATTAAGACACTTAATAGTAAAACAACATAAAAACCGATACGGAACGTGTGACATTTTCTAATTTCAGATTGTTAGAGATATGTTGCAGTAACTCAAATATAAATTACCAGGAATTTCCAATATCCCTGTTTAAATGGAAATAAACACAATCAGAAAAGAGCTGGTGAATAAAAGATTTCCTTCATTGAGCTCATTCAATACAGTGATGCAAATAAAATCTGCCAAAGGAAATGTGACTAAACCTGTGAACTCTTATTCACACGAGTCTCTAAATGTGAATCCTTTGGTGACGAACCTGTAGGAAACATAACCCCACTCACAATATTCCCAGTCAGAGACCTACCTGTTAATGATGGCACGATCTGGGGTGAGTCGGAACACGCGGGGTTTGGGGTTCCCCTCCTGGGGTTCAGGAGTGACAGTGCCCACTTCAACAAAGCCAAATCCCACCTTGTACAACCCGTCTACGGCCTCCCCGTGCTTGTCGAAGCCCGCCGCAATCCCAATCGGGTTTCTAAACTTGAGTCCCAGGACGTTCACTTCCTGCATGGAAACAGAATAACGTTTTTTGGCGCCTTGTCATCGAGATCGGGACAAGGTCGTGAGCAGAAAGCGACGGCGTGCGCTCACCAATGATGCGGGGTCCTGGTAGCGGTTCAGAGGAACCAGACCCAGACCGATCATCTTCACAGCCAACACGTGAGCCGTCTCGGCTCCCACCATCCTCTGCAGCAAGGGCATCAGCTGATTGGCATAGAAACGCTCGTCTCCGACGGCAGTGAGGTAGGAGGCAAACAGAAGGCTACCGGAACCGATGACCTTCACTGCATCTTTCAGCTGCTTCTACGGAACATTGAAAACATTGAGAATGTCTTCAGCAGGACTCTAGTCAGTCATCGCTGTGAATAGACTGCAAAGTAATTTCCACAATAACCCTATTTTCTATACTGTGTTTTGTTAAAGGTTGTTTGCAGGGACTTTGCTGGTGTTTGAATCGGCATAACAGCTTTTCTTTTGAGCGCGTGGTGTCAGCTTCCGTTTGGAAAAGTGTCACAACAAAGCGACTCAATTCAGAATATCACTCATCTATGAGGCAGAATTGTGCGACGCGATTTGTATTGTCATTTCCACAACTAATGTATCTTTAATAGCAAAACCAGCCATTTGGAAGCAATATATATGTTAAATACTAAATTCTACCGTGGTGCCTTTCATATTAGATTCCAAGCATTTCATTTGGCTGCAATTACCAGAACAATACAAACGTTGAACGGTTTCCTCGTGGGACTCAATTGTGTACTGGAGATATAAATGTTAATTAGAAGATATTCAGCCTGTTTATTTAGCGACATTAATAAAATCTCTTTCGAACCAACCGTGAGTCCTGATTTTAAGATTTGCGGATATATTTACATGACAATACGGGGTTATATTATACAAATGACTTTGAACAACAAATGTTGAATGGTACCAGTATTTTGGCAACATCTGGACAAGACAAAAAAGGTATCAGTAGTAAAGTTAGTGATATTTAATGCAAGCCAGGAGTGACTAGTAACAAATACCGTCACATATCTTTAAGGGAATAAAAAGGCCATAGTACTGGCACTTCAGACGTACAGTATTAGAGTAACATAGTCAAGCAATAAATGACATTTCACCACTATGTAACGTTGTGTGCTTAGAAGGAGGCTCAAACGCTCACTTCCGTTACGTCCCTCCCTGTAACGCTGGCCGTCAACCCTTTGCGTCATCTTCATTGACCCTTTGGAGACATCTGCCTACTTGCAGTTGTCTTGGAGCCTTCTGGGGCGTTCAAAGAGCAAACGGAGCTAACAGCGAAGCCACCAGCGCGCCACGCGTCTCTTTACGCAGCGCTTCCTCCGCGCTTCCTGGTTTCATCTCCTCTAACAGGGACATCGCTTGGCCTAGTTTAGGGATTATTTGACCATATTAAAAAAAAAAAATAGCGTTATTAAACAAATAGTCACTGAAATTACCTTCAGATGTCCCGCCATGGGTGCAGTTGTGTCACCGCATTAAAGGGCATTGGATGGTTACACAAACGCGCGCGGCATCCGCTTCCGCCACATTGTGTCGCGATATTTCAGTCCGGCGCGGCGTGAGAAGTGGTGGGAGGAGACGCACACTATGATTGACAGTGAAGGTTTAGTGTGATTTAGGAAGATACGAAATTTGTCATCGTATTGAGAAGTATCATATGATCCACACTTTTTAAATCATGTTTCATGTGTGTTGGGAAGTTCAGCTTGTGAGACCTTTGGGGATGCCAACTTCACTTTGCATCTTGTTTGAGTATCTGCAGCAATTTTCCTAATGTATTGAGAATACATGCAGATTTATTTCTGGAGAAAATTCTCTGATTTCCATGTGACAGACGGAAGTGATCTTGCTCAGCTTCAGCCAAGGTTCCCGCAGCGCTATGTAGCTCCTCACATTGTCATAACTATGGGCATGTTACTCCGACCCTCCGTCTTTTTGTGGATTTCAGTTGGATTTCTTTCTTTACCGAGAACGTCTGAGGCCTGCGGTGGCACCGACTTCCCCGAAGGGTGCAAATTTGTTATCAGAAATGCCTGTTTTGAGTTTGTTGCAGGGTCTGAGACCTGGTCCCAAGCCAGGAGCAGCTGTGAGAAGCGAGGAGGGGAACTCCTTAAGGTGATGAACACCGAGATCAAATTGTTCCTGAAGAACATCACCAGAGGAAGAAACACCAACCACTTCTCCTGGTGGCTGGCGGACGGGGTCCAAGGCCAGTACCAGGTACCCATAAGTGAGTTAAATGCACACACACGCACACAGCATTTATCTTTTGGACGATTGCTTCTTTTAACAGTTTATTGTGTTTTTCACTTGAGATCCTTGAAATCAACACACACAAAAAACATTGTTGGGCTAAATGTTCTAAACTATTTGTTTTTGAGAGAAAAAAGCGCACATTACAGAAATAATACAATGATTCCAAGGGACGTTTTTGATGTTCTTATGTAATTGAAAGAGGGCCTGGTTTAATTTAAAGAATATTTTAATTTAAAGAATACATATATATATATATATATATATATGTATATATATATATATATATGGAGACAGAGAGACAGAGAGAGAGAATAGAAATCAGTACTTGAGACATTTAGAAATATCATATAAAACGCAACGTTTTTTTAATAATCACTTTAAGTTATTCCAAACAACAGCAGAGCAATACGTCTTAACGGCCTCGCAAATTTACAGACAGGAAAGCATTTTGTTCCAAGCATCATTGATGGGATTTGAGACTTTTGAATTAAAACATATTTTACCGTTTCTTGATTATATCACTTTGAGTGTTTATGTTATTACAGCATTTACCTTAAAGATACGTTTGTGGTTTGTTGAAATCTTAATATCTTCAGGCGTTTTTTCACACATGCACGTTTTTAATTGCACAACAGAAAATGCTGAACTTTCAAAGGGCAAATGCACGTACGTGAAGCTGGGTCCTCTTCAAATCATTCAAACATCTGACTGCAACCAGAGACGAGGCTTCCTCTGCAGCCACAGTACGCATCAACAGCCTCCTCTTGTTGCCACGTCCTCTCTTTCAATCTCTTCTCCTGTATTTATAACAACTGATGGACGTTTGTAAAAGTTTTCTTTTTTATTTCACTTTATAATCAGTGTGCATATTGCTAAAAGTTTCATTCTTGTTTCAAAGGTGTGTGTGAGTCTTCGTCAAACACAAACGTAAGAGACACTTAACACACTCAGAATAACGCCGGTTAAACACCCAGTATCACATGCTGCTTATGTTCACGTTTCTTTTGCAGAACACATCGGGTTCCACTCGTGCAACCAGATCTGGTGAGTTTGATTAAAACATTGTTTGTCATTAATTACAACCACAGAGTTTGTGTTTCTGTCTTTGTACTTCTAAACACATCTTGATTTCAGTGATCTCTGAGATTATAAAACACCTGAGTTCGAAGGTCACAAACACAGTAGTGGGTTTGTTCTTCTCTCAAAGTATTGAAGAGCTTCTCCAGGTGAGAGGCCTCATTTCATTCTCATGCACACTGTTTGACCAATGAATACCAAAGGGCAATAAACAGCAATAGCAGTAAAGCTCACAAGTTCTGTTTTTCTGAGACAGGAGGCGGATAAGGAATTATACCGAATGGAAACCACAGTAGGGGAGCCCACGGCCAACAGCATGGTTGGAAAACCTTTACTTGTTTTTGCATTATTAAGTGTGTGTCATGTCACATAAATGGACGTTTGTTTTTCCCTTTTCACAGGAGTCGTTCATTGACTATATGTATGCAGTCACTATAAACCTGGTTTCAAACATTAGTTTACACTCTGGTTTAAAGAATAAAGACATTATTATTAGTCACATCAAAACCTGCACCACCGGCATCCTCCTTCTCTCCCAGGAAAACTGTCACCCCGATAATGACCCAAACCCCACCGTAAGTACTGTACACATTTTTGTGGCTGTTACAATCAGGTGAGCTTGCCTTTTTTTCCCTTCTCCAGACTTTGAAACTGAAAGCCTTTGAAATCGTTCAAAAAATCTCGTTGCTGGTTGATGTGGGAGACCAAGGAACTTTTATCATCAGGGATCCTTCAGGCACCCTCTATCAGAGCAGGTAGCTATTTTCTTTCAGAGAATCACATACCTGATGTTTCTTTTGCTTACACTTTTGTAACTTTTCTTTCATATAGTATATATGAAAAGTACATTTTAAAACTACAATTTATGTTGTTTCAAACGTTCTATCCTTTTCCCAAGATACAGAGCAGCTGACCTCGGCAACTCTATGCTCGGTTCAGTAGAAGATGGTCAGTTTGCCAAACTCCCCTCAGGTGAAGCACTCGAACGTCAGCTTAAAAACCACACAACAGTCACCGCTCAGGTCTGTGTGTATTGTCTTGTGTGTGCTTGCACCTTCTATCTGATCATTTGCAGCCACTCAACAGAGCTTTTTCCCCTTAGCTGACTTCACTCACAGAGAATCCCCATTCGTCTGATGGAAACATCTCAGGAACGGTTTGCAGCATTAAACTTAGTGATGCCTCTAGTAACGAAGAAATAAAGCTGGCCAACCTGACGCAGATGATAGAGGTACAACCAACAAGATCATTATTTTACAAATTGGGGGGAAAATATGGTAAATTTACTGCAACTGAGAAGAAAAAGTATTGATATTGTGTCATGCATATGAATGCATGTAAATGCGTAAATATACCGACTTAAACTTTAAGGGGAAGTTTTAAAATGACATTACAAAAATTAAGAAACTAACATGAATTACTACTAACTTACATAACACATTTTTAGGTCTTCATGGAAAAAATATAATGATGTATGTTACTGATTAAGTAAATGTTAAGCAAAGCTACTGGATATATTAGGGTTAATCACAGCTTATTAGCTAAGACAAAATCAGTAAAAATATCAACTTCTAATTCAAATTAATATTCCTAGTTTCTCAATGACTTTCCACAACTATGAATATATGATTCTGTGCTATATTTCTGTTTAAGATGTATGTCCTTGAGTTGAATTTTAATAATAATACTAACTTTTCTTTTTCTGGATTCTCCAGATCTTTATGAATAATCCGCAAGCTTCAATGCCGACGAACAACACTGTTTTGTTGGAGTATAACACAAAAGCTGTGACCACAGTCAACGTTTCTAACACTGAAAGCACCCTCTTCGTTAGCGTGGAGCCCAACGCTAACGTGTCATTGCAACTTGTTTTGGCAGCAGGATCCCCTCCTAACAAAACCCATTTCAGCCACACCACCACCTTGAGCCCAACAGGTAACACACACATTATTTATGTATCTGATATAAAATATTTTATTGGTATACTTGGATGAAGAAGTCATGTGTTGGCTGATTAATACCACAGGAAACTATCGCTGGAGGATAACCCCAGAGATGTTAAGTGGGACTTCTGGAGCCTGGTATGTTTCTGCCAGCCTCGTCAATTCTACTTGGGAGCCGGGCCTGACGCTGACGATCAGCTCCTTTACGGGCCGGTGCTTGTACTGGGACACAGAAAACGAGACGTGGAGTAGTGATGGCTGCCAGGTGAGTTGGTGAGGAACCTGGCTGCATTCACTTTGGTTGTGGCCGTCTGATTTTACACCAACGTTGCATACCAGACAGTGACGTGCCGTCCTTGTCTCAGGTGGGAGACAAAAGCACTCCACAGCGAATTCACTGCCTGTGTAACCACCTCACTCTCTTCGGGGGTTCCTTCTTTGTGATGCCAAACTACGTGGACATATCTCGCACGTCAGAGTTGTTTGCCACCGCGTCTGAGAACTACGTGGTCCTGGCGCTGCTGTGTGCTTTCTTCGGGCTCTATCTGATCACTCTGCTGTGGGCCTGCTACTCTGACCGCAGGGCGCGCTCTAAGGTCAGTGTCTGGAGCGGTGCACACTCTGTTGGCAAACTAAGCTCTTCATTTTTAATCCCACTAACCAGATGCAACAACACATTCAAAGTATGCACCACGATGTTTTACGTTGAACCAACAGAGGAAGATGACCCTGCTGGAGGACAACCACCCAGGCGCTCAGTACAACTATCTGATCGGTGTCCAAACTGGCCATCGCAAGAACGCCGGGACCACTGCCAACGTAAGAGTCTTCTCTCATCGACGGCAGTATGGTTTGTTTCTTAGTGATGTTTCAGACGGAGGATTTAAAAAGCTTGTCATGCTGTTGCTGATGGTGGGAGAACCACACTGCATGTTCAAGCCTGTTTACAACCAATTGTGTAGACCTCACAGTGCTTCAGAGCCATGCGTCGGTTGGGCTTTCCTGCAGGTCACGGTGAAGGTGATCGGCTCGGAGGGCGACAGCGGCACGCACAACCTCACGGACCCCGAGAAACCCGTTTTCCAGAGGGGAGCTTTCGATATTTTCCTGCTGGCCACACCCTTCCCACTGGGCGAAGTGCGAAACCTGCGGCTGCAGCATGACGACTCTGGAGGTCACCCATCATGGTACTGGAGATGAGAACAGTTAGTGATGCTCCAGATCGGGCTGCGGTGCTTTCTTCAGAGGGAGAACAAACGTTTTACTTTTCTTTCAAACATACAGAAACGCTTATCTCCAAAAACAGTGAAAAATTAGAGTTGAGTTATTTGTTTTGAAACCAGAATATATTTAGAGTTCCTTGCTCCCGTTATGTCTTACAGGTTGTACCAGGAGGGAATGTTTTTAATGGTTGGACGTCGTAGTTTCAGCTGTACACTAGACATGCAGATAATTGGGTGGCGGCGGTGTGAAGCCGGGAACGGGGCTGTGAGAGCTGTGTACGGTTGGCCTTATTGGCTCCCTGCAGGATAGCTCGCTGGCGTCTCCACAGTGACACTTTGAAATGTCAGACGTGTCTTAATTTAGCAATACCTCGTTAGAACTTTGTGCTTTATACCGCTCTCAGAGGACGGCTCACAGGTACACACACACACACACACACACACACACACACACACACACAATTTTGGTACATCTGAGCTATAGTATAGTATAGGGGTAATATTTGTCATAAAGAATCACACTGAAAGCTTTGGACAATATACAGTGCTATGATACTAAGAGTGACGCAGTATCAGGCTTTGTCCATAAGCAAGAAATATCTAAACACAAGTAAATGGAAACGTTAAAGTTAAATACACATATACATGTGTATGTGTATCTACTTTTTGTTGTGTCCTGTTTGCAAAGCTGCTGAGTGAAGCTTAAATATTACCGAACATTCGTGTGTGTTTTGTGACTTCCCATAAGGTATGTAAACAAGGTGACCATACAAGATCTCCAAACACAACAGGTGTTTCACTTCTTTTGTGAGTGCTGGCTGAGTTCTGACCATGGAGACAGCATGACCAAGAAAACCTTCAATGCCGCAAAGAGCAACGAGATCACCAGCTTCAGGTCAGACAACTCTACGATGCCGGATGAAACCAACTCGGCTCTGGAGGAGTTCTCACCACTACTCTCGTTGTTCTTTCTGTCAGGAATATTTTCCACAGCAGAACATCGAATGGCTTCAGGGATGAGCACATCTGGGTTTCCATAGTGGATCCTCCTTCACGCAGTCCATTCACTCGCGCCCAGAGGGTCTCTTGCTGCATGAGCCTACTGCTGTGCACCATGGCCATCAATATCGCCTTCTGGAACATTCCCAAAGATGAGAACTCGCCAGTACTCTTCTCGTTTGGTGCGGCCTTTAATTATTCTCGCTGTCAATTGTTGCAAATTTAAAGGGAACTGTGGTCTTTGTGTTGATTTAAACATGGTTGTTGATTTTTCCATCTTAGAGGGCTTTCCAATACAGCTAACAATATCTTGCCTTCTGTTTCTCCTGTATCAATGTTTAAAAAGGTGAAAAATAAACATTATCGGATCCAATGTTATAGTTTAAATATCTATGAAGAGGTGAAAATAGACGTTTCACAGTTATTCACAATGTGGATAGTTGTGTGGAGTTTTTGGGGGGTGAGATAAGGAACAGGAAGGAACAGCAGGCAAAACAAGTCCATGCAAAGACGAAGGAGGTCATTTAAATAGCCACCGACAAACAGGGAAAGCAAGGACAAGTGAGCAGGTGATGAGGTTAAATTATTGAGGGTAAACAAACACCCCAGACCATGAAATATGAACCTGACGCTGGAGTCAATTTTCTAGGAGATTAACAAAAAAGAGAATTACAAAAAATTCAAACAACAAGGTTTGGGGCTCCAAAATGCAGCACCTGAATCAGCCTACTGCTAATTCCATTCCTTCCTTTTCTCTTATAAATGACCAGAACAAGTCCACGTAGGACATCCGATAAAACACTGTTAAAGTTAATTGAGTAGAAAACAGTGCAAATGTCACTATTGCCCCTTGACACTTTTATGCCTGTCAATGGCACTCGATTGTTTTTCTGTCCCTCCAGGTTCAATGCAAATCACCTGGCAGGAACTCATGGTGGGGATTCAGAGTGGTCTGCTCATGTTCCCGATCAACATCCTCATCATCACCATCTTCAGAAGCATCCGACCTCGCGTGACATCAAAGGCGAAAAAAGAAAACTCTGTGGAGAACTTGACACTGCCCCCAGTGACCATGGCAACTATCTTGAAGGTGGGTTGTGCACGACCTAATCTCTGTTGGGGTGGCTAATCCCCGACATATTACGCCTACTCACTGTAAGGACCTTCTCTTTAGAGGACCTTAAACATACTGTGTTTTATCGAACATTGCACATTGAACTGCACCCATCGGACCCCCCGTAGGACACAAACGAGGTGATTTCTTCAGTGAGCAGCAGTCCCAGGAACAAGATGTCAGACATGCACAGACTGGAGTCCACCACTGACCTCTGCCTTGCCTTGGACAGGGTGCATGAATTCATCCAGCTAATGCAAGGTGTTTTTTTCCATTTTGTTATTTGCTTATTTTTTCTCTCGGAAAAATGGCATTACCATCACCCGTTAGCCGGGAAGTAGTAAAACAAACACGGTACAACAATAGCATTTATAAAAGGATAAATAACCAGAACACTACACAGTAATATACATTCAGTGGGGTCGTGCTTTTAGGGCACATATGTATCTCAGTCAGTTAGTCTCTGAAAACTCTCCATCTTCCTGCATGCATGTTGCTCTCAGTCACAAACCAATCCTAAAGAGGCAAAGTTTCATTCAACACCATTATGGGAATTGGTGCACTAGTGATTTTCCGAGTGTATTTTAAGCTATGCAGAGAAATCGAATGACTCACTGGTCCATATGTTCTCCTGTTGAAGGGGAGAGTGAGAGTGATCTTCACTGGGTGTACTGCAGCAAGTTCCTCCTGGCCGCTCTCTGTCACCTCCTGATGTGCCTGGAAAAACTGGATGAAAGGCAATTCCTGAGTGCACACGAGTACCAGCAGACCCTCAACCACACCAACTTGCTGGTTCACAAAGCCGAGATGGTCCTCAGCAGCCATTTAGTCTCCTGGTCAGCACTCAGACCGACACACAGATATAAATATATATGTGCAAAGTACAAATATGACAGATTTGACTTTCTCTCATCGCCGTCTTCTCCGTGGCCTAGCCCGCCCCCAGTGATGAAGACGAAGAAGAGGTCGGCGAGCTGCTGGCTGCCTTGGTGGTGTGTGATCCTGGGCTGGTTCCTGTTGCTGTCCATCAGTGGAATATCCACTTACTTCACCCTGCTGTACGGCTTTACCTACGGCAAAGTAAAATCCACCAAGTGGGTCATTTCTCTGGGCCTCTCCCTCTTCCAGAGCATCTTTGTACTGCAGCCTCTCAAGGTGGGGAAAAGAGTAACAAGCTATTCATCTTAAAAAGTAACTCAGTAGCTCAGCACATCTCACAACGTGTTCTTGCATGTCAAAGGACCATATGACTACATATAAGATTAGTTTGTTTTCTTGTGGCTTGTTTTTGTTCACAGGTGATCGGACTCGCTGTGTTTTTTGCCCTGATGCTGAAACCTGTGGCTGTGGAGGAGACTGAAGAAGTTGAGCAGGTGATGACAGGTAAGCAGACATTATGCAGCCAATCTGATAGCAGAACAGGTTGGGATTCACAGGTTACAAGCCGCAAGTAAAGTATTTGTTTTTAATATTGTCTTTGTTCATCTGATAAGTGCACTATTGAACGTAACCACGGTAGTTTTTCCCTTTGTGGCCTCTTTATCAATGTCTGTAATCATCGTTAAAGCCATTGCCTTTAAATACGTTGCTTTGGTTTTACAACATGGTTTTTGATCACTCTCAAAGAGATGTTTGTGGATGTTTGGACTATCAAAACCTTCTTTACTCGCTCAGCACCAAACAGCAGACCTGGCTGGTGAACAAAGTGTAGCGAGAGGCAGATATTTTACTCAAATACAAGAAGCACAGCCAGAGTAAATACTGGACTAGAAAAAACAGCCTTTAATTTAATTAATTACATACATTGTTTAATCTATGTATAATTCATAAAGCAGACAGAAGTATCCTTTACATGTTGTTTTGGGTTGACTGCAGGGGGTTCTTATGAAATGATGCGTATGAAGCAGTAAAAATATTAGCTTTGTTTTCTGTTCCTCCCGAGTGGCTTCTCTCTCTCTCTGCAGTGCACCAGTGCATGCATGCTTCCGCTTGAGAGCGGTAAAAGTACCGTGAGTCTTACCACGCTTTCTCCTCCATTTACCAGAGCAACAAGAGAGGTGTAGACGGTACACTGGCAGGCACGCACTTTGAGGAAGCTGCTTTTCGTGGGATATTTGGTCTTCTTCAATGGGCACAGCTGCGAGCCGAGGATCCCACACTGCTTCGACACTCTTTTGCACTAATTGGAAGTTTCTACTTTCCAAATGTAACATGTGTTTTGCTGGCTTGTGTGTGATGTTTTTTTAGGAATGGCTGATTCAGAGGAAATGGGTAACAAAATAATTGTAGCTGTTGCATGTCATTGTGCTGCCTTTTCCTAGTGAAGTACCATCCGTGATGATGCGTATCCAAAGAGAAAAATACTTTTTTCAGGAGGCTGTTATTTTCACTGTCACGTCCTAAATCAACCTCTACGTCTGACCCCATATTCATATAAATATTCATTGTTAGGCCGATAGAGAATATATCACCAATACTGCATCTACATGCAACTATTCTTTTAATATATGTACTGTCCCTCAGTACACAGTTAAGAATATAGAGCTTGTGAGATCTATTGCAACCTTCCCTCTAGGACTCACTATTGCACTGTACTTTTACTGCAATGCAATGCAGTTTCAGAATCTTTTGTATTAGTGTTACTGTTTAAACTATTTTGAGTAAAAAATTGTCTTCAATCTATCAATCAAGTAAACATGACCATAAGCAAGGAAATAGAGGTCCTAGAACTATTCAATATAACAGTGCATATAAAAAGTCAATAATCTGCAAAGAAAACACATATATTTTTCTTCTTGTTAATTTTATCTAAGTCAATGTGGGTTTTAACGGTGATCAGAGTACGACGCCGACCATTGAGCAGCATTAGAGGATGATTTTAGGGAAATATATTTCCTCATCTCAGCTTATGTAACTTTAATACATGCTGAAGGTGCATGTCACAACTTTTCATCATGCGTGCAGACTTGTGTGAAATCCAGTCCGTGCTCCCGTATATTTTATGTAGCAGAACTAACTACATTGAGGTTTGTGCTACACCTTCTGTGCTTTCATTTAGTCACTGATCTAGTTATTGTTTTCATTTATTGATACTGTGTACGTATTGTATGTGTGAATTTGAATAAACACATATATTTAAACACGTATATTTAATCTATAGTGACTTTTCACTGATACAGCTTCAGATAAAAGTTTGTTAAGTCTGAAAACTAAAACCAATTTATTTTGACTCACGGTGACGTCAAAAGATGTGTGAATGTTGGAGTCGGACATTGTGACGTACGGTCACAAACTACTGTTTAGTGAAGTTTACTTTACATCAAGGATCTTTGATAGCATCTAGCTTTTGTTCCTGTGTAGACGGAATGCACTTAGAGAAAGACTAAATGCTTCTTCAATAAACTGACGCGTCTGGAAATGTTCCGCTCCTTCACAGAGGAAGCACTTCGCTCTGCAGCAAACACTGAGGCTACTAGAGAATTCAAACCGAAACACACTGTGTCAAATGGACTGCATGCACTTACTGCTGTAAAGATTCCACAAAGACGACTTATAAAAAGGTGACTCAACAGAACCGCAGATCAGACCGGAGACATTTTTGATCAAATTTTAAAAAGGATCAACGTTGCCACAAACGACCAATGCAGTTGCACTTAAATGCTTTAGTTTTTTGTCACAACTTTAAAAAGATAATTCAATACGAAGAATTTTCTAGTCGGAATTATAAGATTCTGATAAGAAGAATGTAGATTTAAGAAAAAAAACAAATCCTCAACGATAAAATATGCCACTTCAGTCGCAAAAACAACTTGAGTACTACTTGAGTATATTTCTTATCAGGAAGAATTCTTTCTCTTCACACTGAGGACACTTGCTGGTCTGCAGTTGACATTACATTACTGTAAAGCAGAGGAAGTGATGTGAACAATAACAGAAAATGGTTTAAAGCAAAACTTGCACTTCCAAATACTATTTTTATTAAATTCTTATATTAGTATACAGTGGGAAAAACTTTTTTTATCACAATTCTGTGTCTCAAAGTGTAGCATGAAAGAACAGTCTATCATAGAAAAGAGTGCGCAGATCACAGTTCCATCGTGTTTCTAATCTCTATTTTCCCCACAACATGTAAAACCTAAAATAATCTAAACCAACCAATCAGCTGGCGAGTCTTTTAATTTGCTTCAGATCTCGCTGAGTCATTGTACTCAAGGCCATTGTCCATTTGGCGTGAAAGCAGAGCTGGGTGGGGTAACGTTGCAGCTACACAGCGGCACGATAACTAAAACCCTCTGGCTCACATTTCTCCACAGGAAATAGAAACATCCGACTTCTATTGACAGTACAGGTGCTGCAACTACACATTGTAAAATACCTCAAAAGATAGTTTAAGGGCAGAACATTTAAAGCAAAGTGTAATCCAATCAAAACCCATACAGATAAGATTTATTCAGTTTTGTTTGAAAACAAATTACCCTGGTACAGAGTGGAAAGGCCTCTGATGAGAAATTGTAACTAAGGCAAATACAGTGGTGGACCGACAGTATCAGACACATGATCACATAAGGACAACGCAAACCAATCGCCTCCGGGGTTAATATCTCAATCCAATTATGTCGCTGCTCTTGTGTGCACACATGTAGCTTGTAAATTAATTACTTTAATGTTAAAAGGCATTTGGTAAGACTGACATTTAAAGGGGAGGAAAAAAGAAAGTCAAACTTCTTACTAACAAACTTTTTTTTCCCCCAGTACAGGTCAATTATTTATTCATATTGTCTATGTACATCATTTGAAGTGTATTATATTAGAGGATTTCATTCACTGTCTTATCACTTTACATCTGTGAGTCACCACCCATGCGACTGGTTTGACATGCGTCGCTGGACTTTCCCAGGAGGGTTAACACACGCACACACACACTAAACTTGGAGTGTAAGCCTTTTCTACTCAGAAACCAATTCACAACCCCACAAGACACAGAAAATATGGTATCGTTCTGTCCTCATACCTTCATGTAAAAAGAGAAAGAGAAAAATGTGCGTCTTGGAAACTATGTCTGGCCTTTGAATGTCAATGGCAACTCCCCATCAACGTGTGCAGGCCAGTCTGCCCGGTTTGACTAGTCTGACGCTGCAACTGTGTTACTCAATGCAGACGCAAGACGTCATGTACTGAAAATATTCATCTCCCCACTCCAAAGAAAAACAATAAACAGAGAGAAGTAAGGATCCAAATCTAAGTTTGGTTGTATAGTGTTATAGAGATGTATTACATTGACAGATGGGAACAAATAGAAGTCTGTGTGAACAGAAGGAGGAGGGAACAGAAGTCAAAACCCACATAACTGTATGTAAGAATATATAGTATGTGCTGGAAAGAAATTTAAAATATGGTACTCAATAGTACACCCAACATAAATGACGTTACCACTAACTGCCAAAGGTTATATTTGTATAGATGAGGAATTGGAAATGAATACATCCTTGTATGTTTAATATCCATCTAAGATTACTTCAACGTGGAAGGGAGAGAACCATCCAACTTATTTCCAGTTCCCCGCTGCTCGGATGACAGCACATGCCTGTGTGTATATGTGTGTGTATAGACCAGGGACAAAGCATTAGGTCTTCTTCTTCAGCTCCTCAAACCGCCGCGTTAAGTCGTCAAAGTCGATGTCATCCGAGGTGGTGTTGTTTCTGCCGAAGGAACTCGCGGGGAGTGTATCAGGAACGGAGGGGAGTTCCGGGAGCGCATTGTTGTCAAATAGCTGAGCTGAGGGGCCAGGACCTGAGAGTAATATAGGGTACTGAATTTAATGTATGCAGGAGTATATGTAGCAGTTTATGAAACAGTCTAAACAGAAGATATGTGGGTTTCCCGCAGGAGAAAGGTGGATTAAAGCCTTGTGTACAATGACAAAAAAGTAAACAGCACATAATGTGAGCCTAGAAAGCGACACTTAATAAAACGTTTTAACATAGGTATGAAGAAATGTTTAAAAATCTGAGGGATCACTTCAATAACGGGTTGTAAAGAATAATTCGTAAGTGTTGGAGGAACTTACCTGTGACCTGGGAAGGAACAGAAGGTTTGTCACTCAGGTCATCAATCTGAAACACAGAGGAAATGTGTAATGGGTGATGTCGTCTGCATATGAAATTAAATAATAGTATATGTGTTAGTGTTGAGAAATAATCAACAATTATGTCCCATCGTGAAAAAGTAAAAACAAACACAAAGGAAAATCTGCAGGGGAATTATTGAGAAAGCTTCACCTTGAGTGTGCAACAGAAAAACAGACTCGAGGACTCGCTTGCCCCACCTCCTTGTAAAGAGCACTTAACACTAATCTGCTTCGCTCAGAACAAATGATCAAATCCAGTTAGTAGTTAGTTATTAGCACTTCATGTGAATGAAGCAAACTTTAGGACTAATTGAGAAATAATGTGAGAAAGTAAGACGGGCAAAACTGCAAGGAACTGAATGAACTGCTCTTCCCTGAATGATGCCCGTCTGTCCGTCTGTTGGAACGGGAAGGGGGCATTGGAGTGCAGGTGTTCAGTCACTTACGGACTCGTATGTGGGGGGACAAGAAGGCAGCTGAGGGGGCTGCCCTCCTCCCATGGCATGCTGGAAGTTGTTGTAGGTTCCAACAGCAGGGTTATATGGTTCCTGGGGGAAAACAACAGTCTGGTATTTGTCTGAGGGAGGACGCAGACTACTGTAAAAGTAAACCTCTCACTTCAAAGAAAGTAGAACAAAGCAAAAGAAAATGCTTTTGGACCATTCAGCGTATTTGGGTACAATGATTGCTGGTAAAACTACATCTTTCCAACAAAAGAAAATACAAAATAATTACACATACAAGATCCCAATTCCTACTCCACAACTTTTCTATCCAAAAATGTATAACTTCCAACAAAATCATAAAGAAAGGAATTAATAAAAATAATCTCTTACGGGTCCTTTAGGACCTGGATAGTTGAAAGCCGTTTGCATGGGCATGGGCATGGTCATAGGCATAGGCATGGGCATGGGCATGGGCATGGGCATGACACCAGCAGGAGCTGTGAAACCGCCACCACCACCGCCGCCGCCACCTCTTCCTCCTCCAAACTTCTTGTCATTGTCCACGTCAATCAGGTCAGCTTCTTCTCCAGGACCCACCTCGGGCTGTCCAGAGACATTGGTCGATGAGCAAGCAGATAAACACAATGCATGGTTTCATCCTTAATAGCAAATGATAACATTCTTCAGCTCTCACCCGGACCATGGCGTCGGGTTCGTACGGCACATTGTAGTTCTTGGCGATCTCTATCAGGTAGCGCTCCACCAAGATCTTAGGAGGGGACTCCACACCCAGTTTGTGCATCAGCTATAAAACATAACACAGATATTTACTGTCGCAAAATAAGTTAATAAGCTAAAAGGGTGTAAGTCTTTTTGAACAGACTTGTGCAGTCGGGGAAAAAAAAAAAAACTACCCTATCGTTGACCGTGCCAATCTGGTTTGTCCTGCACAGCTTGCCGTACTCCTTGCTGTATTTTGCACATAGCTGCTCAGAGACCTGATAGATACATTTAGAGATACAACTTACAAGACTGGCACAATAAGAATAAATGGACAGAACTTGTATATTATTGAAAATGCCACAAACATATGTCAACAGCACTTACAGTTCTTAGTTCAGACACCTCTGCCTGGAGACGAGGCGCTGCCCAGATGAGAGTGGACACTGCCTCTTGTAGGCCTGGGTCCAGTTCCCTAAATTAGGTGGAGCAGAAAGGGGGTTAAAAGAAAAGACAGAGAAAAATAAAAGCCAGCGAAGAAGATAGTAAAGTTAAATCCAGACATTCTGTATAGTCAATTCACACTTTACATCTGTAAATTCAATAAAGGGGTATTGGCGCACCCAGTTGACGGAGTTACTCACTTCATAGACTGAATGAGGCCAAAGCGAGTCAACAGCAGGTCACAGTAGAGCTCCAGGATCTCCATGGCTTCCACCAGATAGTCCTCTCTGATGATGTGCTCCACACGGATCCGAGCCCGCTCATCTTTTCCTGATGACAGATAATCTGCGATCTCCTTCCTGGACTTTTGAGCAAGCTCAGCTTCATTTTAAAATGTGGTAATGGGAAAAAGGTTAAACTGTTATTACTTAGAGGAACAAAGATGATGATTCCTCATGAAGGGGAATAGGACCGGGAGTTTTAATTCAGCCTTCAACTTACTTTTCTTTTTCTCAAGGAGTTTCAGTCGATTAATGACCAGCCGGAGGTTAACTCTTAGCCTCTCTGCTTTGAATCCTCCTCCCAGCATGATGACAGACTACCTATGAACAGGTAGGAGAGCATGAGTGGAATTACATACGGAAGCAAACATCAAAAATAACCTATAGGGCTCATTGAATTAACCTCCTCCTCACTTCTGAACCAGTGAGTCACTTCATCACGTGAGCATGACAGACTCATCGCAACAGAACGATTACGCAGATTTAACTACTCCAAAACACATACACCACGCACAAAACATGACGCTAGCTTGCTAGTTACGTAACTTTAGTAAGCTTCTTCTTTAGCTGCTCTAAACAGTAAAAGCTAGCTTTAGCTTGTCGCAACGGAGAGCGAAGGCGGCTACGTTGAGCCACGATATTTTTAGACTTTACCATCTTACCTCGTTGAATTTCTCGGTTTATCGTCCATTTACTTAACCACACTGTGAGATACCCGTGTAGAAACACAAGCCTCGGGTCTATGCTGCCAAGCCTGACTTTTGGCTAGTTAACGTTAGCCTTTGCTTTGTTAGCAGTCTGTTCTGTCATCGTTTGAGCGATGAGGCTAACGTCACCTAGCTCTCTCTAACCCTCGGCTAATCATAACAAACTGATTAAAACGCCGTCAAGTACTTATATTAAATCACCATTTAAAAAATCGAATAACAGTTAGTCTAGGTGTCGTGTTCCTTACCTGGAAATATTGGTCAAGCGTACACACCAACTTGTTTGGGTTTCGGTCTGTTTCGTTGCTCGGTTTACTTCCGCAATGATCTGTAGTGACGTCATGGGAGGACTATCTTGAGTGGGCGGGGTCTCCATACTTACAACAGGTGTGACCAAAGTACACATTCATTTATAAAATCAGTCCTTTAGTAGCACTACTCACGGTGAAGTACTTTTTTACTTTCATGGCTACATATTTAAGAGAGGTATTCTCCTTCAAACTGGACACGGTGTCTATCCTATGTTCCAAACATACATACGCTAATTTAAAAAAAAGTTAAGTTAATTTGCAAACTGATCCCATCTAGGGTATGGTTTCAACTAGCTAGCAGTTTTGACTAAATACTAGGGTTGGAAAAGAAGCTCAAGGTATCAATTAAAACTTAAAAGCATACAAAACTGATGTTATGTAACTGATGTTACATTACTCTGCTCTTAACTCCTGCTACACATTCCTTTAAGGTCGCGCACGGGGATCACAACTATATCTCATTAGTTGATTTTGTATTGTACGACGACTAGAAAGATTTTAACCGCGGTGCTTTATGTTACCTTAAAAATCAACCATACAAGATTTCAGCGGAAAAATATTGTGCCTTCTATTCTACTTAAATGTATTCAACAGCCGAAGTTCCTGGATGCCTGACGCAAACTTTATGTACTTAAGATAATAAGCTGCGGGAATTTGCTGAATAAAAAACTAACAAAATGACTCCTCGAGCGGTTGCATTTTTATAATCCTGTAATAACTGAATAACATCTATACAAGTTAAACATTGAAAAAATAACCTTTATGTCCGCTTTTCATTATTGTACTACTGCACAATTTTATAATAGATCCATCTCACTCTGACTGAGGTAGGGAAGACAATTGAAAACTCGGAACTTAAAAAGTGGGGAGGTCGCACATTTCATTCTTTATACAGAAAGTCTCCGTTGGTTAATAATAGCCAATGCATTTTGTTGCCTTAGAGTATTTGTTAATACATTTACTTTTGAAATGCACAAACTTATACCATTTGTCAGTGTCACACCTGTAATGATCAGTAGCTTCAATAAAAAATACACTAAAAGGGCTGATTTCAAGCAACGCATTAACAAAAACTGTCCTATATTGTTACAGCAAGTATTTGATTTTTTGTGTGTCAATTATGTATTCAGACAATATAAAAATGTAAACCTGCAAATATACCATGTGATCTTTTGCAATATCAGTGTATATTTCAATATTTAATAAATACGAGCAAACAACCTTCTTCAAACAGGCTCTGCAGAAGTACAAGCGCAAATTAACATTTATCCTTATTTAAAAATACTTTACTCATTTTCCAAACAAACACAATTGGGCTTTTCATTTATTTTAATGAAAATGGAAACATTTAACAACGATTTTCAGGTTGAATATATCACAGCTTTCTCATAAAAAAAAGAATCTGTACAATAAAACATCGATCTTCCACAACAATCCATCCCAGTTCTTATAACTTGAGTTTGCTTACAGAAACTTCTTTGTGTTTCTTCTTCTTTGAAGACGGGTCCTTTGCACTTTTGATCTGACTTTTAACTTGGTCCTGCAGCTCAGAGAAGAAGGCTTGAGAGGACCGCAGAGCCTTGTCCTTCCCCTCGTCCTAAACAGAAGAACACCACCATAATTGATTGATCTCAGCAACGTACAGAGTTGTATTTTTAAAAGCGCTGAAGGGGTCCTGACTACACGAGAGAAGCCACCCACCTTGAGTATCTTGGTTTTTCCTCCTTTTGTGAGTTTCTTCAGGTTCTCTGCTACTTCAGCCTTTGACAGCTTTCTGTTCTCCCCGGTTCCACTGGCCTCTTTAAGTTTTTGCCGCTTTTCTTTCTCCTTGATCTTTATACGCTTAACTGTCTTCTTGTGGCGTCTGTCACGCATCTTGTCTGTTGACGTCTTCTCAGTATCCCCCAGAATATCTCCTGCTTTGTTCTTCTCCTTTGGTTGGATGACATTGTTATTAAGGCATGCAGTGTAATTGAATATGCAGAGATAAAAATGCATGTTTGAAAATGAATTGGTGACATACTTTGATTTCTTCTGGCGCGAGCAGCATAGCATCGCTAGCGCTGACTGGAGCCACCTCCTCCATCGTGACAGACGGCAGGTTAGACACCACTTTGACCTCGGGGACGGGCTGTGGACAAACGGCAACATAAATACAAGGTTTCACAAACATTTACAATTTATTATGGATTCCCCGACATGGGGCTACGGACTGAGCTGGATGGATCACGATACAAATTAGGTCTATATTATTATAGGATATATTTTTACCAGGGTTTCCCCTGCCTTTGTATGAGAGGGAGGTGGGGGAGGGGAAGGGGGGGGGGGGTGTATATCGTGTGGGGGTATATAGTGTGCGATTTACATGAATGCTGACACCTTCCAAAGGCCAGTCTATCCCAATATTATTTGGCAACTTTCAGTCAGTGCTGTCAAAGGGCAAAACTTACCGGTTTGGGTGTGAAGTGAAAGTTGGAGAGAGCATCCAACTTTAGGAAGAGCGTGTCCATAAGCTTTTGAATTTCTACATGGGCCGAGTTTTCCTCCTCCTCGGTCTTTTGCTGAAATAGAGTTAAATGTTAAAATGATGAAGCAATGGTTCATACCTGTTAAAACAGCAGTGACTGCGAGTTAAAAGTCTAACCTGATTCTGCTTGAGGTATTCTTGCTCATAGATCTCTGCTAGACTCTGCTTGCTCTTTTCATGGTCCAATGCCAGCTTCTTCTTGTAGTCAAACACCTCCTCTTTGGGTTTCTCCTTGCGGACCACATCATCAAAGGCCTTACAGAAACACAAGTCAAAGGCGCTGGGTTATAATATATTATCACATTTGCTTCAGACAAAATAAAAGATACATTATACGCACTAACCTGGTCTTTAATTCTCTGTTTGATGATGTCTTCAAGCTGTAGTGTGGTTTCTGCGGTGATACTAGGTGCTACAAGACCACATAAAAAAATCTTGTTATAGGATATGAAGAAGTACAAAGAAACTATTTTAGTAACCTGAATTAAAAACAATACAAACTCAACCCCATTGAAAGGAATTGGATAAACCAAAAGCAGCTTAGAGCTATCTGCCAACACGAGAACGCAACCCACAATAGAGTCACTCACCCATCCTGCCCGTCTGCTCAAACTCCACATCCTCCTCCAGCATGCTGTTCTCTGGACGACTTTGTGAAGTAATCTCTCCTGACAACTGCCATGGTTTATCTGCTAGAGCGGTTTTCTCCAACTCTTCTATTTTCTCTGACATCTGCAGGTTAGAGAAACAAAATGATGTAATATTTATGTAGCATTCAGGCTGTCATCACGCTACACTTAAACAATTTGTGGGGTTGTGTTGATGGCGATCGATTGCTTCTCATCTCTGATGGATGATAGAAAGAAATGTGTCTCTTACACGAAGACCACCATCTCTTATGCAAATCAGTTTAATAACACTGGGAACAATTTAAAATTTTTGATAAGATACTTCATCAGACAAACCTTGATCAAAAAATCAAAAAAGATTAGTCATCAAAATCCTGATGAGATTCTTAATCATCTTTATCAATCATCGATCATTTTTTCTTAATTAAAGCATTTATTTTACATTTCATTTTTAGTTTGTGTGTGCCTGAAAGAACGGGGACTTTTGTAGAAAAACGTTTGTATATAGCTTACCGTGAGGAGCGAAGAACTATTTGGGTATTATATACATTTACTACAGTAAGTGTAACATTCCCCAACTAAACTAACTCTATAACCATATTTAAGCCACACAAATTAGCAAACAAATTCAACAAACAAAACAAATTTGCTCAATCTGAAAGTCAATTACCTTTTCTTGACGTTTTTCAAATGATGACTTCACTGCGGATATGGCGGAGCTTGGAGTTTTTCCTCCAAAAATGTCCGCCAGATCCTCTCCCTCGCTGTCCTCATTGAGGTTAAAGGTGACTTTCTTTTGAGATGCTTTGGTCTCTTCATCCCTGGCAAACGATGGACACAACCATGCTGACATCAACCAGATGTGCTTCTCTGATACGTTTTACATATTACATCATTTCAATCGCACTTACTCAGCGTCACTTTCCTCTTCACCGTCATAATCATCAGCCTCCTCGTCTATTTCTTCTCCACCTTCTTGCCAGCTTTTATCCTTGTTGTCCTCCTCGCCATCAGAGTGGTCTTCGTCTCCACCTGGTTCACGATCCACAGCATCAAAGAAGTCCTTGTACTTGAGGTTCCTTGAGCTTTTTGCCTAAAATGTAAAGAGAAATACATAAACTTGCTATATTTTGTACATCAAGACACAATATAACATTTGGGAAAAGTGATGAAAACACATACAATAATTTTCTTTTTCTTTTTGGCGGAAAGTATGTCATTTAAGTCGAGATCGTCGTCATCATCGGAGGGCAGGTCCTGAAAGTAGTCTAGCTCGTTTTCGTTCTCATCCTCCTTTCCCTCTCGTTTGTCCATATCATCCAGAAACGACTCCATCTCGGACAGTTTAAAGAATGTATCGTCGACCTCAGAGGGAACGACCTTTGGTCTGGAGCCTTTCCTTCCAATCTCCTTCTTCTGTTTCTCCCGCTTCTCCAGAGCGTCCACGTCAAAATCTAAATCGGAGTCTTCATCAGTGTACCCCTCTGCGCCATCCTCATCCTGAGCCATTCTCTTGGACTGTTTAGGTGGTTCGTCGTCGTCGTCATCATCATCATCATTCTCCTCCTCCTCCTCTTCTTCATCATCATCATCATGAGTCTCACCTTCTGCCTCCACACTATTCTCTTCATCGTCTTCCTCCTCGACAAGCACTGATAATTTCTCATCTGACAAAGCCTCATTAGTTGCATTTTCAAAGTGTGTCATTACAGCATTGTTCTGTAGCTCCAGCTCCTGCCAGATCTGCTCTTCATCGAAGTTTTCCACCACCAGCTGAACCAACGGGCTGCCTTTGTATTCGGCGGGCTCTTCAGTTTTGTGGAGGTCATACAGTAGCTTAGTGAGCGTGGTAAAGTCGGCTGCCGCACCATCTTGAAGGCTGGAAAATTGGAAACACACAGTCAGTATGGCACGCCTGGTGTATTATAAAAATTAATAGTTGGCATTTATATTTGTAACATAAAAATAATTAATTCATCCGCTATACTGTTCAAAATAATTCATACAGACCACCGACAACTTTTGTACTATCCCTTTAATTTTAAGTTTGCATGTGTATTCAAGAAGGTCATTGTATGTTTTTGTGACCCTAGATACACCTCAAATGTGGCGAAAACATGTCTTCTTTTTTAAAGTTATTAGTATTTATAGTATTTGAAGGATATATCACGATCACATGAGTTAAGTGTATTAATTGTTTATCTTGCAGCTGGGGTCAGCTGTCCACTCAAGTCTTGTTTACCAGCTGATGGATAGATTGATGAGATCATTTGGCTATAACATCCCAAAACAATGACGGTCAACTCTCCCTCACTCTCCCAAACCTTAAGTCTCAAAATGGTGTTAGCGGTGCATGCAGTTAGCTTTAGCTCACGAGTCGCCGGTTCCACGTCTGCTCTTGTACTCAAACTCATTTATCCACTTTTTCAACAACACAAACATACAGGCAGCAGATACTTGCCTCAGAAAGTTCTCTGGATGTGCTGTGTTGTCATTTATTTTCTTTACACAGTCCTCCAGAACGCTCCACATATCTTCAGTAGCCATCGTTTCTCCCACATGCGTGGCTGTCTGTGCCGCAGATAAACAGGTCCGCCAAGAAACTCCACTAACGCTTATTTGGTTCCGGGTTTACAAACATGGCGTCGGCAGTACTGAAGGTTGCAGGTCGGTATAACGTCAGATAATGATTTAACTACCAAACGTGTACTCTTATCAACTGGTTCGTCCTCAAATTGTTTAATAGTAAGACCTAAAACAAGACTTCTATACCATCAACATTAGCTGTGTTACACAATGTTGCTGCCCTCGTTCACGTCACACGGGTTTGTCTTGCAGGGTTCGGATAACATTAACGTTACATGACACTTTGTACTGTATCACTTAGTCTGAAAACGTCAAAAGATTGTCAAGACTTTTTTTTACCAATTTTTTTCACCTATTTTTTCAACTCAGATTTGAAATGGTAAAAGTTAACCCCTTGAGACCCTAAAACGTAGCATTTGACTATAACTTTGCCATTTGCGGTTCAATTGCATAAACTTGCTCAATCAAGTATTTTAATTGTGTAATAAACTGATGTGTATCAGTCGTAAAACGCATGGTGTGCAACCAGATTATATTCAAAACCACAGACTTTTATTTTGAAATCTAGTGGAGATTCCAAATATACAGATTCAAAAAATGAGTGAAATTATTCACAACACATTTAGAATATTTTCATGTGATGGAGTGGTGCAGCCTATGCATATGTCTCAGATTTACCGTGTAAAAATCACACAGCTTAAATTTAGTTTCAACAAGCTGGTAAATAATATATATATATCGCCTACTGTCAGTGAAGGCAGAATAAGAGTATTGTTCCAAAGAAATCGCCACCTCTAATCTCACTATATTCAAATCTGTTTATTCAGTGGCAGGTCTTTCCAGATGTTCTCGTCTCACTCTCTTGAGAACACATTTGACAAAAGCGCCCCTCCACCAGGGCCCTCCTGGTTCACTGTGGAAGCTTGGGAGGCTGAACCACATTGCCATCGCTGTCCCCGACATGGAGAAGGCCACGGCTCTGTATCGGGACGTGCTGGGGGCCACGGTGAGTGAGCAGGTGCCCCTGCCCGAGCACGGCGTCTACACAGTGTTTGTGGAGCTCGGCAACACCAAGCTGGAGCTGCTCCATCCTCTGGGGGAGAAGAGCCCGATCGCTGGCTTCTTACAGAAGAACAAGTCAGGAGGGATGCACCACGTTTGTATTGAGGTGAGACCGCATTGATAAGTTGTCGTAGGGATTACACTCAGTGGACACTTTACCAGGTACGGATCCGTACCCCCCCAATGCGTTCAAGTGAAAATGCTCAGACATTTTGACTTGTCATTCTTTGAAAGGTGTTACATAACTGATGAGTGAGCCAGCAGGGAAAATAGCAGAATCCTGACTGTGGAAACGCTTGTTATTTAATCATTGATTACATTTAACATACTGTGAAATGTCTGTTGCGTACCGGAACAATATAGTGCGCTCAAGCGATGGCCAGTATCCAGGATTCCTGAGTTTTTGCACCCGCTACTAAGATGTGAATGTTATGCAACTTTTGTTTTGGAACTTTCTGTCACGTGTTAAAATGCCTTTTGTGGACGAGAACAACAACTGTGACAGTGACACACCTGAATTGTTATTTTACCTGTTTGATGAGTCAAAGTTACCCTACGAATGGTATTATGTCACTAAAAGATAGCAGCACATGAATAACAAACAATCACAAACTGTCCCACAGTATTCCAAAGATGCTCTTTTGTGTCTGGAGACCCTGAGCTTTTGCCTTTTTACTGGAAGACTTGACCTGAAGTGTTTGGAGACCATTAAGATTGAGTATTTGCACTTTTGCTTTGCTTCCTATTTGGGTTCCTCTCTAAAAGCTGAGCTAAACAATCAATTAAAAAACATCATTGATCCAAAAGCCCAACTGATAAATTAAGCTATATTAGCTTTATACAGGTATATATTTACTGATGCATGTGTTGACTACTAAGTAAGATGCATTACAGAAATGTTAAAGAAACGTGTGCAGTAGTCGCCCAGTATTACAAACATTACAGTTCTTCCACCAGAGAGCGCTGACATGTCTCATAGTAAAATGTTGACATTACGTGTCAAAATGGAAATTGTCAGACTTTTTAAACTGTTAACAAAATGGGTTTCAGTCTTTCACTATAATGGTGGTTAAGCTACTTTAAACAAAAGAAACCAGCACATTTTAGCCACTTGGCCCCATTTGTTACACTTTACGCCAATGCAGTATTTGAGACTTTCCAAACCACGATGTGCATTGAAGGTTGTCAGTATGATGGTGACTATCAGACAAGCCACGTCAAACAATCCTACATTTTCCTCATGTTTGCAGGTCGACAACATTACTGCAGCGATAGCAGACCTGAAAGCAAAGAACATCAGAACTCTGTCAGCAGAGCCCCGGATAGGTGCACACGGGAAACCAGTGATGTTCCTCCATCCTAAAGACTGCGACGGTGTGCTGGTGGAGCTTGAAGAAGCCTGAACACCTCAACCTGGCAGGAATGTGGGAGTTTGCTAAAAATTGTCGCTTTTGTAATTGTCCTTTATAGAACTTTTGATCACAGTGAGTCAATTGTTCAGTGAATCTATTTGGACGTTGACTTGTCCACTCCACTTTTCGAACACATCCAAATAAAAAGGTTAATGGGAAACCGGTTTGTTCAGAATAATTTGAGCGTAGTACAATTGAGGAAAATCCCAGAAGAGATTAATGCAGTAAGTTTTTATAAATATCCTGATCACTAGATGTGTTTATATTGAACCTGGTCTTTGTAGACTTGATACCAAACAAGTGGCTATTTGCGAGTTAAACTGATCCGCTGATGTCACGTCTAATGTCCAGCTACTTATTTGGGATTTCTGGTGTAGGTTTTCAATACCACAGAAAACTGTAGTTAAGGTCTTTTAGTCAGGTAAACAGTGATCATTTACTTTGATTCTGCAAACTGGTAATTGACCGCTTAACATCTACTGGGCCATTCATTAAAATACAGGGCCAATGGTTAGAGCTTCGAAAACATGCAAGGTCGCTCACTGGCCAGCTTGGTTTTCTTGGGCAATGAAAGTAAAATCAGTACCGTTTTTACCCCATCTCTGCCAGTTACCGTTTTTCAGATAGTGTTACAATTCAGGCTGCACTAAAGGTCTTTAATTTTACCATTGAACACAACACATGAGACGTAATCAGAATCCAGAGGGTTCATTTTATTTGGTTTAATTAACTGCTTCCGGCATAAAACACAGCAAATATGTAGTAATGACGTAGGCAAAGCAGAGACGTACAAGATACAAGAGTGGGCTTTGGATGGAATAGCTTTCAGCTCTGGGATTAGTCACGTTACTTTAATGTTGAGTAAATGGCAAGAGGTTTGAATAAAATAGTTGCAATGACTTGCCAGTACCATGCAGATGGCATCATAGAAGACTGATTGTAAGCAAGAGACAAATATAGAAAGCATTTGTAGAATTGCTGTGGATGCATTTAGCTGCTTTCTTTGCCCAGGGTGTGCTTGTCAAACAGGTACTCGGCCAGGCCGTTCTGAGGCGCTCCCATGCGGCGCAGATTGGTCACCCAGTCTCCCAGCTCTTTGATGGACTTCACCTGCTCGTCCAGGTAGTGAGTCTCAATGAAGTCACACAGCTGAAAGGAATTAAATTAAATTAGAGCAGACACAGACTGACCACGTCTACTGCATAATACATTTGCCATAAAACAAAGTTGCTCTTTGTATACACCATTTAACCATATTGGACACAGTAAAAAAAAAAAAAAAATTGTAGAAAATTGCAGTTGCACAAATATGCACAGCTGTAATGCTTTCAATCGGATCTTAATATTAGTTTGTATCCTTTCTGAAAAACTAAAACTTCAGAGTAAGCAAGCCACAACGTAATACTCACATGTGGGTCAGCGTGATCAGAACAGACTTTGTGCAGGTCGAGGAGTGACTGGTTCACGCTCTTCTCAAGCTGCAGGGCACATTCAAGGGCCTCAAGTCCAGTGCCCCACTCATCCCTCTCTGGTTTCTGCAATACAGAGGAACTGAGTGAGACAATGAGCGGTGGAAAGCAAACTACTCGCCAACACGCCTTCTGTTTTATTTCAGAGTGAGTTTGCAGTTTAACGTTAAAGTGGGTTTGGTTTTAAGATAAGCAAGCACACCACTCACACCCTTTTTATCTTTTGGCCTCCCAACCTGTGCTGTACGATAGAGAATATTTTCCACCCAAATTAGAGTTTCACACACAAAAGGTCATTAAATATGAACTTTTACCTTGACATCCTGTAGGAAGATCCTGCCCCCCCTCTGGTTCTGGAGTTTCATCAGTTTCTCAGCATGCTCACGCTCCTCTTGTGACTGATTGCGGAAGAATTTGGCAAAGTTGTGCAATGCCTGATCATCCCGGTCAAAGTAGTATCCCTGTGAGGAAAAAGAATTTCAGTGGTTCGAAAAAAGAAACATTTCCTTCTGGTACAACCAGAAATGTGAATTCAGCTGACTGAGGAGATAATTGCACAACGCAGAGACTAGTGTGTGCGCCAAGTTTAAGGTCATGCAATGCACTCCATGCCCTGTGTCTTTACATAATCTCTTAAAAGGAACTTCAACCTTTGTTTTGTGTCTCATCCAGATATTCATTTCACCTCACCCCCCCCCCCCCCATGTCACTGCACTAAAAAGACCCAGGAGCTCACTCATTTCGTTGCAGTGTTATTTTTATTTATTAAACTGGCTGCTTGGATGTCAGTGGGCTACCTGACAATCATCCACCACAGCAGTTTCAACCACCTGGGTTTACAGGTGGCCGAAACCACTGGTTACAGCAACTAGAATCACTTCCCAAAAACTACCAATACCTTTATAAATGGTATACACAGTTCCCTTTATGCGAAGTACCAAGGGCGATCAGCAGATGAACTCCAGGTTTTCCCACTCTTATTTTTATTACCATAACAATCTTCTTTATCGGACACTCACCATGGACAGGTAGACATAGGAGGCATACAGCTCCAGGTTGATCTGCCTGTTGATTGCAGCCTCGCAGTCCTGGTGGAAGTTCTGTCTCACCTGGGAACTCATGGTTCTGAAACACAATTATTATTATTTTTTTAAATAGAAAAAATTCAAAATGACAAAATAAAAGTTTGAGTCCATGTGGTAAAAGGAACGACATTTTCATAGTCTGGTAATCACGGTAAAACAATTTTTAACGGGTAGCACTGGTAGCAAAAAAAAAAACACTAAAAGACAAATTATATTCGCAAACGCATGTTGTGAAGCAGGATTCAGACCTGAAAAGCGATGGTAAAATAGCGCGTCTTCAGTCGACGGGCCCACCCTTCAGCAGAGGTATTGTTATCACACTGCGCCTCACGTAACTGTAGCCGCGGAGTCACGTGGTTTGACGCAGGCTCAATTCATGTAACGATCACACGCAACAATGGCCAGAAAAAAACAACATCTTAACCCGACCACTGGTTTCTTTTAACAAACGTAATGTTACAGAACGTCAAACATTGAGGTGGACCCACGGGTTGAGGACACTGGGACACTTGAGACCTTTTAAGCGTGTCGTATAGTTAGTTACATAACGTTACACGCTTGGCTACGGAGACATTGAGGAGGGCCGAGGCCTCGCGGAGATAAACAACAGCGCCAATGTTACCGTCACCTCGCCGCGCGGGACGCCCGTTAGCGGGGACGACGGGCACGGATCCTCAGCGGGCAGAAAACGCACACACGAGAAGGCAAAACGCTTAAATATTAATCCTTACCAGGTTTCGGTGGCAGGTCTTGTGAGGAGGTGGAAAATCTGTCTTGCGTCGTTGACGAAACAAAGTGTAGCTGGCAAGCTAAACGTGTTACGGATGTCTTAAACGAGCTGATGTTTCAAGGTAAAACGCGATTTAGTTGTTAATAAAGTGATGATTGGAATCTAAAGACAGATGAAAGGTTGCCGTTCAAGCACTGTTGAAGCAGGTAACCTTCACTGTCCGCTAGCTAGACGATTGACTGATAACCAGACGGTGTTGACCGCGGCTTATAAGCAGATGGTACGGGCCGTGACGTCATTGCCCGGAAGAGGGCGGGACAAGGAGGCCGTACCATTTTCTGCCCCGTCACTCAAGCAAGGCCGAGAGCCTCCTCTCTTACTGGTTTGCAGTGGTTACAAAGTACATTTACTCAAGTGCAATTTTGAGGTACTTGGGTTTTTTATTATGCGCTACTGTCTACATATACTTCACCAGTCATGGTGGAAAGTTGCTACTCAAGCACAATTTTAAGGTGCTCCCTTTTTACTACTTTATACTCAAATACAGAGAAAATATAGCCCTGTTTACTTCATTTTTTTCTATATATTTTAGTTATAGTTATAGATTATGAATACAAAATATGAAACTAGAAAAGCTCCACTTTATACATAAATTACCAGTGTTCTGAATCTATTATCATAATTGTTGTGAGTTGAGCCATCTGGCTTAATAAGTAATTTTAAAACTTTTGTACTGGTTAGGTATATTGGACAATTATATTTTCCTACATTATTCCTACACAGTTGCTACTTTAACTGGAGTCTGACATGATTGAATTCTTCTAGGAAGTGTGTGAGTGTACTTTTGACTCAACTAGATTTATTGGATTCATATCACTTGCTGATAAAGCTTATTCATTGGAAACATCTGACTGGTGATATATATATATATATATATATATATATATATATATATATATATATATCATACATTATATATTTAACTATCCAACTAACAAATCAGGACAAATATGTGAAACTTGAACAGCTATAACGTTGAAATGCTGCTTACTTTTTAATGTATCAATACATATTTTAACACTCCAAAAGGAGCCTTTTGGCAAAAAGACCAACTCTTGAAGCATTGTATAACCAGGTTTATATCAGAGCAGATAACTAACCATAAAACAACATACAACAAACATGCTGACTTTGCTTTGAACAAGACATGACTCATGTGGAGAAAACTCCAAAAGTTGGCGATTAAGTAAGTCTTATAGTCACACTCATGACTAAGTGGCTGATTGAGACATGCTGAGTAAGTAACCATATCCAAAGATCATGTTGTAACAGTGTAGTTTACATTGTTTCGTCTTTTAGCAGACACCAAAACCCCAGGTTCACAGGCCCATTGTGTGCCAGTTGGTAATCTGACCCATCGGTCAGATTACCAACTGGCACACAGCGGACCTGGTTCTTGGAAACATCCATAAACTAAAGCACAATATCAACAAGTTGTGCTTCATTTTCTGGTTTTACGCTTTTTTAAAAACATGTCTTGTTACGTGTGTGTTGGCTCTATGCTGTACTCTGAGATCACCATTCATCTTAACAGTTTACAATTGAAATCTGTGCGTACGGGTTTATTTTGAGGTGGGCGTCACGAAGTAATCTCAATCAATTGGGAAGTGAAGCACGTGGTTCTGTATTTGACTTCACATAATATGAATAACAGTAAGACAAAAAGGTGATTTGTTGCTTACCCTTTTGTAAGCAGTTATATCACTGTATTCGTTGCGTCTTAAGCGCCTGCCAATGATGGCATTGTAAGCATCAGGTTTCCTAGAAAGCACTGACCATGAGCTGCTTTTCTAACAAAACATACATTTACCCAGGGCCTTTTCTTACAGGGCAGTGATGACAAGTTTAATGGCTGTTTTGGCCATTGTTTATTTTTCAAACGGTAAACCTTAAATTATTCTTATTAGTGTTAAAGGCAGTTACATGTACAGTGGCATGTGCTAATATGTAATAACTAGCTTCAAGACGGCACTTATACTGGTGAGCTGCAGCACAATTACTTGTACAGTCATTCATTTGTGTCATTTAAAAATTGTGGGTTGCAAGGGGCTGTTTCATTATCTTATAGATAGATGCAGTGAAAAAGAAATTCAAATAGTTTGCTGTTTTTTTAATCAATTTTATTTGTATTTGGAAAAAGTTTAGTCGAACAGGCCGAATCCCATGTCGTCCTCGGACTCCTCAGACTCCTCCTTCTTCTCCTCCTTCTTCTCCTCAGCTGCAAAACAAAAAAGGCACCTCCCATTATTTCCTGTAATAGTCACCATAACCGGCTATCCCCCATGAGACCACTTTTAATTCAAGCGATCATTAACACGTACACCATGACATGACAAATTGTATAAAAGATCACACCTGGGCGTAACCCTAATCCACAAACCGGGTGAAAATCACACCCAGTGCTAAAATTTGATTCCAGGAAAAACTATTGATGACGGGTTTCATTTGTTCGGTTGTATGATCAATCAAAAGTTACATAATAATACAAGCTGTAGGCAAGGGCACTGTGTGCCAAGCGTCACGATGGTGACAAACAAGCTGCTAAATGACATGCTCACCTGCAGGGGCAGCAGCTCCACCTGAGCCAGGAGCAGCAGATGTGGCAACAGCTACAGCACCACCTGCTGGCACGCTGGCCAGTTTACCATAGCCTGAAGAGACAAGTTGGCAGACATGAGCTCAAGTGACACTCGGCAACGGGTCAGACTGTTAACAATTGGAGTTTTCCCCCCCCCTTTCCAGGCATGATGCCGTTGCCTATTATTAAAAACAAAATAAAACATTTTGATTCAAAGATATTTCTAAAAGTAGTGAGAAAACTGTTCTGATTTTCAAACGAACAAATCTAAATAAATCGCACGGACAACTTGCACGGAACCACTCACCTGTTGTAATCACCTCCTCCACATTCTTGCCTTTGAGCTCAGAAATGACCTGTTGAGAGGCAAAAAATCTGTGAATGTGACAATTACATTACATGTGATTTAGCTGACGCTTTTATCCAAAGCGACTTACGATACGTGCATTCAACCATAGGGATACAATGACAAGCAGCTAGTAAAATACGTGCTGTCACAACATTGGCCACAGAGATAAGGGCAGGAGGCTCGTACCTTGTCCAGGCGTGTGTCGTCGGCCTCAATGCCCACACTTTCTAGGATGTGCTTAATGTCCTTGGGGGTAGGACTTCCATTGCCACTGAGGGCACAAAGAAGGTAAGCAGCAACGTAACGCATCCTGCAAAAACAATAAACAGGAAGGTTCCATCAGTGGGTTGATGTGTTTATGGAGATCACTGACCAGTCAAATAAATTAACGTTAACTAAAAGTAACATCTGGGCTTAAGTCAATCAAATGTCAAATACATTTCAACCCCCACATTGTAACACAACTGCTACTTAAGTGGAATACTAGCAGGACATATGCATGTTATAACACCTTGTTGCTGGCTTTCTGTCCAGGTTAAAAAAACACGTTAACTGAGCATCAAACGGGAGCATCTATTGACTTAATAACTTAACTCCGTTTTAAACGAGTATTACAAGTAACACGCATGATGTCTATAGGGGCAATGTGGATTTTCCTCAGACAAATCGTTCGTTTAAAACGTGTAAAAAACAGTTTTTGCACCCATGTGGTGGGTTCTTCAGTCACTGCAACACCAGCTAACGGCTGCTAACGCATGCTAACTTAGCCGCCGGAGAGAGGAAAGGAAATAATGTGGCTAAATGACCCTCTTTCATACTTTTCAGCTACTGGAGTTGATGGGGTACTTATTATTATCAATATCATGCGTCTTCACCCCACGATGAATACACTTATTATATGTTTTAAACACACTCACTTGAGCTAGACGGTGAACGCGTGTCCACTTCGAGATTAGCGCGGATAGAAAGGAAGTTACGTCACTCGATGTGGGCGAAAGAAACCTCGTCTTCTTCGTGTTTAATAAAAAGCACAAAAAAGGCCGCGACTCCCCCTGTTGTCCCGGAGGGCGCAGTGTGGGCTCATTTCGAGGAACGACTCTGGAACCCTCTGCTTCAACAGAAGTTCTACCTCCTTTTCTACTTCGATATTACTCTGCGAGAAACTCGATATGAATATAAACATAAAGAAAGATGATATGATTATTATGAACCTCTACATAAAACAATGGTTTCATTGAAATGTAAATATAAAAAATGATTGCCTTTTGTAATTCCATCTAAATCCACTGTCCAAGAAACCAATAACATGGATACACATCATTCAATCTGCTGTTAGGGGAGTAATGGTTTTAAATCCCTTGAGCTTATGCTAACCAGGGTCCACCTGAATGAAATACCTTCGACTAGGAGATAAGAGAACCAGCATTGCAAAAACGTGGACTCAAATTTTTAGTAGTTCCTCCTGCACCATTTTATTCCACTGCCGGCATTTGACAGAATTTTTTTTTTACTATGAACATGCTTTTGATGCTGATTTTTCCAGAAAACATGAAAATAATCATGAACAGTGAAGACTATTTTTTCAGCCTAATTCTGTCGTTGATGAGAACAGGGTACGTTTGGAAAATAAACTGAAATAAGTGATGAAACATGCCCATAAGCATCTTATTGTTTGACATTTTTAAACAGTTTATTTTGTCCAACTGTTTTTTATTCTACATCACAACATTTTACATTTCACATCAAAGTGACAGTAAACTGGATAAGAAACCAGAGCACAAAATAACAACACAGGTAATACACCTAAACAACGACAAACTTAAATATTTCAAAAGGTTTTCACAAATGTTTTCTCCTGGTACCAAAAAGAAAAGACTAATCAGTTGAAATCTCAGAAAGGAGGAGCTGATCAAGGAAACGTCAAGTTCCCAAACATTAGTCCAGTAACAGCGCGGCTTTAGGAGACTTTGCTGAGATGGTCCTGGAACGCAGTCAAAATGGAAGTACCAATTACTGTATTCATTTTTAGGAAAATCCTTTATAAAAATTGAGAAAAATATCAAAAGAAAGCTATTATAAAAAATACTCTATGGATCATTCCAATATATAGACACAGGAGACTGGTAGAAAGTTGAAAGGTACTAAAATTTAAAACCCATCCAGACAATAGTCAGTGACATTCAGTGGTGAGTGTGACGTGTGAACATTTTTTACATTACATTTTGTCCTGATTTACTATTCATGTGTGTAAGCGGTGAATCTATGTAATAAAACACAAAAAATACATTATTTTAAGACATTGACTTCTATGTAAAGCCACTTTCCTGTTGAATGTTTAGCCTCAAAACAAAAGTATACTCATAGTGGCCTATGCGACGCTCTATTGCTAAACACACCGTCACATAATCCTATTCCTCTACATGTACAGTAACAGTCCAACATTTGGACACACGTTCTGATTAAATTGAATGACAAATGTGTCAAAGTCGGACTGTACCGTAACTTGACCATCGTTCATTAGATAGCAATGCTAGTGTCAAACGGAGACAGTAAAAAATATGAGTTACTTAGTAATAATTTAACCCCAATGTGTTTTAGTGCAGCGTTCTCAAACATACATTTGTCCACACAGCCGTAAAGTAGTAATTTCCAAGAACATTCTGCAATAAAATATTTATGCACCATTTGAGGATATTTCAAAAGTTTTTTGAATTTACTTTGCATAGATCATTTGTTTTGCATTCAGTTTGATAATGTATAATCCACATTATAATAAGGAACATCCATATTGTAGCTAATTGTGCTTTGAAAAACATTTTGAAACTATAAAAAATAACTTTGTAAGTGTTGTAAACATGGGAGGAAGGTCTACAGCAAATTGGGGGTCATTGACACAGTTTCGACATTAGCCGGCTTGAGCCTGCCTGCCAGGGACTTAATATTACATACAAAGTACATGGGTGCCAATAAATGGTTGGCTTTAGTGACGCAAAGACTGTTAGAGGTGATAAAAGAATGATGGCAAACTATTAAGGAAATAGATGTGGAGTGACATGCAGGACAGACAGAGACAGTTTAAATGTATTAGTAAATTATTGAAAGTATGGAAGTACTCATTTTCGAGTGAAAGCATCATAAAAGAAATCGTTATTTAAACGGCAAGACATTTTTCTATACATCTCATCCCAGCACCAGTTGAAGAAGTCAAAGATTAACAGTATAAACAACAGGTTCTAATTAAGTTAATGTTTCATGTTAGATGTGGTGGAAATTTGTGGATTCAGCTCAACAAATTCTCCCCCGACATTGTTAAATAAAATGTTGAAAAATGAAATAAAATTCACCAATGCAGCAGATTTACAGCATAATCCCCAAAACGTGGTGAAAAGTGAATATGAACCAGCTGTGATAACAGCATTCAAAAGAATGAGGAAAGCTCACATTAGGCATTATTGTGACCAAAGAGGTTGCTTGGAATTTCAAAAGACAAATGTTAAGTACATTTGTGATTCATTTAAAAACAGATCGAACAGAAGTCAAACAGGTTTTATCTCAGGTCAGAGTATTTGCTTATGAAGATGTACGACTTCCTTATTTATTATTAAAAGTATAAATTCGAGGCTCTGTGGCGGCAGCAGTTTAGTTCAAAAGTTGCTGAGACCCCATTAAATCACTTACAGTGAGCTTTTTATAGTGTGGTGTGACGTTAGACAACTATAAATTTAGCCCAGAGAAGTATAGATAATCCATCATTTGTTTTAAAGGTGTCCTTTCGGTAGTTTCCCTTATTATCCTGCTTACGGCGTTCTTTTTAACTAATTGGAACTAAAAATACTCCAATGCTTCCCTTCTCTGAACAAAAAAGTGCAGTTTTTTCTATGTATGCACAATTAAAGGGTATCTGCATTTGCCACCATGTATTTTAGGTACAGAGCTTTGAGAATAACAGATGCAAATTATTTTGAATTTAATTACCAGTACTTGACTTTGAAACCATTAAAAACAAAAACATAACGGTGAACACAGTACATACAATAAACACGATTGCCCTGAGGCACTTGGTAGTGACTGTGATAAAATATTTAAAAACACTAACTTTCCAGTCAAATGAATTGTGTAGTTGGTCTCAAAAGCATTCAGAGTTGCATTCCAAAATAATGCACAAGTGTGAGTGACCACCTACACTGACAATCACGATGTTTGTCTAGAGTTATAGTGTCCAACGTAACAATGGCAAATATTTAAAAATGCTACAGAAGTGTAGAGTAGAAGTATAATATATGGTATATTTGAGAAGGAACTAAAACTAAAAACATGAGTATGTTTGTGAAGCATTTTTTGGGAGTGAGAGAGAAGGAAAGGAGAGGAAGAGAGAGAGAGGGAGGGAGAGAGAGAACACATGGCCCGAAGGCTAAAAGAGGAGAGACATGGGAGCTTGGGCATCAACACGGACAAACCCTACTGGGGGAAGTTGTTCTGTTGGCGGCGCTTCGCCGACCTCATTTTCTCAAAGCGGGACTCCATTTCCTCCAGGACTTTGGGGGTGTACCTCACTACCAGCTTCACTGAGCCCTGAGCCGCTTTGAGGAGTTCCACAGCTTTCTCGTGGTGCTCACCTTCCACACTCTGAGGGGGGGCACAGAAACACACGATAAGGTTTTCTCCCCGGCCTTTACTAGCACTTGTCTGGCCCGGAGTCTTACGCCACCAACTGTTGGTGAGGGAAATGGTGTAAAAACGGAGTACGAGTAACCTACGTACACGGCAGAATGCTGAAGGATCCCCACTGACAAATCAGAGGCAACATTGCGACGAACACTAACGATATCACCAACATGATGGTATACCTATGAGGTTTTTAATAGTTAATGTGCCCTAACTGCTGAAGTGTTTACTTTTATCACCTGGTGACCATTGAAGCAGAGGTTGCAAAAAGAAAAGCTAAACTTTGAACAGGTCTTGTGACTTGAACGTACCACCCCGTTGACAGAGAGAAGCTGGTCGCCTCTCTTCAGTCCTCCATGTCGGTCAGCGATGCCGGCTGGGATGATTCGAGAGATATATATTGGGGAATTTTGCTCCTTCCCGCCCATTATGTTGAACCCCAGACCTTCTTCCGTTTTGGGAAGCTCCACAACACGCGGATGCGAGTGTCCCTCACTTGCTGCAAAAGCTGCCACAGTCGCCTACGAATGAACACGGTCACGTCATTTAAGCAGTGCATATCATTCCATTTGTTAGACTCGACACGCAATGTGGAATGTACGTCTGGAGCAAAACAAAAAACAAATGGTCTGAAAATAAAGATGCTGGAATCGGGTATACCTTCGCTGTGGCGTTGGCCCGGACTTCCGGACTGCTGTTGATGTCCACCGTTTCATAAACATGTTCATAAACCTGAGGAGACGTTGCCATATTTACAAGTTGTGAAGATAAAGTCATTAAACAAAACCCTGTTTTCAAAAACACATTATTCTAACACTAGAAGAAAAAGGGAACTGACGGCATCTCACAGTCACGTGTTTTTTAAAGGGGACAAAAGGGTCTCACTTCTCTGACGGCGTTGCAGAATTCACTCTGTAAGACCCTCTGCAGGGCCTGCAGCTTCTGGGGAGGCACTTCCCCCGTCCTCTGGAGCTTATCCAGCAGTTCAACAGCACGGTTAATATCTGTCAACGAGAGCACACGTGAACCCCCCCGTCAAGGGTTTTATTGAGATCTGTACATTGTCACAATCACATCTTTTCTTTTTCTGTGTTGATGTCAGTACAACATCTGTACCATGCGATTGCTTAAAAGCAATGTGAGGAAGCTGGTCTTACATCACTGTGAATTAAAGTATTAAGAATGATAAACTTAAAACCATATAGCAACATGCAAATAACACTCCAAAACAGATATCATAAAAAAATGATCCTTTATTGCAATTTACTTCATGAGGGTTAGGGTTAGTAAATTATTAAAACATATTATTGACTTGATGTTTGAAATGTGATTTATTCCCTTTACCACCTCTGAAGGTGCAACAACAGTGTATGAAAACCTCCATCAGGCAACATTCGTTGAAGCCTTCCACCATCACCTTACAGGATTGCTGTGTGTTGTCACTCATATTAGTCAATTGGCTGATACACCAACTTGAGTGAAACCGTGTAATTTAGCTGTAAAACCTCTCGCTCCGTGACTATGTTAATCGTTCAGTCATATTAATACACACTGGCGATCAGCAGGACTCCCTTAGCCTACAGACGATGAACAGGAAAGTTAGATGACCGCCAGTCACCTGCTCTGCGTGGCTAACGCTAAGCTAGCTTAACGTTAGATCACAACAAATATCTCTGCGCTACCGCGAGCTAGCCAATCGACTTTACCTCTTTCCAACCGCACGGGCTCCCCAAGCGATGCCATTCTGTTAGCAAGCGGCTGTTTAATGTCCCCTATATTTAGCGTTAATCACTGGGTATGGAGAATACGGTAATCCCGGGGCTAGCGTTACGTCCGTCTAACAGAGACGGTAAATCAGATTAGCCGAGGTAGCCGGCTAGGCTATTAGTTGCTAGTGTCATGATGCATTCAAGTAACACTCGTAGAGTGAACAACTCGGAACCCGCGTATATCATTTTATTTTCCGAGTTTCTGATTGCTCGGAGCCGCCACTGAATGCATCTTCCCTGGCTAATGTGAAGAGGTCAATATTTTATTTTTAAACCTTTAAGACAAAGTTACGTATGTATGTAACACCATACACATATCACAATAACCACGGAGACCCGTGTTTAATGTCTAGGTGTTCGTTTTGTGTAATTCGTACATGAACTGTCGACCTTCAGTGCTGTGTTAAGCCCACTGCAGGAAGGCGACAGAAGCTGTCCACTCTGACCCCAGACCCAATTAAACAATCACACAATCATGTGTCACTGCATCATTCTTTTCACAGGGGTGCTGCATCTGGAAATAGCTGAAAGATGAAAGGATTACTTCATAAATATCCTGTGTATTAAAGCATCACGGAAACAACCAGAAACCTCTCCGGCTATTTCCTGACACAGAGGATGTGTTCCCTCTGCCGCCCTCTACTGGCGGCAGAACGCACGGACACTCGACTACATAACTGCAGGAAACTGCTGCTGCACTGCTCCATGTGGGCGGAAACTTTGGAGCTTGAGTCACTTGTGACCACACCCCAAGTGCGGACCCACGGCACGGTGTCTTTGCCTTTGACATCTGATGAAATACACGGATTTAGGGTGCGGCCAGAGGCACAACACACGTGAATGTAGCGGAGCCGCAGTATTTACTGTCTCTTTTATTTCTACAAGATGCTCATTGTTTCTGTAAAAAAACGTTTCATTGTTGTTTTGTCTTAAAGCTTTCAGCCACAACTTTGGGTTTAACGTCAATGCTATGTCTTCCTGTAGGATGACTAAATACTTTTCAATTCTTACTTGTTTTGTGCAGCCATGACAAGAAACCTACTGGGTGATTCATGCCCATACTGCATGCTTATCATCTTCCTCGCAGGTGGATTAGAGATGATTCGCAAGCTTCTGTATAAAAAAAAGTAACTCACAGCATCTCCATCAGCCTCCTCTGGAGAATCCGAGACAAATATCTTTTCATTGCTTCATGAGGAAGGTTTTATTTTTTCTTCTCAAAAGGCCTCGTCCGGTTCTCTTCAGAGGTCACACTTACCTTCAGGTTGATGACGATGAAGTAAAATAAGGTGCTCGGGATCAAATGTAACACAAATATCAAACATAATTGAACTTTCGATGAGGCTTTTATATCAGTGTCTTCTCTTTCTAAAATATGTCATATTATGGGGAATAAGGGCGTGGTTGATGGTATTAAGTTGCAAAGTGAACATGTTAAATTGTTATCCAGCTGTCATCTCAAACTCTGGCATCCAGACTCATAAAGCAAGGACTTTTCACCATGAGAAGCACACCATGAGTCATAATCTGCTGGTGAAACAAATTTCCAGTCGTCTTTAACCTGGATTACAAACCAGGATTTTTCCTCCTGATCACTGTAAATCTACTGCTGCACCAAACCCGGGGGATTCTTCTGCAGTAGAAGATTTAAAGATGGGATTACCATGTCATACCAGGTGTATCTTTTTAATGCACTCAAATGTTTGTGTCACTGTCCAAACTGTGTCTACCTGTGCTTTAGTAAGCAACGTAAATCTGCAAAAGTGTGCATAAAGACCAAAGACTCCACGACCATGCAGTACATTTGTGTAAGTAATGTGCTGCTGGGGATCAGGAGTTGGTTTAGGAGTATAAACATTTCTCTCCATAATATAATACTGAAGAACACTAGGAGCTGCAAAATATACATTGTTTCCACCCTCTGAAAATGAAAATATGATATTTTCTTGCAGCCTTTAAATTCATCGAGCATCCTAGTTTTTGTTAGAAGCTGGTTTTGGCTCGTGCATGAGTGTGTTTGTGTGTGCCATGCCTTCTTTCCCGCCTCCGGGTCTGTATAATAAAGTTTATCCTACTTGGAAATGCATCGTTGAAACTTTACCGACATTGATTTTGTTTTTCAGTTGCCTATATTTTTATTTCTTCAAATATTTCAGTTTAATATTGCAAACAACTTCACAACATACAAAATGAATAATATTAACCCAGAAACATGTCAATGAATATATTTTATATATATATATATATATGTATATGTATATATATATATATATTCTTTTTTTATATATATATATATCTTTTCCTCTGGAGGGGATAAAAAAATAAACAGCAAAGCTTTGACAACAGCACCTTGACATAGTATGTAAGTCCAACATTACCTCGAGAAGTTTAGAACAGTAAACAGATAAATTACTTGAGAGGAAAATAGTTTTCTGCTGAATGTGTAAACGGAATGTTTTTTGGTCAGCATTGTACTTTTTTGTATGTGGAGAATTTCTCAATTCACAATTGAAGCAGCATGCAAGCTTTTTGAAGATGGAACTGTCCTCTCTCATTCCTTGCCTTTTTTTTCTCCTTCATTTTCTAATTCTTGGCAACGAAAACAAATCACAATGTCTTGAGGAATGTGATATAGTAATTTAAACTGGGCGCAAATGACTGATCAGATTTTTTTTAATTGTTTACAAGGTCATGAATATGTTCAATAAATAGACTGTAGTATCACTTTTACTGTATAAACTTCATCTTTTTTTACATGCAGTCCATAAAATTTTCATTTGACGGAATAATTTACCCTGTTATGTATATATACAAATAGATATTTTCTCTTTATTCTCTTTTTTAAACTCTTCAATAAAATCTATACATTTTATACACTATCTCCCTCTTTTAATGGTCAATGTGCATACACATGAAGTGTCTATCCTTATAAACCGCCAGCCAATCTTCTTTTTGCTATCCATGGTAAGCGCTCGCACGTAGGACTGGGTTGTCCTGCATTGGGAATTATAGTGCCGCTTGTCTATTCCTCTGCAGCCTTCCTTTGTGTACCCCATGGGGTTGCATTTGGTCTCATAAAAGTATTGCTTCAGTTGGCCATTGGGGACAGGGACCTTTTCCATGACGGTAACTGTCTGCCCAGACATGTCTATCGCCGTCTTTTTATCCACAGCTGTCACCCACTGGCTAATACTGTCACACACACTGAGCTCTCCGCGCCGCGAGGGGTCGGAGTGTCGCCGCACCCTCATGGACATGTTAGCGGCATCCAGATAGTTTTTGTATTCCTCCAGAAGAAAGAGCAACGGCGGCTCCAAAGGCACTTGGTTGCTGATCATCACCCGCGAGTCGTACAGGTCGACATCCTTGGCCTCTGCGGTGACCAAAGAAGACGGGCCCCCACCTCCCGGGCTGGCATCGGCCCCCTGTCCCAGCTGCGCCGCCGCTCCCTCCACCTCCAGCAGCTCCTCTATCACCTGCTCAAAGGTGTCTGTGAGTGAGGGCAGCTCCCCGCGCTGGCCCGGCCCACCGCCGCTCTGCGGAGTCCCGTGGCCTCGCGTGGCCGTCGCAGCGGCGCCCAAGTAGCCTTCCGTCCGATGGCCCCGCATGCCCGGGGCATCTCTCAGGGGCGCAGCTCTCATGCAACTGAAGTATGAAATAACCATAGTAAGGAACAGGATGGTCATCACTCTTCTAACCTGGTGGAACTGGAGGGAGAGAAAGCAAAGGGGGGAGGAGGAGAGAAGGAAAGTGTTAGTTAAGAGGCATTTTGGGTGGAGTTAGCTCATTCTTGATCCATAATGCACAATGTAAGCCTCTCTTCTTATTTACACAATCTGCTCTTTCTTTCCAAGGCAAAATGAATGACTGAAACATCGCTTTTTTTAGAATACAGACTTTCTTTTCAAAGGTGTGTCGACTGTCCAGTTTAGGGTTGTTACGACCAAACCCTTCGTCCCTCACCGCCTGAATCATTGTGTTTTCTTGTTAGTTTCAGAAGCTCAGACCCTTTTCAAAGTTTAGGACCGCGCAAATGTCTTTTAATGCAAAAGTTGTAACATTTTATAATAATCTGTCCATTGCATTGGCGAGCGGCAAAAAATGGATACACATCGGGCTGCAAACGCGTGAGGGTCAACTGTGAACTGGGACAAGGCGCTGCGTGTGTTTGTTTGTTTCCAGAGGTCATGTGACACCTTTAGTCTCAGACACGACTAACTAACAAAGTCACCATTATCAGCCCTCGTGGAAAGCACTTACTGACCGCGCGGGAAACAGGTTTTTCTCAGCTCTGACAAACACGGCTGCGGCAGCACTTTTTATCCTTAACTGGTCTGTGTTGTAGGACAGGTCGGACACTAATCCCTTCGAGTCATGTACGGGCATCAGGAGTTTGTTGAGGGACACTGTTTGTTTTCGGTAGGCGGATGGCACTGAGAGCACGGCAGGATGAAATAACAGGATGTCATGCGGAAATTGAAAGATGTGTCATCCTCGCTGCACTGTGAAGTACCGCTCTGGAGGAACGAGGAAGTTAGAAGTCAGCGATGGGCAATGGAATGCCAGCTAGGGGGAAGGTGGGGGGGGGCGATCCTCATCGAGGCAGGTATAGTGGAAATAAATAAATATATATAGAGAGAGAGAGAGAAATTGTCTGAGCACATGTGCATCCCTTACCTTGCAGAAGCTCTAAGATGTACATGAAACCAATGGTGTGGTGGACATCCAACAGCCCCAGATAAAAAAGCAACAATAACGAAAAGAAAATCTAGATCTTCCTTTCCACAGGGGCTCATTTAAAAATAGCCTGACCGAGGCTTTGACTGCACTCTGCATGTCCCAACTTGATGGGGAAAATAAAAAGAGCGAGGAAACACGCTGCCTCCGCTCAGGACGGAGACGAGGACCTTTACAGTAAGGGAGGAGCAAAAAAAAACCCCCACCTTAAAGAGCATTAGCTACATTTCTTAATTGGTTTTAGGGGCCGTGGCTGCAATTAACCAACACCACCGCGACTGCCATAGAGATACCTCGCCTATAAATAGATGTGCTGGGAGTCTCACAGTCTCTATTCAGAATATCACATCCTTCTTCTTAATGAGCCACTCATTCCCCGAGCTCAGTGACGTACGTTCTCCGGAGTGTGTGTGTGTGTGTGTGTGTTAGGGGGAGGGCATGGGGAGGGGCTGGCTTGGATGTGTTTGCAGGGAGAAGGGGGTATTTTTCCTCTCACCAATTAAAAAAACAACAATGAGGACAAAGGAGATAATTATGACATTTTAATTCGATACTGTGAATAAAAGCCTGTTTATCAAACCTCAGTAACCCCTCAACATTGCTAAGGACAAGAAATCGCTGTGAGGCTTTCGAGCAGAGAAGAATCACGTAGGTTTTACGGGATCGAGGGCAGTCACGAGCCGTACGTGTAGGAGGCATTTAGGCTGATATTGTTATCAGCATCACGCTCAAATGGTTCCACTTCCTCGTGACGGAAATGAAGGCAGAGGGCTGATTACTGTTAGCCGTCAAACTTCATGCTGGAAATGGTGCAGACGATGAGTGCTGCATCTTCCGTAACAGACCACAGGGGTAATATTGCAGTAGCAGGGGGTGGAGAGAGTGCCAGCGTCATTTCGCAGCATAACAACCACAGATGACGTCTCTTCCAGGTCTCCATAGGGGAGAGAATGGAGGGGAGGAGGTTGCTGGGGGTAATGCCACTCAACAGTGTGCAATTGCATGCCGCTCCCCCGAGAATCCTCACACCGGGAACAACAAATGATTTTATTTCTATCCCTGTGATTTCCTGTTTCCATCAGGACAATCAATATGGCTTATGCTCTCAATCAACATCCTGTTAAAATGTGATAAAGCCAATGAATCATTTAATTGCTGTGGGACTGGCGGAGGATCTCTGGCTTGTATCTACTGGAGGCTAAATGTGACAACTGATTGGTTCGCTCTTGTTTTATACAGCAAGTGAAGGAACATTTTATGTGCACTGCCGGATTCTGCAGTTAATGAAAAAGCGGCTTGCGGGTTAACACGATGAGCATTAATAATAGAGCGAGGGCAGATGAACATATGGAGGAATGTTTGGAATAAAATGTACTTTTTTGGAGCCTCTGGGACAACTTTGTGACGACTGGTTTGATTATAAAATAAATCTAACACAAGAAGGTGGCCGGCCACAGTGACATTTCTTTTATCTTTTGCCTCACGCTATTGTTGAAATCATATCATTTGTAAATGAAATGCAGATAGATCCCAACAATCCACCCGTATCACACAATAAACTAAGGCCCATGGCTTTCCACGTAGGACATCTGTTGTCCTTAAACGTAAATCACTTAACATGAGATAACAGGAAGATAAAGCGTGCAATAACCGCGGCAAACACGCCTTTATTCCAGACAGCGAACCCACAGCACGAACCACCCAGAACAATAGGAGCAGGTGAGTGTGCGGACCCTGTCTACTGTTGGGCTTTGACGTCTCTGGATGACCACCTGTTCATCTGCTTTGAGAGCGTGGCTGTATGGTGGGGATGTGTAACTTATCCTCACAGTTATTCTTTGTTCCAGGTGGGGATTAAAGTGATAAATGCCCCCTTTGACAGATGCTGAAAAGTGTCTCTAAAGCATGAAAGGACTGGTATTATTACACATTCAGCAATGTTCCCGAGCCTACAAGCACATGTCAGCACACTGGCTTCATCTTCACCGACAGCGCGATACCTTAGGAACCGTTAAAATATGAACATCAAACAGAGGTGACGAAAGAGGGAAACGTGGCCACTACATTTGAATAGTAGCGCTCGACCTATAGCAACATTCGTTCCTCGTTTTTTTGCTCCCTCGTTTGTTCCATTCCTCGAGAAGCGTGTTGGGTCAGAGCGGTTTACCCAGCAACGTGTTTTGTCACGTTCAAAGTGCACAGCGCACAACGCCAAATGTTCCAGAAGAGAGACGTGCGGCACATGATATCAACATTTCTACCTGAGGACCTCTTGTGTGCCACGATGGAGCACTTAGAGAGAAGGCAATTAGGGTTGTCTGCAGTAATGGCTGGCACATGTGGAAGCCGGCCCTCCTCGAGATCTGCTTTCAATCTGACACAGTTTCAGAACACGTTTAGTAATAGATGAGCATCACTAAGGGATTATACCTGGCCTCCTGGCCAACCCCGAGCCACTGCCACAGACGGCCCCGGCATTCAAATAGCTGCTGAGTGATGTGTGCTATCCAAATGAGTGCTGCTTGCCTCCCGCACTGTGTGCAGCAGCGGGCGATGGAGACACTGCAGCCGCAGCACAAGGCAGCGTGGCACGATCACACCCGACGGCCTGTTGCACTCGTACAATGTCCCGTTAAAGCGTAAACACAACCGAGTTCAATTTAACCCGCTGAATAGCGATTGTGGAACCTGAACACTAGACTTAACAAACAGACATAAAGCTCCAAATGAACAGTGCTGCAGTTCCAGCCGCTCGACACTAGATGGCGTGTGAGACCGTGGAATAAAAAGAGCTTCTTCTCTTTCAGCCGCCACCTCCCTCCCATCTCTCCTCTCCTTCCCTCCCTCTTGTGAAACACGATAGATAGATAGATAGATAGATAGATAGATAGATAGATAGATAGATAGATAGATAGATAGATAGATAGATAGATCGATCGATCGGTCATTTCTGCTGCATTATACACTGCAAAGTTGACATAAATGGTCACAACCGTGTGACTAGTGAGACTTTTTGGTAAGTCTAGCATTATTTCATCATTAAACCAAAACATTAAACATGAAATGAGAAAATGAGACGTCTTCGACGTGGGTGCTGCCATGATCCAGACATTTTCACACGCAGTTGTCAGAGCTTTCCACCACTCAATAGATTTTAGACTTTATTTGAATTATTCCAGCCAGTCATTTCGAGATTAAGCGCGAGCGCACCACACCAAACCGACGTTGATGGGCGTTTGAGTCTCGGGTTTCCTATAAAGTCTTAATGAGTTCATTACACCCTCCCTCCCTCCCCACCTCCAAAAAATAAACATTCTGGAGTGTACGCTTATGTTCACAGCGCAGGAGGCTCCGAGGTTATAATGCAGTTCTGTTGAGTTCTTTATGGGCAGAAAGTTGCGGCTGATTCCTTAATGGAGGCGCGCTGCTGGGTGGTTTCCACTTGGTTATTTACGAGAAATACTGATAATAAGCCACGTTTGCACACGCTGCTTCCATAATGAAATAACAGCCCCCCCCCCCTCGAGATTACATCTGCTGAGGCCGTGTCCTCCTCTGGAAACCCAATCAACATAATAACTCGGTTTTTTATTAATGAACGAGGGGATAAGGTTACACACACACACACACACACACACACACACACACACACACACACACACATACACACGCACACACACGCACACGCGCACACGCGCACACACATATCACCTCTCGGGCTGCGGCGCTGTCTGTCCGCAGATAGCCGGACTTGATCGAGCTACTTTTAGATCCCCCCACACACACACACACACACAACACAGACACACGTACACGCACGCGCGCACACACACACGTACACATCTTTTTTCAGTGTTTTTTTTGTTGTCAAGCTGCATCAAACAAAGCCAAAGTGCTTCAAAGTGCCTATCGAGAAACAAACGGGCACATACCTTTTGCTGCCCAGTCGTAAAACAGACCATTCAACAGG